CAGTTAATTAGATGAATGTTCGTTATACAGTTAATTAGATGAATGTTCGTTATACAGTTGATTAGAAATGAATGGGTTGTTTGAATGCTGGAAAGGATTATTTAGGCTGTTCATCTGGAAAGGGTTATTTAGGCTGTTCATCTGGAAAGAATTTGAATGCTGGAGAGAGGATTCCTCGGCCAATGGGGGCAAGCCACCGAAGGAAGTGGTCTGGGGTCTTGGTAAGTCCAAGCTCTTTGAGCTTCGTTTATAGGAATAATTAGAAGATTGTAGATTATCGGGAATTGGAGTTGATTTATACTCAACCACACCTGGTTTACTTAGATCTTGTCTTAGTTTCGATAGGTTGGTTCGAAGGTTTTTCAATTCCAAGCTATTTTCATGATAATTTTTAATCGAGAGTAATTTGGATTTGATTGGCTGTTCAAATTTGAAGTTGACTTTGACTTTGAATAATGGGTGGATATATCTTTCATAATGTTCATTGAGCCATGTTATAAATAGCTCTGATCCATATTCAAGTAAGTATATTATAACCGATAAGCTTTTCAAGACTGTCAAGTATACCTTGTCTTTATTTATGCTATTTGATCGACCCAAGGGTCCTTTGGACTCATTCTTATCTAATAAAGTACTTATTCGCTTACTAAGATTGGAAGTAATTACTTTCAAACTCTTATGGTTATATGATAGCACCAGTATATCCAATAATTGTTTATTATAAGGACCTAATGGGTCACTATTGGTTGCGTTCCTGATCTTAGCCTCGGTAGAGTTGGCAAAATGTAATAAACTAACCATCGCTGCTTACCGAACGCATCAGTGCATCAGTCTACTTGTGCTTGCTTGGGATTTTATATAAATTTCACTCCGGTACTGGCGGAAAGCCCTTCTTTCCCGCTCCGGCCTGGTGTGTGGGTCCTCCAATGCTCTTTCGTCTCTTGAGCTACTGGGGACTACAAACCCTACTCTCTCAACTAGCAATACCACTACGACGACTATCGAGCTGTTTGTCACCACAGTCACAGAGTATTCAGCCCAGAAGTTGTTGCATTATAAATGTAGGGGTGTGTGAAAACCATGAAGTTTACACTGGTAAACCCGTAAACCACTGTTTCGGTTGAAACACGCTTTTTTCTGTCTTTTTTTTTTTTTTTTTTTTTTTTTTTTTTTTTTTTTTTTTTTTTTTTTTTTTGGTCTTCTGACTTCAACAAGTGTCTTGTGAAGACTTTGAATACTCCTGTTTTTTCTTAAGTTCCAACTCAACTTCCATTTATCTTTAACAGATACACTTCTCTGTTCATTCTACGGTACTTGTCCGCTTCGAATTCATATTTAACCATGTACTAAACCCTTACCGCCCATATTCATCTAATCACAGTCTATAAAACGATTTACGAGTCTCGTTTTACCGCCTGTATCCTTGTATCCATATTTTGTTTATAATACACTAGTTATATATCCACATCCATATCAACTCGCGTTGGAGTCTTGGTTTAGCCCGCTGTTGTTTGCTTCTGTTACTACTGCTTGATTGATCTCCTCGGTGTTGCCGCTCACCTCACTAACAAACGGAAAAAATTATTATTCAAATAAGAATAAATCCATCCCCCGAATCACACAAGAAACAGTCAGTTTTGCTACAAACCCTGCCGGATTACTTATTCTTGTTTAATTTAACAATCCCTCTCTGTGGAAACTGGCTTGATTATTTCAGTACGCTGATTGTTTTTTTGTTTTGCTTATTGTTTGACCCAACCTTTTTTCACTTACGGTTTTAACTCACTTTGTCTCCCTTTTTTTTATTTTTTTGTTCAGGGATTTCTTTTTTTTTTATTTCTTCGTTTTTGATTACTATTTTGTTAACAGGGGAACAAAGGAACAAAATAGGTTAATCATTTTTTTTTTTTGAAAAGATAAAAAAAAAAAGCAAATCAAGTTTGGTTCTTTTTTTTTTAAAAAAAAAATCATCTTTACTTAGACCTTTTCAGTTTGGTTTAATCCACAGTTTGGTTTGCACTAGAGGTTCTTTTCAATTGCTCATTCGAAAAACGAAAAGGGAAAGGGCCAAAAGACCAAAAAAAACCGAACAGAAAAAGAAAAAGGGCCTCATCGTACGACCCTTAACTTTTGTTTGCACTCTACTCCAACCTAAACTCATAGAGTAAGAATGTCGCTAGCGTCACCTCCGGCTAGTGATGGTCATCCTGATCGACTGTTGAATCTGCACTTGAATAATTCTTCGCTTTCAAATTCTCCAACGACTTCAACGGCTTCGAATGCTTCCACTTTACCGGCTGTCCATGCATTACCTTCCTTATCCACTCCTTTATCTATCGTTAATCCAAAAGTTCATTCAAATCAAAAGCCCAGTTTTTCTTATGATTTAGATGTTTTCAATCAATGCAAAACTTATTTGAATGATAAAAATCACCACGGTTTAGCATTAATTTCTCGTCAGAAGGGAACTCCTCCCTTTTTAAGATTTAAAATTTGGCCAATTTTATTAAAATTCCATCCTTTTGTTTTAAATCCCTTTATTCAACCAGATAATGAAATAATTAATGATAATATTCAAAAAAAGAAGGATTCTGATGATGATTCATCTCAAGATTCTGCCAATGGTGATGAAATGAAATCAAAAGATGATATACTAAGAGATCAAATAAGAAAAGATTTGAAAAAATATATCCAAAGAATAAAGTTCTCTTCGGGTATAAGTGATGATCATTATTCAAATGATTTAATTGACACTCCTTTTGGTAAAATTAATAAATTAGAATTGATGATTTTTGAAGTTATTGAAAAATCAGTTTTTAAATTTATTAATAAATGGGGTAAAATTATTAAATATGATCAAGCATTAACTTGGATTGCTTTGGGTTTGGCTGAATGGTTACCTCCTTTACCTCACACAAGTTGGGTTTTAGTTGGACGAGAATCAAATAACAACCCTGGTCAAAGTAATTTTAATTCAACTACTCCAACCAATAGTAATACTAATCAAAATTCAAATGAAAGTAGTTCAAATAATAGTTTTATTCAATTATCTTTACCAAATCAAAAAAATTTATTGATTAAAAATGTTTTTGATGACTACTCAAATTATATTCACAACACTAAAGGTTTAGAAGAATATTTAAATGACTTAATTAATGATGATACTATAAATAATATGACTTTCCATGATGTTTTTGAAAGATTGGCTTTGGTTGTATTGCATTCTCCTGAAGAGCGTACAAGAAAAATGGCTCTGGCTAATAATAAATATCGTAATCGTCGTGATAGTAATAATCGTCGTCGAAATCAGAGAAATTCCTCAACTAGAATATCAAAATCTTCCAATTCTCATCATGATTTAGAATCCATTCGCAAGTCCTTGAAAAACCTTGATGCTGTCGATGATAATGAATCTGTTACACTGTCCAGTACAAATAATAGCTCTAGTGCTATTGATGAAGAAATTGGTGGTTTTAAAATTGATAAAACCACTTTACCAATTAGTGGTGGTACAATTGAAGAACGAGTATCGTTTTTCATTTATATTTTAAGAAAATTATTACCAGAATTATCTAATTTTTTCCAAGAAGAACAAATCCTTAATAAGTTCGGAAGTAGTGATGATGAATGGCTTATTTGGTGGTTAAAATATGGAGGTTCAAAAGTGTGGTCTCCTTTGGACCGTGGTAGAATTTGGGATTCGATATTAGGTTGGAGAATTCCAAATAAGAAAAACGAACGTAAAAATAAACATTATTATTTGGATAAATTGAATATTGACCCAAGAACTTTGGAAAAATTAGGACCCGATAGTTTTTGGTCGGTTGATAATGACGATTATGATTCTAATAGCGAAGCCAAATTTGATGAGGGCGATAATACCGATAATTTAATTCCATTTTCTCAAATTGATCCTCATATCGAATTAATTTTTATTTCTTTGGCATTATTGAAGTCAAAAGAAAATACATTGATCGAATTAGATCAGCATGAAATAAGACAATATTTATCCAAATTGCCAACGAAATCCTACAGCAGAAGTGATAAATATAAACAATACAAAGAACAGAAGGAGAAACAGAAGGAAGAAGAACAGAAGAATCGTCAAAGATCTCTATCTGCATCCTCTACGTCCACTACATCAAATTTCGAAATAGGATCTACTCCCCCCTCATCGTCAATTTCTACAACCTCTGATGACTCGAATAGTGATGCTAATGATGACAATAAAATCATAACGAATAATTCCGATGACACCTTCAAAGTAAACTTCATGGATAACATCATCAATGAAGCAGGTGAGCTTTGGAGAAAATGGTTATGGCTCGAAATGGTTGATGATAACTAAACGAATTTCTTATGAGTTTTATAGATATGTACATAGTTTTTTTTTTTTTTTTATATATACGTTTTGTATTATAATACATCCGTACATCCAGTGTAATTTATTTTTGTGATTTTTTTTTTTTTTTCTTCTCTGGCAAAGATCAAAAGCGATGACATGAAAATTTAATAATTTCCCCAACTTTAACAAGTCGTAATATTTATTAATCTTGGTAATCATGAGTGACGATAAAGTGAAAGAGGTTCGTAAAGAGACTAAGAAGGAAAAGAAGGAAAGAAAGAAGGAAAAAAAATTGAAAAAGGAGGAAAAAGCTGACAAAGAAGTAAATGAAGACACTAATGACAGTGAAGAAGATGACGAAGAGGTCAGTAAGGAAGAACAAGAGCAAATCGAAATCGATTTAAACGCAGGTGTTCCCCTTTCCAAGAAACAACAACGTTTGTTAAAGAAGGGTAAATTAAACTTACAAAGATTAGCAGCTAAAAATCCGGCCCCCAAACCAATTTTAACTAAAGAAGAGGAGGAAGCCGAAGCTAAAAAACTGAAAAAATCTCCATTTGGTGTTTGGGTTGGTAATTTATCATTCGATACTAGTAAAGAGGATATAGTCAGATTCATAATGGGTAAGACCAATGACTTCATATCAATAAATGAAAGTAATGAAGACGATGATAAAGTTAAAGTTGAAAATATTGATATTACTAGAATCAATTTACCTAAAAAGGGAACCAAGATCAAAGGTTTTGCATACTTGGACTTACCAAGTCAAAAACATGTTAACACTGTTGTCTCATTAAGCGAATCAATATTAAACGGACGTAAATTATTAATCAAAAATAGTAATTCATTTGAAGGACGTCCAGAAAAAGACCAAAATGATACCGCTAGTTTATCTAAAAATCCACCATCTAGAATTTTATTCGTTGGTAACTTATCGTTTGATACTACCCAAGATCTTTTAGAAGAACATTTCCGTCATTGTGGGGATATTGTTAAAATCAGAATGGCTACTTTTGAAGATTCTGGTAAATGTAAAGGTTTTGCATTCATTGATTTCAAAGATGAGTCTGGACCAACCACCGCATTAAAATCAAAATTAGCTAAAAAATTAATCAATAGACCATTAAGATTAGAATACGGTGAAGATAGATCAAAAAGAGTTCCTGGTCAACGTAAAAGACAAGCAGAAGAAGGTTTCGAAGACCAAATAGAAGACTCCGCTCCTAGAACTATTGCCAAAGAAAGATCTTCCGAACCAGATCACCAATACTCACAACCTCCTAAAAAGAGAGTATTCAGAGAACCTAATCCGCAAAACAATAAAAGAATGAAATCTTCCGTTGCATTGGCCACTGCCCAACGTGCAAGTGCTGCAATTGTGCCTTCATCAGGTAAGAAAACTACCTTTGATTAAGCTCTACTGTATAATACATAATAATATAACGCACTTCCATCTTCAACTTGACCGCAAAAATTACTTTTGGGGTGTTATCAAGTCCATGCACCTAACGCCGCCGGCGCTACGCTCTCGCTCGCTCGCCTTGTCTGATATTTTTTTTCCCCGGAACACAAGTTTGCAAAATGGGTCCATTGCGCCAGTCCAACCCTCTTGGTAGTCATTGGGTCGACGGTCCCCATGCCAGTTCTCTGTAGCATCATCAGATCCCTCTCGCTTAGCAGGCACGGGTAATACGAGCACACCGTTTTGGAATCCAATCACTATTCCTAATCCCACTGGTGGACTTTTGAACAACAATGGGAAATAATGTTGGATACAATAATGTTTCTGCAAAACAGGAAAAGATCAAGAGGTTCAGTCAGCCGTGGTCATTGCAATAAACGATTATCGGGCCTTTCTTTGAAGTCTGTCTGTTTTTTTTGTTTTGGAGATAATCGGATTGGTCATCATCTCGTACATTTTAACACGTCTTTACACGTCTTTAAACCTAGTTTTATTGTTAATTTCCCTATTGAAAGTTTATCATATGTTTTTTTTTTTTTTCCTGCCTTGTTTGGTTTATTAGGGAAGAGGCATGAAAAAGTCTCGTTATGGAGTTTGTGTTAGCACCGTAGCGTTACTTATTTCGTAGGATACCGTATCGTTCTTAAACATGATGGTTAATGACTAATAGGTAAGTATATAAGAGAAGGAGTTAGGCGACGGTCTGTTTCTTATAAAGTTTTCTTTGTTTTTTTGTTTGTTCTTTCTTTTTGAATTGGTTTTTAATTAGTTTTTCAGAATGATAACTTCGATACGTCGTTCAGTTTCTAGGTTACCTAGAGGAAGTTTAAATTATTATCGTAGTCAAATTAAATTTTATTCGGCTGCAGCTATACCAGAGTTTCAAAAAGCAGTTGTTTTCGAAACTAATGGTGGACCATTGATTTATAAAGATATCCCGGTGCCAAAACCAAGAGCAAATGAGTTATTAATTAATGTTAAGTATTCCGGGGTTTGTCATACGGATTTGCATGCTTGGAAAGGTGATTGGCCCTTGGCTACAAAGTTACCTTTGGTTGGTGGCCATGAAGGTGCTGGGATTGTTGTAGGTATGGGTGAAAATGTTAAAGGTTGGAAAATTGGTGATTATGCTGGGGTTAAATGGTTGAATGGGTCTTGCATGTCTTGTGAATTTTGTGAAGAAGGTAATGAATCAAATTGTGATCACGCTGATTTATCTGGTTATACTCATGATGGCTCTTTCCAAGAATATGCTACTGCTGATTCGGTTCAAGCTGCTAGAATTCCTCCTGGCACCGATTTAGCTCAAGTGGCTCCTATTTTATGTGCTGGGATAACCGTTTATAAAGCTTTGAAAACTGCAAATATAAGAGCTGGCCAATGGGTGGCTATTTCTGGTGCTGGTGGTGGTTTAGGTTCTTTGGCAATTCAATACGCCAAAGCAATGGGGTTCAAACCGGTTGCAATTGATGGTGGTGATGCTAAAGGTGAATTATGTAAATCTTTAGGTGCTGATATTTATGTTGATTTTACTAAAACTGATGATATGGTTAAAACTATGAAAGAAATAACTGGTGGTGGACCTCATGCGGTCATTAATGTGTCTGTTTCAACCGCTGCTATGCAACAATCTGTTGATTATGTTAGACCTACCGGTACTGTGGTATTGGTGGGTTTACCTGCTCATGCCTCAGTTGAGTCTAAAGTCTTTGATTCCGTTGTTAAATCAATTAAAGTTGCCGGTTCTTACGTTGGAAATAGAGCCGATTCAAGAGAAGCAATTGAATTCTTCTCGAGAGGCTTAATCAAATCTCCAATTAAGATGGCTGGCTTATCAGAGTTACCAAGAATCTATGAAGAAATGGAAAGAGGTGAGATTGTTGGTAGATACGTTGTCGATACCTCGAAATAGGGTACCATTTAACCTTCATCTCATTTTGCCAAATTGCTGGTCATTTAGTAATGCCCCTTTTCTCATTTCTATTTTTGTTTTGTTTAATTTTATTCAAAAGTTACTACTAATACAATTATCCTATTTATTTTGTACTTTTGTTGTTGTTGTTGTTAAGTTTTTCTTGTATAAATTATTTAATACCTAATGTCAATATTTGCAACTATTTTACCTATTTCGCAATGCTTGTAAGTTTTAAAAGTTATATAAGCGCATAAGTTGATGGTGTAAAAATCAACTCCTACAATGAATACCCAGTAAGTAAAAATAATTGATTGAAATGGAAACAATAAGATAAACACGAATAATACATTATAATAAAAAAACGAAGCTGAAATGAAAAATGTAAAAGTAAAACATTGGAGTCAGGGCGAATTGAAATCGAAAGGCAAACTAATTGATGAATAAACATTCAAGTTAATTTCTTGGTCTGTGCTTTGCTAATTCTTCACTGGATACTTCAAAGTAATCAGGATCATCCTTATTGGCAAAATATTCCGCATCGGAGACTTCTTCGTAAACAGAATAAGTTTCATATTCAGAATCATCATCAGCAGGTTTGGCATCAGTTTTAGAAGATGCTTTTGGTTTCGATGATCCTTTCGATTTATCGGCACTTGAAATCAGTTTACTTGATTCGGAATCTTTAGAGCCACCACCTAAAAATTTTTTGAATCTTTTAAAACTCCCGGTTCTACCATCATTTTTTGATGAGGTAGCAGCAGAGCTTGCTCCTACTGCAGCGGCAGTGGCTACTCCAGCAGCGGTGGCACCTTTCTTTGACTTGCCTTCTTTATCTTTGGCTTCTTTATCTTTGGCTTCTTTATCTTTGGCTTCTTTATCTTTGGCTTCTTTTGATGATGAGGCAGCCACGGGAGAAACCTTCGTTGAAGATGATTTTTTTGCAGGTGTAACAGAGTCATTTTTGCTTTCAGTGATTGCAGCCAAAGGCTTAGGAGCTGAATGGGAACGATTGTTTTTTAATTCTGCTTCGTCTTTTGGTACTTTATCTGGTACCGAATCGTTAACTGATTTAGATGATGCAATCACTGGAGTTGATTTAGGAGCTTTGAATTCATCATCATATTCAATTTGCTTAGACAATCCCGCTATTTCAACTTCACGATCTTCAATTAATTTTTGAAGGTCGTCCAATTTAGGAGCTTCGGCAACTTCACTGGATAATCTTGCTTTTTCTTCTCTTAATTCTCTAATTTTCTTCAATTTTTCAACTTCTTCAAGCAATCTTGACTTTTGTAATTGTTCAAATTCAACTCTTTGTTTATATAAGTCTAATTTTGCTTGATGTTCAACTTTCAATCTGTCAATCTCTTCCAATTTTAATTGAGCCAATTTTTCAGCCTCTAATCTTTTCCCTTCATCTGATTTATTCTTTTGTTGTTTTAAGTCTTCAATTTCTTTTTGTAATCTTTGCGATTCCTCTTCTTCTTTTTGCTTACGTTCAAGATAGATTCTTTCGTGTTCTTCTCTTTCAGCAACCAATTTTTCTTGTTCAGCTTCACGCTTAGCAATGCGCTCTTGACGTTGATATTCTGGATCAGATTTTTTCTTTTCAAGATCATCACGCTCTTGTTGAGCTTTTATTAAACGTTCATGTTCTTCCCATTCTTTCTGTTCTTGAACTAAACGATCGCTCTCTTCTTTCTTTCTCTTTCTTTCAATTTCTTCTTCAACACGTCTGGTTTCAGCAGAATGTTGAGCTTCTAATCTTTTACGTTCATGGTCTTTAGCAACTTCTTTTGCCAAATCTTGCTTTTCTTGTTCCCAAGTACTATAATGAGACTTAGCATCAATTAATCTTTGACCACGAAGATCTTTATCATTTTGTAAATCAGTCAATTTAGACTGGTAAGCAGTTAAGCTTCCTGATAAAGCAGTGATTTGAGCAGTTAAAGATTCAAGATGTTTTCTTTTAGTATCAACACCTCTTTCAGAAGTTTGAATTTTATTATCTAATTCTTCTTTAGTAGCCAAATGTTTTGAAATAGACTCTTGTTTTTCATTATATTTTGATTTTAAATCATCTAATTCAGCAAGTTTTTCATTGACTTGACCAGTTAAATCTTCAATTTTTGTTGATAATTCCAGGTTTGAATTATCTAATTCAGTTTTTTTTTCTTGCAAACTTTCAATTTCCTGAGTAGTTTTTTCTTGATTTGTTTTTGAATCTTCTAACTCTTGCTTTTTGGTGGCCAATAATTCTTCATGGTTTTTGATTAAAGTTTCTTTATCATTTCCATGTTGCTCAACTGCTTTTAATTCACGATTTTTGAAATCTTCTTGAGCAGTATTCATTTCTTCATGAGTTTGTTTTTCAAAATTAGCAGCGGTGATATCAGCATTTTTCAGTTGATTAGTTAAATCTTCTAATTTTCTTTCAATTTCTTTGATGAATTTATCTTTAGTTTTACCTAATTTCTTTAAATATTTTTCAAATTCTTTATCTAATTTTTTTTCATGAGAAGCAACTTTTTCATCTAAATCATGTTGTCTTTTAATTTCATCTTCGTTTCTTGTTTTACTAACTTCTTCATTGATTGATGCAATAACTGGTGCAACTCTTTGGGCTGCAATATCAAGTAATTGTTGTTGAGTATATTTCAAACCACTACCTAAATCAATGATTTTATTTGGATCATCAATACTTTTTGAAACTGAACCAATTGCAGTAGCATTCAATTGCTGGTAATGATTTAATAAAACCGGTTTATCGGAAAATTTATCCAAAACTTCTTGATTTGGTAGTTTGACCGGTTGGTATTTAGCTTCTGGTTGAGTAACAACCTCAATTGGATTTTCTTTAACCACTTGAGTGATATTATCATCACTAATTTCGGTGGGTTCTGCTTCTGTTTCTGTTTCTGTTTTTTCAGTTTCATCAACGGCTTCGGTTTCTGTATTTTCAACATTACCATTTTCAACTTCAGTCAATGGCTTTTCACTCTCGGCTGCAGATTCAGGGGTTGCTTCCTTAGTAGTATCTTCATTGGCATCATCTTTTGTAGTAATTTCCTTTGTGGAATCTTCGACTTCGGTAGCACCCGTTTCATTTGATTCTTGGTTTCCATCACTGGTTTCGGTTTTAGAAGAAGAAGGTTCTAATTTTGAAGAAGACTCCTTCTTTTTCAATTCAGCCTCTAAAGTTGGATGAGATTGAAACTTCTTAGGCACCAATATTTTATCAACAGAGTTATCTTCTTGGAATTGTTTTCTCAAGTTTTTTTGTTTAGTAGAAGATGATCTAAATGGAGAAGTCCAGGTTGAACCAGAAGTATACTTCTTCAATTTACTTGTTGTAGTACTTGCATTAGTGGAAGTTTGAGAAGAAGTTGCAGCTTCTTCCGATCTTCTCGGTTCAACTACTTCAGACATGATTGAAATAAACTCGTTTTCTCTTGTTAATATCAATTCAGCTAATGGAATACAATATTAAAAAAGCAAAAGCCTAAAGAAAAAAACCTTTCTAAAAATTAACTTGAATTTTCTTCGAAAATTAATTGAATTCAAGTTGTATATTTCCCAAATGGAATTCTAACCAGTATTAATTTAAACCCTAAAACTCAATCTAAATTTTGCTTGTTGGAAAGGGGATGATGGAAGTCACTAATTGTTTTACTATGCGTGATGCCCTCGGAATTTATCTATTTTATTATGTATGATTATTATTATTATTATTATTTTTTTTTTTTTTTTTTTTNTTTTTTTTTTTTTTTTTTTGGTTTGGTTATACTATTTTGAAATTTTTCATTTCAGTCGAAATTGCAGCTTAGCTGCTTAAATAGGCTAGTCATTCACTTACATCCTCAGTTTTGGTATCCAGAGACTTGGTCCAATTGAAGTGACAGTGGTTGCTTCTTTCCGATTGCGAATTCTTCGATTGCGACCCCGTTTCCTCCTTCACCCAGTTGGTTCACCTGGGATTCGCTTACCTGCTGACTACTGCTAACCAGTTACCAGTTACTGGGAATACAAGACCCTCTTCCCTCGGATGTAGCATGGCTCCCTGGTCAAATACGAGGTTAAACAAAGGCTTCTTAATTGAGCAAAGTAAGCTGAAATTTATCTCCTTCCTAATTAGGACATGTCAAGTAACCACAACGCAAAAAAAATATTGAAGTAGAAAAAGAATGGTCCCTAGCAGGATCGAACTGCTGATCTTGGCGTTATTAGCACCACGCCTTAACCAACTGGGCCAAGGGACCGTTTTTTCTGATTTTTGAAAATCAGGTATGCTTTTACTGTGCGTTCTTACAAATGGAAAATGTTTTCTCATAGAACTTTTTTTTTTATCTTTTTTTTGATTCACTGTATTTATAGTGTTTGAGAAGTTGATATGAGATATTCACAATTACTGGGGTGCTTAATTTTTTTTTGGTTGTGAGTAGTTTTGAACATTTTGCACAAAAATTTCAATTTTTTGTGACGTTGATTTCATACAGATTTTTCCAACCATAAGAGAAGACTCTTGATAAGGGGTGCGAATTCAGACACCTCCCCTGAAAGAAGCTTAGGTATACTTAGAGTATAAACTGAACAAAGCGTAAACGTAGTATTTAGATCAAATATATAAAAATATACGTGAAAAAAAAAAAAAAAAAACGTTTGGAGGTCGGATCGATTATGAATTACGGCTCAAAGAGTTTACACCTCAGATGCTTTAGTATTCCTTACAATCTTGTATCACCCCTCTCAAAGAAAAATGTTAGATTTGAACAACGGGCCCGCTTCCATGCTGCTGATGGGTCATGGTGGCACGAGACGAGGCCCTAAAGTTGAGAAGGCTGCTTCGGCTTATACCATGTTTACAGGCGGAAATCATAAATACACCAATGAAATGTGATGGTTGCAAAATAAGTTTAACTCTTGAACTATAAAAAGAAACAATGGAACAGCTCAAGCTTAGATGGGGAGTCTTCAGGTTGAGCCGAGATTACATAATGGAGATGGAGATTTTCGCTAATTCAAAGTGCTAGTTGCAAAAACGGTTTAATGAAAATTATAAGGGGGATGTCATAGAGAAGGCCGAATTGTCAATGCTTTTGGTAAATAGTTACCATTACAAAGGCATTTGGCGTAAACTCCGGTGTCCCAGTAGAAGCATAGCGATGCTGTGGAAAGAGTTAAATAAAGACGAGTCTAATATCCAGTGGGTCAATGCATTTGGAGCACCATGAAATTCAAGCAAAACTAGTAACTACGCAGGTACGGAAGGTATCCAACAATACCTCATTCAATTTGGATATTTATATTTCCAAATAGATTATTTACAGTTTTGATGAAGGTTATTCACCACTATTTTAAATACCTAGCAAAACATTCTCAGAATTTTTGCCTCCATTGCACAAATTTAACTTTGTAATATCCCTAATAAATAAACAATTACATAACACGTACCAAATAAACAGCACACGAATCAATCTCTTTTGAGTTAATTATGAGAGCTTGCGCATTCATGAATTTAATTAAATGTACAATGGCATATTAATTATATCTATTGTAGTCTAAATTGACTACTTTTATTCATTTCATTTCCATCCCATTATCCTTTGCAATTCTTGTCTTCTATTTTACAATTTGTGTGGTGTTATCTGGTTGTCTTGACGTTGTCTTGACGTTGTCTTGACGTTGTTCTTGCTGACATTACTGATGTCGTTGGTAAAAATTGTCTTTGTCCTTGTAGTTGTTTTCATTTGTCTGTAGGTGTGTTTAAATTAGTGACTTGTATGAATATTTATGTTTCTACTACCCCTTGGGCTATTCAGAGTCTCGGTTCACTGCTTATCTGCTGACCCAATAATTACCATTCATTCCTCAGTCGTGTTCGGCACTCAGTTGTGTTCAGTTACATTCAGTATCTAGCCGTGGCCAGTTGCGTTCCTCCTTCAATTGTCGCCACTGACATTCCATTTGTTCTATATATCGATTCGTTGTAATTTTGTCGGATTTGTTAGTTGGCAGGATCTCAGATACGATCAAAGAATTTTTTTTTCTCTACTAAAAAAAAAAAAAAAATTTTTTTTTCTTTCTATAGTCTTTTGATTTACCGTCGCTACTTCTCATTCACAAGAAGAAAAAAAAAAGCAAAATTTACTCTATTGAACTTGTTCTTTTGCTAGTCTACACTATAATCAGTTTCTATCCATTTAGAGTGAATACCGTGCTAATTGAACGTTGCCGCCCAGATTGAGCTTTTTTTCAATTGAATTGATTGAAAGCAAGCCGAAATTTTTCCTTTTTTTTTTTTTGTTCCCTTTGTTTCCCTTCTCGCTTGATTGAACTATTTGAAAATTGAATCATTAGGTTAGGGAGTTCAAGTAAGTGTAAGTTCAACCTGATATAAACTTGATTAAAGAAAGATGGCAACTTTGATTCCAACCGCCAGTAGTTGTCATGCTTTACAACTTCCTCCAACTGAAAAAGATGATAGACTTAATTTAAACGTTAGGACTGGATCCGCTTCCACATTATATAATTCATTAGTATTTACCTACGGTGGATTAACCATTGGTTTGGAATTGGCTGATAACTTGAAAATCCCCGACTTGATCAATACATTCATACTGAAATTAACGTCACAGAAATCAAGAAAATTAGAAACTTATTTATCGGGAGAATTATTTTATCTTAATTTAATTGAAAGAAACTGGTTTAGAGTCGAGGTTAAACCTGGGGATCCCAAACCCAAACCAAGACTATTCCATGAAATTTGTGCTGCTAATAATCATGTATATGTTTTCGGTGGATTAATTATACCTGATGATTCTAATTCTAATTTAAATCAATCAAATGATATCATTCCAGGTGATTTTAGATCTAATCTAAACCCAACCTCTCCTGCTTCAATTAAAGATTATTCTAAATATTTAATTCCAACAAATGATTTATGGGAATTTGATCTTGCTACTAGTAAATGGACTTGTCTTCATGATGGTAAAGGTTATGAAAATAATCATTCTATTCCAAAACCAAGATATAGTTATAAAATGACTACTGTTAATAGTTTAAGCTTTGTTAATAAAAAAGACCATTTTGGTCTTTTGATAGCTGGTGGTAAAGACATTAATTCAAACCCAATTTATGAAAATGCTGTTTTTGATTTAGTTGAAAAAAAATATGTCGGTTTAGGTAATCCAGTAATATTATCTACCTCAAGTGGTAACCAAAGAAAAGATGATTCAACCGGTTTATCTAATATATTAAACACCGATGATAATTATAATTTAGGAGTTGATTATTATAATAGTATTCTTATAAATTTTATTGAAGATATTGATCATTCTAAAAAAATTAATAACACTCCTTCTCCTCCAATTCAAAATAAAAATAAAAATAAAAATTCCCAAACTGAAGAATCAATCATTATTTATACTCCTACAAAAAGAAAATCAATTAATGATAAAACTTATAATCCTTTAGTTTCTTTTAAGATTGGTAAATCAATTAAGAGAGCTAAAGTTTTACCAATCCATAAAAAAAAATATTATTTGAAAAATACTCAAAAAAAAGTTAATCATACTATTCCTTATAATTTAAGATATCCCACTGGTGGGATTTTTGGTCAGAATATAGTTATAACTGGATTTTTACCAAATGATTTTGATATTTCAATCTTTATTTATAATAAACCAACTGGTAAATGGTCAAGATTAAATGTTTTTTGTAATCATGATTATGGTTCTCATAGATTTTGGGGTGGATTTGCTTGGCAATCTCATCATAAGGTTGTTTTAATTGGTAATTATGTCACTTCAAGAACAACTAGTAGTATAAGATATTTTACTTCAATGATCACCGTTAGTTTACCAATCACAAATATTTTAGCTAGTTGGGAATTAGCTTCAAAAGGTGTTTCAAATCAGAAAAAACTTAATTATTTTTTATCCGATGAAAACTCAGATACTTTTAAAGATGATTCAAGTGATTCAATGCTAGTTGAAAGAAGTACTGATGATGATGAAATAACAAGCTCATCTCCGGATATTCTAAGTAGTGATGAAACTGATGATAATGATGACGAATATAATCAAGACTCAATCATAAATAAAAGATCTCCAAGAAGATTTTCTAGTGTTAATCAAGGTAGAAATAATAGTAATAATTCTATTAGTTTTAGTGATTATGTTCATTATGCTGCTCCTGAAAATAATTTTACTAAAGTAAGATCAGTTTTTCCTCCTGCTGCTATTACTTTAGGTAGAAATGCTTTTGATAGATATGGTGATTTAATTTCAGATTTTGAATTCGTTTCGGCTGATGGTGATAGAATACCTGTATCCCTTGTTATTTTAATGGAAAGATGGGGTAGATACTTTATTGACTTGTTAGCCAAAGGTTATGTAAGAGCCGTTGATAAATTCGAAATTGATCAAATTCAGTTATCTAAAGTTGAATCAGAAAATAATGCAAGACTTTCTGCAAATGATAGTTTCAGTTCTGCTGCCAATATTGCTAATAATTATCAATATAAATTCCATTCAAATCAAAATAAATTAGGTAAAGTTGATAGTTCTGGTGCTGGTTCAATTTCTTCTGGATCTGATTCACATTTAGATTCTTCTCAGAGTAGTAAATCAAATGAAAGACATACTTATCATATGTCCATTCCAATTCCAACAAAAAACTCAAACAAAGATGCTCCCCAATTTAGATTACCTTTCCAAGACGTTTCGTCAAGTACCTCAATTGAAAAAAACGAAGACTCAAAAGATGATAACTCTCTTAGTGGTCCTCCTTCCCAACTTAGTCGCCTAAATCCCGATGGTAGATGTATTTCAATCTCTTCAGCAATCGATCCACATTCATCAAATAATGACGATGATGTTCCTCCTAACAATACTGCTACCGAAGCCAATGCTACTAATAACTCATCAAATTCTCGTAAAAATTCAACTGGTTCTTTTGGCTCGGGTACTTTATTAAGCTGTAATATTCAAGATTTACCAGCTCAACTCCCTCTCCCAGATGAACCTTTACCACCAGTTCCAGCTACCACTTCATTCAGATCATCTTCAAGAAAAAACTCTCAGGACTTAAACTCTCCAAGGTCTTCATTATATTATACTTTAACAAGCTTAAGAAATATTCCTGCTAATAAGTCACCAAGGGATTCTCCACTTGCATCTCCAAGAGCATCCTTATCGTCTCAAGGTCAAGGTCAAATAAATAATACTCCAATTTTGAATATTAGAGGTTCTAATACCAATATCGATCAACAAGGTTTGACCAAGTCTTTGGGTGGCTCACTTAACACATCAAATGATGCTATTTCATCTAATTCAGCCAGTGACAGTAACCTTGATCAAGTTGGAAATTCCGATGACAAAAAACCAGTAGGCCCCGGAGTTGCGAACAAAAAAATCCCTAGCGTTTCATCAATGACTTCAGTTGAAAGTGCAGCAGGGTTTTCAATGGATAAAGATAGTAATTCTAGTTTTGCATCAATCATAACTGATAATGCTGCAAGTAAAAATTCTGGTTCTATTAGTATCAAGAATGATACCGATGATGAGAAAAACGAGAACAATTATGCTGCAGCTCAGGAAAAAACGGGCCACCATCCATCATTATTAGATTTTGAATCTATCGAAAATGGAAAATTTAAAATGGAACCATCTTTGATTCCTCGTAAGCTTTATATGCCATTTAGTACCAGTACTTTGAAAGCATTTGCTGAATATTTGTACACTGGTCAAGTTGGAAACAAATGGAGTTTAACCCCAGCTACTTTAGATAATTTGACTATTGCTAAATTTTATCGTGTTCCCTTACTTTATGATTTGATCAGTGAAGTTTTATTCGGTATTATCGGAAGAAAAGAAGCTCATGTTATAAAAATGGGTAACAAGTTGAAGAGAAAATATTATAGATTATTAAAGGCAACTGGTACTACCAGCGCTCCAAATTTTCAATTCCCATTAGATGAATATGAAGGTTTTATGGACACCGTTGATGATGGTTACTTGGATCTTGCATTGTTGAAAAAATCCTCGAACATTGGAAAATATAGTGCTTCTTATTTATCATCTAGAAAGAAGAAATCTAATGCAAATAACTCTTCCAGCGGTGGTAATTCTAATTCTTCTCGTCGTCCAAGCGCCAATGATGAGTCCACTGAACTAGATGATGATGAAGAAAGACGTAATTTAGAAGCCAAGAAAGAAGTACATAACAAAATGAATTCACCTGGAGCTGTTGACCAAGACGAAAATACTGCACCCAAGGAAAACGAAAAAGGGAATGAGAAATCTAATAATGATTCAACAGATGATTCCTCAGATAAGAAAACTACTTCTAATAGTGAAGAAGATTTTGATTTCGAATTAGGTTACTTGGATGTTCATGATCGTAGTATTCCAGGACTTGGCCCTAGATCAAAATCGATATTTGATAGGAATAGGGCTAATGAATTACAGCAACAGAGTCTTTTCGATGCAGATGATGAAGCTGAAGACATAAGAGAAAGTGATGATCTTCAAACCCAAAAGGATAAAATTCTCTTACTTAACTTAGAATCTTTGGTTGCTCCTGACTCACCGGTCCCAAGTGATTACACAATTGATTTGATTTATGAGACTGGTGCTTTAACAATTGATATGAAATTAATGTTAAGAGCTTCCAATGCAAGACAAATGAGCAGAATTTTGAAACAGAGTCAAATTGAAATTGGTAAACGTATTGAAGAGTTAGAAAAACTTTATGAAGAGCAACAATTGGAAAAACATGGTAAAGATAAAGAAACTTTTGATTCACAGGAGCCAGTTGTACCTGAAGAACCAGAACCACCAAAACCTGTTGCTGCTACTACAAAACCAGTTTCTGAACCTGAGAATCCTTCATCTCCACTGTCAACAACTGATACTAATACCAATGAGAATTCCCCTAATGAAGGTATATTTGGAGGTAATGATACTGAACTGAAATCAAGTCCTGAGAATATGAGGTCAGTTAGTGATCCTTTGGAAGATATTGCTTCTTCAACTTCGGAAATTGTATCTGATCAATTGAGTAGCAGTATTTCTCTTGGCGAAGATTCATACGATCGTAAATCGATTCCAAGTGCAAGTATTGATTCAGTTATGAGGAGCGGTGAAGGTCAACAAGATAGTGGTACAAGCCCCTTGCCAAATCCAGATTTAAGTCCAAATTCAGCTGTTGGATCAAGCCAAGGATCCATTGAATTAAGACCCAGTGCATCGAGCTCTTCATTAAGTGGAATGAATACAATTAATAAAGTTGAAACAAACAAGACCAATAGTTTTAGGGGATTAACAGGATTTTCAGCGTTTAAGACTACACCAAAGAATGAACCCAAATTGACTGGTAATCGAGAGATAGATAGAAGAATTGCCAAGTTTATAAAGAAGGACGACAAGCTGAAATCAAAGAGTTTGAGAGAAGAGGAAAAACGTCAAGCCAAAGAAAAGAAACAACAAACCAAGAATATGAGACATATAAGTGGTAGTACAGTACCATCTACAACTACTAGTAGTAAACCATTATTGTCTAGAAGCTCATCAAGAATTTTTGGAGATACCAACAGCATTCATTCCGGAGAAGAAAGATCACCAGCCCCATCAACTGGATCAATTCATTCCGTTAGGCCACCGGCCCCATCATCAGCTATTAATCCGTTAACTACCCAAATGACTACCCCTAATTTTGGTACGCCGTATTCCAATACGTCAGGCTCAACCCAGAATCCAATTCAACAGATCAACACTGTTCAAACGCAACCCAGTTTAACCCAGGGTACAACCCAAACCGGCGTTGTTCCAAATCAAACTCAACCCCAAACGGAAACCCGAACCCCGATTCCAGGGTCTAACCAGAGTCAAACCACCATTGAAAGTCAAGGATCAGTTCAAGGACCAGCAGCAACACAAGCCACAACCCCAACCCCGTCAACGACCCCGGCTCCGACTACAAGTCACCATCACCACCATGGATTTTTCCGTCATTTGAGCAGTAGTAAGAGAAAGAAAGAACGTCAACAACAACAACAAATTCAACAACAACAAATCCAGCAAAGACAATTACAATTACAACAACAAAGACAGCAGCAACTACAGTTACAAAGAGAAAAAGAAGCAGAAAAAAATCAAGGTAAAGATTTAAGTGCTGCAGAAATTCACCGTCAAAATCTCGAACACATGGAAAGAAATAGTGCAACGGGAGAAGAACTCGGAGAAGGACAGACTGGACAAAATTCCGATCTCGAAGGAGGTAATAGTAGTACTGGAGGAAGTGCTAGTGTCTCCAATAATATAATCAATAATCTACAACAACAAGAACAGCAAAACCATGGGGACGAATCGCTGATTGATTCCAACAGATTAGGTAGAATAAAGTCAAGTACCAGTTCAAATTCCATCAACAGCAGCAATACCTTAGCCACTAATAACAAGAAAAAACATGGAATTTTTGGAATTAAGAAAAGTCCACCAATTTAATAATAAAAGTATAATTAGCATAATTTTTTTTTTAAAAAAAGAAAGACAAAAATACATTATTTATTTGTTTCTTACAATGTAGTGATACGTAATTGGTCACCAAGCTGGATTATCCCTAGCCAGTATTTTCGATCTAGTCCTGTAGATTAACAGGGAATTTTGATTCAAGCAATTATGAACAGAATGAAATGGACCGAAGACGCCCCACCAAAAGAAATACCGACTAAGCATGACGTATCGTTTTATTTTCCTAGGGGGTATAGGAGGCCAGGGGGAGGAGGAGGAGTATCTACAGATTAGGAAACAAGAATTATATTGCTTGATAATAGAACAACAACCAAAAAGAAAAAAAAAAAAGCCCCAATAAGGCAACTTCCGTCCAGTGACAGCCCTAAAGCTAGCCATTCTTAGACTACCTGGCCATGGGGTTATTTAGCGAAGAAGCAAGGACAAAACACCTCTCCGGGCGTGATAAAACAACCCTTTGCAGCATCAAACCACTCGCAATTCGGTTCGCCATACCAGTAAATTGTTAGAAAAGTAAGACACAGGCTGTACAAAAACAATATTTTAGACCCAATAAGTCACTCTACGTATGTTTCACGCAATGACTCTAGCAAATACCAATTCTAGAGTTGACCTGGCAAGTAAGAACCAAAGCACCCCGATACATGCCGGTTTCTGTTGAAGTCCGAGGGGCAGCCCAGCTGCAACTGTTAGCACTCAAACCACCTCCACCAGAAGCAGTAAGTGAACAACTTCCCGGTCGATCAGTGTCCCCAGAAGACCCCTCCATCACCGGTGCTGCAACCGAATGATACAGCAAGGAAGCTGCACCATTATGTCATAGGGCCATCACGATAAAACCACGCAAGTTGCTATCAGTTGGGAAATGTAGTCTTATCTAGCAAAGCTACGATGTGTGCAGGAAATTTGCAACCTTAGTCTGAATTTATTTCCATTTTTTTTTTGTTTTGTATATGATCTAGCCCTGGGGCAGCCTATGAACAATCCACAAGAAAGGGTAAAACACATGCAGTTATTCTGAGACATTGGTAGAGGAAGCTTCTGATATATAAATGGACCTGATTTTCTGAACAATTCAGTTTTTTTTCGGTTTAGATAATATTGACTTAGATAAATACATACATATAGATTAGAATTGCAAAATGTCTGCTGCTTTACAAATGAACAAAGATTTGATTGACTTGGGTAAAGGGGTTAAAATCCCAGCCATTGGTTTGGGTACCTATAAGGCTACTGCCAAGGGCGAAGCCTATAACTCGGTGAAGGTTGCATTGAAGAATGGATATAGACACATCGACACTGCTGCTAGATATAGAAACGAGGAAGAGATTGGTATGGCCATTAAGGACTCTGGAGTTCCTCGTGAAGAAATTTTCATTACCACCAAGTTGTGGAATGCCGATCACAAGATTGTTCCTCAAGCCTTGGATACCTCGTTGCAAAAATTGGGAGTTGACTATGTTGACTTGTACTTGTTACACTGGCCCATTTCCTTGGATCCAGAACACGAAGGTGAACGTTACAGTGACTGGAACTACATTGACACTTATAAAGAGTTACAAAAATTGATGAAGACTGGTAAAGTTCGTGCCATTGGTGTTTCGAACTGTACCAAGACTCAATTGGACAAATTATTGAGTGACAAGGATGTCAGTATCAAGCCGGTTGTCAATCAAATTGAGGCCCATCCTCTTTTGACCCAGCCAGCTTTGTTTGACTACTGTAAATCCAAAGATATTAAGATTGAAGCTTATTCTCCATTGGGTTCATGCAACTCTCCATTATTCAAGAATCCAACCATTGTTGAATTGGCCAAATCAAACAATGTCGAGCCTGCTCAAATATTGGTTTCTTGGGCTATCCAAAGAGGGACTGTTGTTTTGCCCAAATCTTCTACTGCTGCTAGAATTGTCTCTAACTTGAAGACTATTAAATTGCCCGACGAAGATTTTGAAACTTTGAATACTTTGAGTGAAAAGGACGGGGTTGTTAGAACCTTTGATCCTGACTGGGCTGATTTTACCGAATAAGCTCATTGATGTATGATTTGAACTTATGATTTTGATATTAATGATTTTGATTCTTTTGATTCTTGTTTTAACTGATTGGTGCTAGCACCGATTGGGTTATTTTTTGGTGAACTTAGATTATGTACATGCAATAAAATGTTTATACTATTAACTATTTACTGTAACTTCTGTAACTTTCCATCAACTATTTAATCAATCAACTGCTAGTGTAACTCATCCACTTGTAACTGATCTGCCTACTGTCAATACTAAGGTCTGTGGAGTCTCGGATTTTAACATGAGGAGAGACTTATTGTTATTGCAACAAACAGTTAAATTGCAAATGCAACTTTCGAGGGTTGCAAATGTGTGGCCGCTAATTAAGCAACTTTTGCTCCTCCGACCGGAATTCCTGTGACAGCAGCGAAAAGCCTCACCCACCGCAACCACAGTCGGATTTCTGACCCACCGTGCCCCGGATATCAAATTTTTCGAGTCTTTTCTAATAGCAAATCACAAAACTTGTCTGATTTGATATAAAAGGGATGCTTTCGCCCCTGTCACTTGGTCAATTGGGTATACATCGATTAATACACTATCAATTGATATTTAAAATTTTAATATTAAGCAAAAAATGGCTAGTTTACAAGTTAATTCTGATGTTTTCACCTTAAATGATGGTTCTAAAATCCCAGCTATTGGTTTGGGTACTTGGAGAGCGGATAAAAAGGGTGAAGCTTATCAATCTGTTCTTGTTGCTTTAAAGAATGGTTATAGACACATTGATACTGCTAAGATTTATGGTAATGAAGATGAAGTTGGACAAGCCATTATTGATTCTGGGGTTCCAAGAAAGGAAATTTACGTTACCACCAAATTGTGGAACACTGATCATAAAAATGCTGCTGCTGCCTTGGATAAATCATTAGAATTATTACAATTGGATTATGTTGATTTATACTTGGTTCACTGGCCAGCTCCAGTTGACGAAAATGAAAAACCATTGAGTAACTGGACTCCAAATGATAGTTATAAAGAAATTGTCAAATTACTTGATACCGGTAAAGTTAAGAGTGTTGGTATTTCAAATTATAACCTTGAACAAACCAAGGCTGTCTTGGAAGATCCTTCAATTAAAGTTAAACCAGTTGTTAACCAAATTGAAGCCCATCCTTTATTGACTCAACCAGAATTGTACGACTACTTATACAAGAATGATATTTATATCGAAGCTTACTCTCCTTTGGGTTCTGTTGACTCTCCATTGTTAACTAACCCAACTGTCGTTGAAATTGGTAAGAAACATAATGCTAATGCTGGTCAAGTTTTGGTTTCTTGGGCCGTTCAAAGAAAAACTATTGTTTTACCAAAATCGGTTACTGAATCAAGAATTATTGGTAACTTGAAGACTTTCAAATTACCTGAAGAAGATTTTGAAATTTTGAATCAATTAGAAAAGAAAGATGGTACTCATAGAACCAACTTGTTCAAAGGTGTCTTTGACAGTCACTCTGCTTAATTCTTCTAGAGATAGTTTAATAAATGCTTGATTTATGTATTTTTTTGTAAGTCTGTAACGTATATTAATATAAACTAATCTTTAATACTTCTTAACATTTCTAATCCTTTTAATAATTCGTCTTCAGCAGTATTTAAGTCTTCGTAATTAAGTGCCGATATGGCAAACTTAGCATGTTTTTGAATTTTAGCAATATGATCGGTTTTATCAATGATTTGACTCAAGTTTTCCTTTGTTATATGTTGGGAATGTGAAAGTGTTGGTTGAGCCTTGGCCGCTGGTGGAACAGAAGCTGCAGACGATTTCCTACTATTGCCAGGTGGGTAGACCTGGATCGATGAATTTTTATTGATGTGACTCAAATCATCATCTGGAAGAAATTTTGGTGCTCCAGGTAATTTAACGTCAGAATCCTCTTCAATTTTAGCGTCATCTGACTCAGGTAAGAAATGTGGTGCTCCAGGCAAGTTTAAATCGTTCCCATTTGGTGCTGGTTTCGATTCTTCATCAATAAAACTTGGAGTTTTAGGTAAGCCCAATTCGTCATCTTCATCCTTTGGTAAGCTCAGACCGTCGTCTTCTGGTAAGTTCAGATCTTGCTCATCTATAAATGTAGGAGTTGCAGGCAATCCCAAGTCGTCATCTTTGACATCGTCACCAGGCTTACTGGTGTCTAGATTATTAAGTTCTCGTTCCAATTCGTCTTCTAACTCTTCATCATACAATTCTTCACTACTATGAAGTGGTATTTCATTTTTAATCAATCTGGATAACTGATACTTCGCAATCTTTATCTTCTCTTTAATAAATTTCTCAAATTCCTCGTTTGTTGGAGTCACTCCTCCCGTCAATTTTCCAAAATCAATCGCAGGATCATTTCCATTTTCTGTGAAGATGGTTAATAATGATAAAAACTGTATTGAAACTTTCAATTTCTGGGCCAATGCTATTTTGTTACCATCGTATTTTGAAACTAATTCTAAAGCACTATTGAAAATCTTAAAACCAAATGAAAAGACCGAATTTATTGATAATTGCTTATCATTCAATACTTTATTCAAAGATTCATCTTCTGTAGACTTCTTCATTGATTCAGTAAGATCAAGTAACTTGATCGTGAAAGATTCACATTCACCACCTTTCAAATGCAACTTATTATTCAATATATACTCAAGCACATATATCTTACAATAATAACTGACAATTGGATTAACTGATTCCAACTCGTTTGACCTAGTTATAAAAGGCACTATGGTTTTGTCCGACTTGAATTCTTCGGGAATTGTATCTAATGATTCACTCATGGCACTGACTATGTTATCTTCACCCGTAATCTACTTCTAGTGTTCTCTCCTGCCTTGCTTCTATTAGTTTGTCTTGCGGGATAAATCGAGAAAAACACCCATACACCTACAATATTCAATCAAAAACGAATAAATATAAAGACTATGTACAGAAACTAAAGGTAATGAGTAATGAATTAATGCAAGTCAGGCATTCTTAAAATCTCTCTTTCTTCATTTTGAGCAGTTTTTTGTAAAAGAGCCAATATTTTTGAGTTCTTCCATTTTTCTGGTAATGGAGTAACGTCGTAGTTTTTGGTAGCCCAATAGTAGATATCCCAGTCTGGTTCGTCCAACAACTTATCGTACTCGTCGAGTTCTTCGTCGCTAAAGGTATTCAAGTACTTTTTAGCAAATCTACTCAATAGTAAATCACTTTCTAAAATCCCTCTTTTTCTGGATTGGTATACCAATCTAGCTCTTTTCACGTCGATAGTTTCTCCAGTTCTTTGAATTGGCTCGATTTTCATGGTAATACCTTCATTATAAACCGGATTTTGCGGCTTTCCATGGTTAAGCAAGCTTCTGCTACACACGGAAAAGCCTCTCTTGGATACTATGTTCTTCAACATCATGTCTTTACTGATTTGGAATAAAGATGGCTTCGTTAAAGGGTATAAAGAAAGCAAAACAAAAAAAAAAAAAAAAAGAACGTGAAGAATAGTCGTTTACGTACCAACTTGTGATACTAGAGGTTTTGCAAACTCACCAACACTCTGTTCTTGTTGTTTATCAAGGAAGTAGTTGATAAGTGATAAAGAGACCTTGATCGTACAACGAGATAAGGTTCGGGACGATCAGCATAGACACAGAGAAAAGAGAATGGGTAAAGCAGTTTCCAAGTTATCAAAAGATGATCTTAACCAACTTCGTCAAAAGACGTACTTTGATAAAAGGGAATTACAACAATGGTATAAAGGGTTTTTAAGAGATTGTCCGTCTGGTCAATTGTCAGAGGAAGAGTTTTCTAAAGTTTTCAAACAGTTTTTCCCATTTGGGGATCCTACCGATTACTGTCATTATTTGTTTAAGTTGTTTGATACCGATAATTCAAAATATATTGATTTCAAAGAATTCATAATAGCCTTATCAATTACCAGTAGAGGGGATATAGATCAGAAGTTAGAGTGGAGCTTTAGGCTCTACGATTTGGATAAGAGTGGTAAAGTTGGGTATGCTAATGTTTTAAGGGTGATTCAGGCAATTTACAAAATGATTGGTCCAATGGTTCAGCTTCCAGAAGACGAAAAAGATCCCGAATTGAGGGCAGCTAAACTCTTCAAGCAATTAGAGAAGGATCCTAGTGTTGATTATCTTGAGTTTGACGATTTTAAGCGTTTGGCTCAAATTGACCCCTCATTGGTTAATTCTTTATCTGCTTATGATGGCCTTGTTTAGCATAATCTCCCTTTACATGTTTCCTTCGAATTTAGTTCTTCTAACGTCATCTTTATGCTATGATATTTGTATAGTAGTAAAAATAGTTTTATTCTAATTGATCTTTTTCTTTTGTCTCTAATTAATTGCATTTTTCTATGGTAAACTACATTGAATCTTAAAGATTACTTGTAAATTATTATAAAATTAATACAACCGAGCGAATGATCGCCTGGGATAAAAAAAATTAGAAATGAAGGCCAAATATCGTATTATCAAGGTTCCTTCTTGATAAGATATATAATTTAAAATAACAAGAGCGAAGTAAAATTCTTTTATGACGGGATTAGAAAAACAAATGCTATACGCTACTGTTGACTCTCGACAGCTTCTAATAAGCCATCCAACAACTCATCAACTTCATTTATATCAACTCCTGTACAAAAACTAACAACTTTCTTGAATTTCGATGTGAGTTCTGAGTAGTCCGATAAACCATTCAATTCGCTTTGTAATTTTTTATTAACTTCTTCATAAGCTTTAGTTCTTGCCTTTAAAGTTGAGAGTGAAGGTAATGCATTGGTCAAGTTTGAATCATTTACCAACGAGTTTATATCAATTTCTTCATTATTAATCAATTTTTCATATATTGGTTCGATTATGAAAGTTTCGTCAGCGTTAAATTTTTCATCCTTCTCCAAATCTTCATCTTCGGATAAATATTTCTTCAATTGTTGACATTTATCATTTATATTTGTCATTTGTAATTTTAAATTATCTAAATCTGATAATTTTTCAATAATTTTTTTCGTCATATATCTATTATTAGCAGTCATTAAGGTTGAATCATGTAATTGTTTGTTCAATTTAACAACTTGTTTTTTCTTTGTATTTATAATATTTTCATATTCTGCATTAGTATTCGATAATAAGTCTTGAATACTTTGAAAGATCTTATTTGAAAGCAAATCAGATTTATTATCGGTAACGGGTCTGGGAGTGTTACTTATTAAATCATCAACTAAATCTTCTTGAAAATTTTTTGAATCATTAATATTAAAATCATCAACTTCATCTCTTTTCTTCAAAAACTCAACACTGGTTTGAACCAAATTAGTAATATAATCATCTTCGTCAGAATTTTCATTATTTAAAAGTTCTGACACAATTTTAAAATCAATTGGTTTAACATTCATTTTATTTGTAAGGTTAACATCAGCATTTAGTTTTAATAAGATATTTACTAACCATTTTGACTCTTGTTCAGCGGCTAAATGTAAAGCAGTATTACCATCAACTTTATCTTGAAGGTTGATTATTTGATTACATAAATTGAATAGATTTTGATGATTAGTTGATGAGTTAACAATCTCATTACTTTCATTCTTAATTGAAATAAATGAAGATGAAATCCACTCCAATATCTTTGTTAAGTAATATTTCGTACTTTCAAAATTCTTTTTTGGTTGAATTACTAAATGATGTAAGAAAGATCTTCTGTTATGATCCAATAACCATAAATTTGGCCATAACCAATTATTTAATAATTCTGGGAAATTACCATTTTCTTTTGAATTTGTTACTTGAATTGCTGATATTAAAGGAGATTCACCATTTGAATCACCTCTAATTGGTGAAGAAATACAAAGTTTAATAAAACTAGAAACCAATTCCAAGGAACCTAAAGTAGCAGCAAAATGTAATGCGGTTTTACCAGAATCATCTAGTGGTACATCAGTTATTGTTATTTGATCAAAAGGATGGGAATGTTCATTTAAAATAGGTTGAAAAATTGTTTTGATATTCTTAAAAGTAATTTTAGGATTATTGAACACTTCACCGAATTTCAGTTTAATTTGATTAATTATTTCTTCCTTTTCGTTATTAACAATCGGAGGTAAAGTGAAAGGATGATTAACATTCGATTTGAATATCTTTTGTAAATTAATTTCAGTAGTTTTATCTAAACCGTCATTAGAAATTTGTTTATTTAATTTTTGTTTCTTGGTGGGGGATCCCATCAAGCTTGCATTTGCAGAATCATTATTAGACTCCTCTTCAAAAGGCCCTCTTTTCTGTTGACCTAAAGAGTTAATTCTTGGGAATGATTCGAAATCATGTACGTCAATTAAGAATAATTTTTTAACATATTCATATAAATCAAATTTTAAAGCTAAATTAACTGATTTATCATAAGGGATCCATAACCCTTTAATTTCTTCAACTTTATGATTGGTGAAATCATCATATTTTGATAACGCTTTCTTATAAGTATTATCAGATTTAGACGAAGTATACTGAGAATTAGTTAAAATTTCATTCTTCAAGAAATTATCAACTTGAGATTCGTTAAAAAATCCCGTTTTCACAAGAATATGCAATAATTGTGATATATTGACATATGAATCTTGAACACGTCTCAATATGATAACTGATTGATCTAGTGGCATGGTCGATCCTTTATTCAATCCCAAGGATGACTTTTTCCATGTCAATGTTAACTGGAAGAATTTCTGGCCCGAATAAATGACCGAGTTAACCGATGCGGATAACGATGAATTCAAGTGAGTATCACCTAACCTATTCAGTATCGAATTAGCAGTGACATCACCTATCTGTAATGGAGATTCCATGATTATCTTTCTGTATTTAATCAATGAAAAACGAAAGATTTTCTTAAATAAATAATAATAATATAATTAATACTTGGGTACGCGTTATAACGGGTTATAATGGATCTTCTAATCAATGTTTCCAACAGAGTAACCTCACAATTGCCGGTGTTGTATTCTACTTATTATTCTCTTTCGTCTGTACAAACAAGTAGTCAAGTTGAACCCTGAATGTTTGGAAAGTTTAAACTGAAAATTTTAAACCTAGACGTGACTGGGAATCAATCCAACCTTCAATATCTCTTGATGCGAATAATATCAAAACTAACCAGTTCCTAAATATCCGGAAACCCTTTCCCTATCTCTTCAAAACCTTCTGAAACAGCTTCTGACTGGGAATAACTAGTTGCCCTTTGAACAATTCTCTTCTCGTAGTGCTTTTCTTTCAGTATTATATTGTTGAACTTTTTTGTGTGTGCTGAGCCAAAAAGGTTTCTGGTGAACTTTCCTATCTAAGTGATATTTTAGGGCGCGTCGGGTGCACGGGTGTTTATGCTAAATGGTGCACGGAGGTATACCGATTTGCAAAAAGAACAAACAAAAAGGAGAAGAGCATCGAGTCAGCGGTAAGAACCACAGCAAGAACCCCAGAGGAAATGGACTATTCGGACAGGGTGAATGCTAAGAAAGGAGGTGGTGGTGTGGCCGATACGCAGGAAACCAATGTCCACACCAAAAGGAGATTGAAAGAGTTGCTTACGTCTGAAGTGTTGGATTTGGAGAACGATCCGTATGTTTTCAGAAACCATCTCGGACTATTGGAATGCCGTCTTTGCTTGACGACCCATACTAATGAGTCGTCCTACATATCACACTTGGGGGGCCGGAAGCATACCCTGAATTTAGAAAGACGGAGAATCTTGGATGAAAAATATAATCGTAAGAACAACGCCAATGGCCAGAGAGCCGATGGGGGTGGAGTCAATGGGATTACAATCAATAACATTGTTAAAAGGACATGGAACAAGATTGGAAGACCGTCGTATAAGATCACCAAGGTACGTGATCCCACGAGTCTTCAGATGGGGGTGCTTATCAACGTGAAGTATCCAAGCATCACCACCAAGGAACCATTATTTCTCATTATGTCTTACTATGAGTTGTCTGCGTCCAATCAAACCCAATCTGCCGAGTATTTTCAATCTTTCAAGAATGAAGAAGATGAAGACGGCGGACTAGATCCAAAGCAATGGCAGTACGTTGTTTTCTCCGCCCAGCCGTACGAGAACATTGCCATTGCCATCCCTGTTGATAAAGAGATCGATCGGCCTGCCGAATCAGACGAGATGACCAAGAGCTATTGGTGGTTCTGGGACGAAGATACAAAAGAGTTCTTCTTGCAGCTTTTATTCAAGTAGTCCGAAGGAAAGCTCCGTACCTCGGCTTTTTGATACGAAATCATATGGTGTGCGATAGAAGGCAATTTTTTTTTTCAATTTGGTCTTCCAATAGAACCACCTAGAATATTAGTATTGAAAATATACAGCATCACCACCAAGAATCTTTCAACACCTTTTCAGATAGCATAGCAGTCCCCAGGGAGAAGTAGCCTTATTGGAATTTAGTGCAAAATTATTTCATCTATATCCCGGTATCAATTATCAAGTAACAATCATTAATGGGACAAGATCAACGAGATGAACAAAGCTTTTTCTTACAAAAATGTGAAGAAGCATATCACTTAGTGACTCAGTATTTAAATGATGAACTTCCTTGGGGGGTTGTGCCGCAAAGACGTAATGGATATAAATATAATGCAGATTTACGAAATCAAGTTAAAAGTAAAATTCTTCAAACAATGGATGTTTTGGGTACTGCAATTGATAGACATGGTTTGGAAGAAATAGCTATATCCTATAATGGTGGTAAGGATTGTCTAGTAATGTTGGTTATTCTACTAGCAACAATCCACTCTAAATTTTCATCGAACGCATTTACAAACCCTTCGATAAATTTACTTCCCCATGATTATAGATTAGACTCAATCTACATTAATTCTGAATTGCCTTTTAAAGAGTTATCAAATTTTATAGAAAAATCAACTCATGATTATCATCTAAATCCAATCATTATAAAAATGGATTTAAAAGATGGATTTGAATACTATTTGAATAAAATTAATCCCAAAGTTAAATCAATCATTGTTGGCGTACGATACTATGATCCTTACGGCTCTAAATTATCTTATGAACAAATGACTGACCATAATTGGCCATCTTTCCTAAGAATTCACCCAATTCTTCATTGGAATTATGTGGATATCTGGGATTTTTTGGTTGGTTGTAATCTAGATTATTGCTCAGTTTATGATCTAGGGTATACCAGTTTGGGTGGAGTTGAAAACACTCAACCGAATCCTTACTTAAAACAACCCGATAATACCTATTTACCAGCATATATGTTGGATGAGAACGCCGACGAACGAGAACGATTAGGTAGAGCTTAATAAGACATTTTTGCATTTCATATCATCACCATGGTTTTTATTCGATAAACTTTTTTTTTTTTGCTTTTTTTTTTTAGTATAGATATATATATACATATATATCTTATTTTTTTTTTGTCTCTTATAGGGTTGAAATACAGATTTATCAGAGTAACGTATGTTAGTAGTATAAATTGGTAAGATTGGTGTTAAAAATGAAGTTAAAAATGTAAACTATAGAGAGGATTATACAATAAAGAAGAATTGAAATTATATTAAATAGTAAACCCAACCGCAATTAAGAGAATCGTTGATTGTCATGCAAAACGTAAAAAATACAAGCACAGTTAAACTGTCTAAATCAAACTAGCTCTTCTTTGGCCTGATTTATTGGTGCCGGCACTGCTAACCAAGACTTGCTTGTAATAATCATCGCATAAAGGACCAACACCGATTTTACCAAGAGCATATTCTGCACTTGTGTGGTCAGGAGCTGGTGAAGATGCCTGGCTTCCTTGCTCTTGTAGTGTTAAAGCTTTGAGTTTAGCTTGCAATTCAACTTCTCGATGGTTATTTTCATCAATTAAATTTTGCAAATATTGTAAATATTCAACAGACTTGGTTAAAATTTGACCTTTATTTGGTTTTCCATCTTTTGTACCTGAATTCTTCATCGCTGCCGCTATAGCAGCATCATTATCATTTTCTGCTTCATTTTGAGTATTTTTCGTTTCTTGAGCAGATTCTTGGAAAAATTCAGCAGGTATTAAAGTCAATAACTCTTGAATTTTTTCATTAATGTTATCTCTTCTTTTACGTTCGTTTCCTTGGGTTTCATCTTCATCGTTATCTTCATTATCACTAGCGTTATTTGATTTCATTGGGATAATAGAATTCTTTCTTGACTGCGGTTTGGAAATGCCCCCAGAGGGTCCTCCTCCGCCTCCAAACGATTGCGACAACTGTTTCTTAATGTCCAATGATTTGCTTAAAACATCATTACTTGGCGACAGCTCTTTCTTTATCTTAATACTGGGGACATTCAACGAGTTTTGCTTCGAATAATCAGGCACAGGTGACACTGAATTGGATGTACCTGATACAGTATCCGAATTTGACGACTGTGCATTGGGACTCATATATGATTCTTTAAATCCTGAAAAGTCAGACATACTGGATTTTTCTTTTTAAACTGAATAAATTAGAAAAAGCAGATATATATATTCATGCTGGTATGTATTTACTGGACTTTTTTTTTTTTTTTGGGCAATAGCCCATACACTACCATTGCAAAAAACTAATTAGGGTAACGATAACGTTTGTATGAAAATATATACAGGGGTTCAATAAGTTATATAAATGGTTAGAAGAGGTTTCTTTTGAAGTCGTTATCAGCGGGGCCATCCAATTGGTCTTCCCTAACGAGAGAGCTGGCCAAATGCTGTATTTGGCGTTGGAGATTATTGGCCCTTGCATCATCTTCAATGGTCCAAATTGGAACTTTTATATCTGAATTTAACTCCAGATGTAGATTGTCATTTTTGCCTAGTTTTAAATTATAATAGTCGATAAGGATTTGTTTTACGATGTTAACGGTCATGAGATCACCTTCAAATCCGTTATTACGCATTTCAGTGAAAATCATTTCAATCCCATATAAGTTCGACTTACCAAAATAGATCCAGTAAGTTCTCAAAATTTCGTTATAGGTTTGTTGATTCACCATAATGGCGTAGAGTTCTAAGTCTTGTTTGATAAAGTTGAAAAGGTTGATTGTTAATTGGCCGTTATAAAAGTTATAACTCAAATTGTGCAAGATTTTGTTGAAGATTAACGGTAAAGTTATAACGTTAACTTTTGGAGAAGAGGCATTCTGTTCTATCGATTCTTTGTTATCATTAAGTATTTGTGAATGACGATGGTCGAATTCTTTATCGACAAATAAGGAATTCAAGTAAAGTTCGTTAAGTACTTGATCACTTAGCTCTTCATTTGTATCAGTTCCGTGTATTTCATACCATGTATTCAAAAGAGATCTTAAGAAATCAATTTGGCTAACAGGAGTTTTTAAATTGGTATCGATATGAGTGTAAACTGGTTGTAATGCAAGTTCCATGAATTCGAATATCTGCCTCTTCAATCCTTTAGACAGCAGGTGAAAATTAGTTTTATTAACTCTTAATGCTTGATCAACTTGTCTCTTTGTACTTTTCAAAGAATCTTGCATATTCCATAATACTTCATCTTCGATATTTTTATGCTCTGGCTCGGTTATATAAGTATTGAATATATTTTGGAGCAAGTTACGTTCTTCATTAATAAACTTATTTTTACGAGCATCTTCTTTAGATATATCATCAAGTTCATAAGTATTTTCATCATTCTTATCAATATCAATCTTTCTTAGATCTTGCTTTGGGGAAGTCAAGAATTCATCACTTCTTATTGGTTCTTGCTTATCATGGGATGAAAAATCTAATGATTCTAATAATTTGTCAAACTCTTGTTGTTCAGAGTTTTCTGATTTTATAGGTTCTTTGGGGTTTGTTTCAACGGAGACTTCATCCTTAAAATTGGCAAATAGAGAGTCCAAGTCAATGGCTGTCTCTTCTTTCAGTGAACTCTCTCGAACTTTAGGTTCCTGTGATGTTTGTTCTTTTAAAATTTTATCGAATCTTGAGTTAATATCTTGATTTGTGTTGGAATCATCACTCATATATCGACAGAACGTGAGCCTCTTATTTCGTAAAAGGTATGACTGTATAGCTGGTTTATTCAGTATACGCGTGGCATTGCCTATATACTTGAAATGCCTTATCATGACTATGCTTGTTCGATCTTGACACTGATTGAATGTAGAAGACTAGTGAACTGAAAATTTCTCATCAGCTCAAAAAAAAACCAACTTGAGAAAAAGTAATGCGACTACAGAAGATGAAGTACTGTAAGATGCTGATGTATTAAATGTACAGAATAAATAATTATAGAGCCGGTACCCATGCCTGTGTATGAATTACAGGTACGGCTTAAAAGAATTGAAGAGTTACAGTAAATCGTATAACGAAAAAAAAAAAAAAAAAAAAAAAAGATAAAAAAAACAGGCAAAGGAACGATGTTGTTGCAGCCAAATTAATCGATCTCGACTACTTCATCAGCAACACCATTTTCATTGTGTATGAGTGATTCTTCACGTTTGGCATTTTCAGCTTCAAGTTTAGCCGTTTCAGCTTCTTGTTCAGCTTCGGTTGTTTTGTTAACAATCTTGAACACCCCTTCATTTATATCTACCACATCGACCCTCAAGTTAGAACCGTCGGGACCAAGAATTGAGGAGTATTTTGGATGAGGAATATTCCATTTAGGACCTAATTTTTGACAAAGATGACTTGCAACATCATCACAATAACCCAATAAGCTAACATCGAAATTGCAATGATCGATTGGATCTCTATTGATTAAGACTTGAGGAATTTTAGGTGGAACTCTTTCAATTATATCAGCAACTGGAGATACTTTCAAAGAGGTACCAATGCTAATGATTAAATCACAATCCAATAGATCTTTCTTTATTGAGTCATGAAATTTTCTGGGTAAAGCTTCTCCGAAAAAAGTTATATCCGGTTTCATAACACCATAACTTTCTGGTAAATAACTAACTTCATCATTTTTCAATAATTTAAGTCTAGTAGAATTACATTTTGGACAATAAGCGATTTCTTTATTTCTTATTGCTGGGAAAATTTTTTCACCTTTAACTTTATATTGACAAGTGACACAGGTGGCAAAAGCAAAGGAACCATGACATTGGATTAATTTATCGGGATGAATTCCAGCATAACTTTCTAGATTATCGATATTTTGAGTATAGTTTCTTAATAATTTTTGTTTTGATTGTAATAATTTAATAAAAGAATGTAAAGGAGAATGAATATTTTCTGGGGGTAATATCATAAACGCAATTGAATAAAAAATACTTGGATCGGTATGGAAAAGTTCTAAATCAAAAACTTCTTGAGGATCACTTAATCCTAAACTTTCTAATTTTGAATAAAAACCTTTGGAAGATCTAAAATCAGGTATACCTAAAGAAGTTGAGATTCCGGCTCCGGTAATTACTAAAATTTTATTAGCCAGTTTGACTTTACTTAACACATGATCGATATTATAAAAATCATGGATTCTAGAACGCATTAAACGAACTTTTTTCATTGCAGCATGTAATAATTTGATAAGACCAATAATTTTTTCATCATCAAAACTGGGTAAATTTTTTGGTAAAAATCCAAGGTTTATAATTAAGTTTAATAAATCAGAGCTGGTGGCAGTTGTTGGCAAATAGTTTTCGAGGAATGCCACTGTTCCGTGTTCTTTTAAAAACTTTCTTGTATCTGAGATTGTTTTACGAGATTGTTCGGTATTATTTAGATTATTATTATCCGATTCATCTTCATTTGAAGGAGCATCATTCGAAGGAGCATCCTTTAAAGGAGCATCCTTTAAAGTAGTATGATCACGGGTAGATATTTGTTGCAAAACGCTTGAATCTGAAGAGTAATCGTAAGAAGACGATGAAGCACCTCCATCATGAATTACCATTCCTTCATTATTATCGCCATCTGATTCTGAAATTGACGTAGAAGAAGATAAGTTAAAGTCTCGAGGGTTCTCGTGGGTAGATGCGACTTCCTGTGGTGGAGATGGTGAAGAAGACGATGAACTTCCTGATCCTGATGGAGACGATGACGATGATGTATTATTCATATACGGTTTTTTAAATGATCCCAAGGTATTAGTATCCCCATTTGGCTTATGTTTCTTCAACGGATGCGAGCTAGACTCGCTCGTTTCAGAGTCAGAATCAAGCAATATGATATCCCCTTGAAGCTTTTCAGAAGCTGAAATCTTGGTCATTTCAATAAACTCTCTAATTATACAATCTTCTATAAGCAGCTGGAGAAAAGACAAGCCTCTTAATAAATCAAACAACTGGGCTACTCAACAATGTCAACTGTTTTCCTTCTTCTGTTTGCAATGTTGATGCAATATCCGTGCTTTGTAACTGGTTTTCGCTAACTAGAGACGTGTTTAAGATTTTGGTTTGTGGTGTTGAGATGTTTTGTTTAGAAAAAGAAAAAGAAAAAAAAAAGAAAGCTGTTGATGATGGGGTCGTGCGATGGGCGGATTTGGTGTATGGGTGTTATGTGAGATGTACGGAGGTGTTATCGGTTGGCGCATCGCAAGACTCGGGACGTTAACAGTGGACACCAGCCATACGCCAGACGACGGCTCTGCACTCTACGTAGCTCAATTACTTACGCTGACCGCACAGTCCACTTACCACAATGGTCCTTCAGCACACGGACAATCAGTAATGGCTGGCAGAAGAGGAATTGTGCCTTGCAGTGATTTTGTCCCTTAGTTTAGGAGCGCGTTTTCGATCCTCGACGTTTTTTGCTCCCACGAACAAATCGAAAAACTTGTCCTTTTCCAATTTGAAAAAAAATTGAAAGTGAAAAATCGACCTCTTCTTTTTCTTCTTCTTTACGTTGATACTTGATAAGAAGATGCTTCAAGGAGTTGAATTCATCAATACGCCTAAACAGGGCCCAATTGAGCCAGCCTCGGATAAGTGTGGGATTTTAACCACTGATTCCCCAACTATTCATAATGCACCCTTACCAGCCGATGGACCAGGAGCCAAAAACTTTAGTAATTTAGCAATGTTTGGATTTGTTGTTTTGATTCCAGCCTTCATTACCCGTAAGATTGGTTTAGGATTCAAGACCTGGTTATTTTTCACTTTAATTTTAGCCTTACCAATTATGATGGCTTATTGGACAATTGTTAGTTCATATTCACCAAGATTAAATGAAAAAGTGAAATTTCCAAATAGACCAATTAGTTATTATTTAGAATACCATACTCCAGAATTGAAAGCTAAATATATTGATTCAAATAATGGACAAGGAAGTAAAATTCCAATGGAAACATTCCATGAATTATATTTCCAAGGTAAAGTTAGTTTTAAAGGAGATTGTTTAGATGTTATGGAATACAGACATGATTGGTGTAATTTCAGATTCACCTTATCCTTATTTAGATATTTCTTATTAGGAATGATTCCTGAAGTTATTTTACATTCTAAATCTCAAGATGAAGAACAAGTTAGAGATCATTATGATAGAGGTGATGATTTTTATACTTGGTTTTTAGGACCAAGAATGATTTACACTTCTGGGGTTATTACCGATAATACTAAAGAAGAAAGTTTGGAACAATTACAAGATAATAAATTAAAGATTGTTGCCGATAAAATTCAATTAAAAGAATCTGATCGTGTATTAGATTTAGGTTGTGGTTGGGGTGCTTGGACCACTTATGGCTCAAGCCAATTCGGTGCTAACATTACCGGGTTAACCTTGGGTAAAAATCAAACTAAATGGGGTAACACTTTATTAGAAGATTATGGTATTAGTCAAGAACAATCTAGAATTGTTTGTTGTGATTATCGTGATGCTCCAAAATCAGATAAAGCAAATGGTAAATACGATAAAATCACTTGTTTGGAAATGGCTGAACATGTTGGTATTAGAAGATTCAGTGCTTTCTTAGAACAAGTTTATGATGCTTTGGAAGATGATGGTTTATTTTTCTTACAATACGCCGGTTTAAGAAAAACATGGCAATATGAAGATTTGGTTTGGGGGTTATTTATGAACAAATATATTTTCCCTGGTGCCGACGCTTCCACTCCTCTTTCATTTGTTGTTAGTGCTTTAGAATCCGTTGGGTTTGAAGTTGTTTCTTTAGATAATATCGGGGTTTCTTATAGTGCTACCTTATGGAGATGGTATAGAAATTGGTTAGGTAACAGAGAAAACGTCATCAACAAATACGGTATTAGATGGTTTAGAATCTGGGAATATTTCTTAGCTTCTTCCACCATCACTTCTAGACAAGGGGGTGCTACTTGTTACCAATTTGTCTTGAGAAAAAACATCAATTCTTATCACAGAGTCAATTACGTCCCTGCTCAAAAAGGTTTATTGACTCCTGCTAAAGAAGGTACCCAATGGGCCAAACAATTGTAAGCTATATCCTATCTAATTAAAATATATAGAATAATTATATACTAACACTTATATAATAATCGGTTACATCAGTGATTAGTTATACAAGAGTTATAAAATTGAATAGTTATAAAATTGAATAGTTATAAAATTGAATAGTTATAAAATTGAATAGTTATAAAATTGAATAGTTATAATATTAAATAGTTATAAAATTGAATAGTTATAAAATTGAATAGTTATAAAATTAAATAGTTATAATATTAAATAGTTATACAATTAAATGGTTATATACTTATGAAGAATGATTGCAAAAAGGTCGTGGGACGGGACTGCTGTGCTGCTCACGTGCTGCTTACTTAAGCCTGCCGACCCGTGGCAGTGTGCAGTCCCTGTCCAAACTCCCTCGGTGGCCGGAGCGGGCTTCCCTTGGCCCGGGCGTGGCCTGCTCTGATAAGGGCTTTTTCGCTACAAATCACAGGTTGTTCGACTCGAGTGACTCTGATACGGTGACGGAGCCGACTCCGGGACCACCCTGTTTGTCGGACTTGTCCACTGGGGGAGTCACTAGTTGGAAGTTCGGACGTTCTGGTGTTCTGGAAGCTGGAGAGTCGGCCACTAGGACTGTCTGGTGGGCCTGTTAATGCAATTAGACTGCAATTGAGTGCAATTGGATACAACTGAATACAATTGGATACAGTTAAAATGCATAACTCCATGGCCAAAGTCCTGACTCTGAGAAGGTTCCGTTGAAACGAACAATGCTTATGCGTGGATAACCTTTTTATTTTGTTTTTTAGTGCGGTTTGGAAATTCTGGGGTAAAGGGGAATTATTCAACCGGACAAAATTAGTATGGAAAATATAAATAGGTTGCTTTCTCCCTTATTGAATCTTTGCCAGCGAAGAAATACTTTAGTGTATATTCAATTATATTAACAATGTCTACTCCATTCCCACAAACTTCTGATAAATTAAAGGGTGTTGAAATTTTGGCTCCAATTCCTGCTGATGCTAAACATATTTTCAATGCTGAAGCCCTTGGATTAGTTGCTACTTTACATCGTGCTTTCCAAGGTACTAGAAAACAATTATTGGCTAATAGAAAAGAACAGCAAGCTTTAAGAGATGGTGGTTATTTACCAGATTTCTTACCAGAAACTGAATATATCAGAAATGATGCAACTTGGACCGGTCCACCTTTGGCTAAAGGTTTAGAGGATCGTAGGGTTGAAATTACTGGTCCAACCGATCGTAAGATGGTTATCAATGCTTTGAATTCTCAAGTTGCCACTTATATGGCTGATTTTGAAGATTCCTTGACTCCTGCTTGGGCTAATTTGGTTGATGGTCAAGTTAATTTATATGATGGGGTTCGTAGAAACTTAAACTTTAAATCAAATGGTAAAGATTATAAATTAAACTTGGATCCCAAAAGACACATTCCAACCTTGATTGTTAGACCAAGAGGTTGGCACTTAGATGAAAAACACGTTTTGGTTGATGGTGAAGCCGTTTCTGGTGGTATTTTTGATTTTGCCATTTATTTTTACAATAACGCCAAAGAAAGTGTCAAACAAGGTTTTGGTCCTTATTTCTACTTACCTAAAATGGAACACCATTTAGAAGCTAAATTATGGAATGATATTTTTAATTATTCTCAAGATTATATTGGTTTACCAAGAGGTACCATTAGAGGTTCTGTTTTGATTGAAACCTTACCTGCTGCTTTCCAAATGGATGAAATTATTTATCAATTAAGACAACATATTGGTGGGTTAAATTGTGGTAGATGGGATTATATCTTTTCTTACATTAAATCTTTAAGAAATCATCCAGAATTTATTTTACCTGATAGATCTCAAGTTACCATGTCGGCTCCATTCATGGCTTCTTATGTTAATTTATTGGTTCACACTTGTCATAAAAGACAAGTTCATGCCTTGGGTGGTATGGCTGCTCAAATTCCAATTAAAAATGATGAAGCTAGAAATAAAGCTGTTTTGGAAAATGTTTATAAAGATAAATTAAGAGAAGTCACTGCTGGTTGTGATTCTTGTTGGGTTGCTCATCCTGGTTTGGTTCCAATTGTTTTGAAGGTTTTCAATGAACACATGAAGGGTCCAAATCAAATTAATGTTCCTCCAAGAACTCCTTATAAACCAGTTACTGCAAGAGATTTATTAAGTCCTTATGTTCCAAATGCTAAAGTCACCGAACAAGGTATTAGAGCTAATATCATTATTGGTTTATCCTATATTGAAGCTTGGTTACGTAACATTGGTTGTGTTCCAATTAATTACTTGATGGAAGATGCTGCCACTGCTGAAGTTTCAAGAACTCAAATTTGGCAATGGGTTACTCATGGTTATGTTACCGATCAAGGTAAGAAGATTACCAAAGATTACGTTAAACAATTATTGAATGAAGAATATAAAAAGTTATCCGATTCTGCTAAACCTGGTAATAAATTCAAACGTGCTTTGGAATTCTTCACTCCTGAAGCCTTGGGTGAAAAATACTCTGATTTCGTTACTTCTTTGATTTATAACGATGTTACTACTGTTGGTAGACCAACCGCTGCCAATAAATTGTAAGCTGGCCTATATTTTTTTGTTGATCAAAGAAAAATACAAAAAATAAGTTCAGTTCTTTCCCTCTATTTATTTACTGTTTATATGATGAAATGAATTGTGAATTTTGAATAATGATGTAGTTATTGAAAAGTTGCGCCAATTTGTTGATTAGGGTTAAGCCATGAGCGATTTAACAGGCGACATGTGAATTACAAGCTTATAAAAATAGCTTACCATGGCACAAAAATTATAAATACCAACAAGGTAGGCAGATAACAAGATAATAAATACATTAATGAGGTAATTGGGTAAATATACATTAACTAGAAACGAATAGAGAAAACGGTCAACGTCGTAAAAATGCAGCAAAACGCTCGCATGAATGTTCTTGGCAGGGGAATTTCGCAGCCATGGCCAACAAATTAATTTTTTTTGGTTGAATTATTCACGGTTACTTCATTTTTTTCCGATTGTTCAATCTGTTGAACGTCGTTAGTTTCGCTGAATTTATTGTCGTAGAAATCATTCAATTCTTTTTCTTCTTGGATATCTTGTTCGATTGTTTTTCTTTCTGGACCAAGTAGAAGAACTAAGAAAAGATAAGCGTAAACGCAACACATAAAGATTAATAAGACTTTCCCATAATCGAAAACATGTTTACCATTAATATTAAGAGGGAATCTCGCACCAATGGTTGATTCAATTGTAGAAGAAGCAGAACTAGCCAAATTACCTAATTGATAACTCATACCCACAATAAAAGATTTCAATTCTGGATCAGCTAAAGAATTAAGAAACAGGGGTACAATGGCAAAACAACCTTGAGCGAAGAATTGTAAGAAAAAGGCAGCAGCGTTAAGGGAACCAATTGAACCAGTATAATGACTCCAAGAATAAACCACTGCATAGGATAAGATGCAGCAAGAAACCCCAATCAAACGGCTACCAACGAATACGGAGAAATGACCAACAATCAACCCTCCAGCGATGGCACCTATATTAGCAACACAATTGGTAACCGTGGCACGATCATTTGAAAAACCTAATTGAACTTTCAAAAAAGTTGGGTATAAATCTTGAGAACCATGAGACATGAAATTGAAACCTGACATTAATAAAATAAGATAAACAAACATAAGCCAATAATCTTTCATGATACGGACGAACTTACGGTTGAAAGGTTCAGTAACAACCCCATTCAGTTGTTGTAATTTAGATTCTAAAATACGTTCCCTGGTTAAATTTGTTTGTGGTAAGATCGTTCTGGAAATGGCAATAATAAACGTGATACCTGCTTCTACCCAGTACATGGCTCTCCATGTATGGGATTGAGTATCGGCAATTGCTCTAGTGAAAACCACCGCAATCAAGTAACCAGTTGCATAACCTTGTTGTAAAAGACCGGAAATGACCCCTCTTGCTCTAGGAGGACAATCGTCCACTATATTGACAGTTAGTAATTGACTCATGAGTCAAGGCGGAAAAACAATCCCACCAGATATTCACTTATCTCCTTTGAATATTCACCAATGATTCGCTATTGTGTAATTGTTGTTGACAGCTTAATGCGAATCATTTCTATTGTTGATGGACTCCGATTCCGCATCAATTTAAAAAAGGGCGAAAGGAATGGTTTTGAAAAATATACATACATGCAGTAGAGACAGCATTACCATAAATCCCACCCATTACAATACCAAACAAGGCTCTAACGGCTATATGAAGTTAGTAAACTGAGTTTTGCAAGAGTTTTTGTAATGATTTTTTTTTTGTGAAACTTTTCAATCTCGGAAGGTCAACTCCGAAGATGCGAAAAACATACCTAAGAACTGGGAATAAGTTTGAATAAAAGAAAATCCGATTTGGATACAAGTCATTAAGAGAATATTGATGACAAGCGGCCATTTGGAACCGTACTTATCTGAAAAATACCCAAAGATGAAAGCCCCAACACTTCTCAACATTAAAACAACAGTAGTACCCCAAGTGATATTTGTAGTTGAAGTATTTAAATCTTTAGATAAAGCATCTACATTCATAACCACACTAAAGAAATCCAAAGCATCAGCACACCAAGCCAAAAAGGCAATCACGATATAATTCCACTGATGAGCAGGTATTTCTTTCAAAGCAGGTATTGGGTTTAATAAATGCTTATTCTGTAACATGAACTCTTTACTTGGAGCCAAATCAGTGAATCTGGTTTTCAAGTACTTGGATATCGATCTCAAGTCAAAATGGGGTTTATAAAACGGTTCATAATCATCTTGATGGGATTTTTCAATATTATTATTTTCTAAATCGTTTGTTTTATTAGTATGAATAGAAGTCATTCTAAGGATAAAAACTTAATGCTAAAACTAAAACCAAAATAATAAAGGAATAATCTCTAATTTATATAATATGACAAACTCGAAAATCTTACAAAATGATATACTTTCCTTCATAGAAGGCTTATTGTTTTTTTCCTATTTTCTCTCCGGATAATCTATGGCCTCTCTTGCCGTCTCTACCTTAATACCGTATTTATTACCGTGAATGCGTCTCCCATCCTCTATCTATTCTATCTGCGCTGCCTCCTTCACCTTTCCTATCGCACCTACTCCATCGGCCCTACATCCCTACCTACTCCCCAACATCCTCCTCCTACATCTGCTGCTCTCTGGACCGGTGCAATTAATGGCCCAATCAAATCCTCTGCTTTGACTGCAAGTTAACCCTTTGGTCTTTGTATCTGAGTCCTGCACACAACCAGACGTCGCTCGCTTTATTTTGTGTTCCCGGTGGGGACAGTTTCTGTCAATGAGCGCGGGGAACATACGTAGTACGAGTTGTATTATAGTTGTATAATTGTTTCGACTGCTATACTTGTGTAGTTGTTGCAGTAGTAGTGGCTGCTGTTATACTTGTCGTTATACCGTATGTTATAGTATAGGTGGTATAGGGTATAGATGGTATAGGTGGTATAGGTGGTATAGGTGGTACGAGGCATAGATGTATGCTATGGATAGCTATATTCCTGGCTGTAGATAGTATTCATTAGATGTAGGGCTACGGCATTCCCTTGTGAGATTGTTTCCCCGGGTCGACAGCTGATCGAACTTACTTATTGTTCGGTTGACTTATTGTTCCAACGATCGTATCACAATAGCAGGGAAGATTGTAGTGATGAACGTGATGTGAGCATATGTTGGTCTTAGTAGTGGTATTGGGATTAGTGACGGCAGACTTCGTGATATTGGTGGTGCCAATGGTGATATTGGTGGTGCTGGTGGTGATATTGGTGGTGCTGGTGGTGCCAATGGTGATATTGGTGGTGCTGGTGGTGGTATTTGGCTTGTTGTGGTGTAGGATTGGGGTGTGGTTTGGGTCTTTCTTGGGGACCGTTGGCTGCACCCGTGCACCGCAAAAAAGTCCGATGAACCAGCTGTCAATAAGGGGAAAATTTGAAAAGGTTAAACCGTTTTAACAGCTATAAATTTATTAAACAGTATGGTAAGTAATCGTCAGTTTAGATTGATAGGGGTATCCTTATTGAGTATTATCTTGATAACCATATTATACCGATCAAATACCGCTAGTAAAGCTATTCTTTCTCCAGCAACATTAGATACACAAATTCAAGATTCTAAACAACAAACATTAATTACATCCAATAATTTAATTGATTCAAATAATGATGATAAGTTGGACGCAGCTATAAATAACGAAATACTGAAGTTGGGAGGAGGGAAAGAAGAGGTGAAAGAAGAGAGCGAAATCATTGAAAATACCCAAGAAGAAAAGATTGAACAAACGATTGAAAATATCAAGAATGTTGATGACGGTAAAACCAATGACCAATTAAGTAAACCGGTTACGGCCAATAACGACGAAATATTAAATAAAAACTTTGATCCTGCTAAAGAATTAATTGAAATTAGATCATTATCACCAATGACAATATTCAGTAAAACTTATTGTCCATACAGTAAAAAAGTTAAAAAATTATTATTAGATAATTACCAGATTACCCCTCAACCATCAATAGTTGAATTAGATAAACATAGTCATGGTGCTGAATTACAAGAGTATTTATCAGAATTGACCGGAAGACATACGGTGCCAAATATCTTGGTTGGTTCAACTGAATCCAGAGGTGGTGCGGATGATTTTATTAAATTACATGAACAAGGAATCTTATTAGATTTATTAAATCAATGGGGGGAAAAAGATTTGGATGTTAAAAAAGTTGAAACTCCATCAAATTCTTAATTTTAATGTACTATTAACTGTAATTTATAAAATACACAATATTCTTTTTTTTTTTTTTTTTTTTTTCAATTTTTACAAACAAGATATATATATATATTACGTTTTATGTTTATTTTGATATTAATTTACTTAAAATTTAGTAAATTGTTTAGATTTAGAAACTGAAACAGCAACTCTTAAAACATTAAATCTAACAGTTTTAGAAATTGGTCTACATTGACCAACAACAACAACATCACCTTCTTGAACACGGAAAGCTGGAGAAACATGGGCAGCAACGTTCTTGTGTCTTTTTTCGTATCTGTTATATTTTGGAACATAATGTAAGTAGTCTCTTCTGATAATAATAGTTCTGTGCATCTTGGTGGAAACAACAGTACCAGATAAAATTTTACCTCTAATAGAAATGTCACCAACGAATGGACATTTTTTGTCAATGTAAGTACCTTCAATGGCGGCTTTTGGGGTTTTGAATCCTAAACCAACATCTTTGACCCATCTCTTGGTTTTTCTGTTGGCTTTAGCCTTTGGGTTGGTGAAAATGTGTGGTTGCTAGAAGTTGTTAGTATTTTGAGTTTGAATATAAGTTGATCATTTCTTTACTGACGTTGGTTCGACGTCTTGTCATCTTGTCATCTTCATTTTCATCTCTTCGTTTTCATCCCTTCATTTCCATCCCTTCATTTTCATCTCTTCATTTCCATATTAAACATCAATATCTCATCTTCATTTTCACATCTCATCTTCACTTCGTCAACAACGTCTTCATCTTGATCAACTCCTCGGTCTCAGGGTACACACCTTTTGGAAAGCTCTTTCGGATTGAACAGTTAATTCGGTAGCCATCTTGGATCGTTAACTAGTATACTGTACTATTGAAAAAGAGGTTTATGAATAATTCTAATATATAAAAATTTTTTTCCCTACAACTTTCCTCACTGGAATTTTTCATTTTTCGCAAGAGTTACAAAAAAAATTCTCACTGTTTTTTTCTCTTCTCCATAGTTAAGCAGAGGGCGTACTGCAGGTGAGCGCGCCGCCGGGGCTCCAGCCCTAGCCTTTTCTCTGTGCACGTGCTGGGTCGTGTCGAGGGTGTTTTGGAAGGAGGTCTTTTCTTCTCCCCAAACGCTTTTGCAACCAATCAGTAATATATTCCTACATCTTTGAGACATAGTGAAGCTATCGATAACAAACTTGTTTGTAAGCAACCCGGTAAGATGTGTGGTGGTGAAACCATTGAATCCGTGCAATATGCATGCTCTGGAATGGAAGTAGTTGTTCCACCTGCGTTTGTAAATTCGAACATATTCTTGTTCAACTGTTATAAAGGATATGTTATCTGAATTTGTCTGGCGTTAGATCGAAGACGGTGATCATATGAATACGAGTATATACTTATTTAGATTCCATATGGCTGTAATCAGATCAAGCTTCACCTATTAATAAGAATACCCTTCTTGGTTTCTGAAGGTACCATTGTAGACCAACAAGCACTAATTCTTCATTTAATTATTACTATAGAATACAAGTGAGCCCAATCAGATAATAAAACCAATCAATACTAAGTAGATCGCATTTCATAGAGTAAACCGATCATGGATTCTTATCGGTTTTTGTTCTTGTGCTGGGGTCTTGCTGTGCGGCCATCGCACATGCTTCCCGATGGGGAAGTCTAGATAGTGCTCATTTTTCCTTTTGTTTTTGTTTGGTTTGAAACCTTTTTGGTTTCAAATGAGGGCAAACAAAATGGCTGAAAGAGATGCTGGTGATGGCATCTTATTGAGAACCATTAATTTACAACCAAATAAGTGATTTAACTTATATTTTGCAGAAGATAAGTTGACAAAAGTGGCAAAATAACTAGAAAAATTAAGTTGTTATTTGGTTAATCTCCCCGGTTTGTATTCCCGTTGGTTATAGCATTAAGTTGGTAGTCATATAGTTATATACTGGTTGTACTAGTTAATATTTATAGGTATAGGTATATGAGTTATTAATGAATTCGAATAATGTTTCTTCCAAGTATAATCTTCCTAGATTTAGAAGAATCAACTCTCAGCATACTGCAGAACAAAGTTATTTAAATGCAAATGATTCTATAAATACAACTTTGAATAGAACGGTATCTTCATCGAGCTCTATAATGAGTACTCCAAGTAATAATATAAGAAAAGTTCAGCAACATCAACAACCTCAACAACAAGAAACCAACTCGAAAAAACCAATTTCGTCTCGTCCAATGAATAATCTAAACGTTAAAAAGAAACTTCTTAATCTTCAACAGTCCCTGAAAAGGAAATATCCATTATCATCGCCAACTTCGGAGAATACGACAAGATTACAGCCGGCTGCTGGTCCAACAACTAATAAATCACCTAAATATAATTCTAAAGAAAATGATTCTGGTAATCATTATATTAAAAATTTAAGTCCAATGAAATCTAATAAAAATTTTATCTTAAGAAAACCAATGAATATGAATAGATATGATTATTCGATTTTCATTAATAATGATTATAATAATTATTATTTTGATTCTTCCAATGATGTTAACTTATCACATGAAGTGCATATCCCACCAATCATTAAAGAATCCCAAATTAAAGCTTGGGAATCGGCAGAAAAAATAACCAACAATTTGATTTTTGATAGTTCAAGTGATGATGATGATGATAATGATGATGACAATGAAGAAATTGATAATATTGATTTCGATACCTCAATGGAAGAAATCAAACAAACGGTCCATGATGATTTGAATTTAAACTCAAATAATACTCTGTGTATTCAATCGATCCCCGGTTTAACAAAAGGTGAATTACAAGTGGTGAAAACTCATTTCAATCATCTACAAAAAATGACTAATCTAGATATAAACTCATTGGAAGAAGATGAATTAAAGCTATTATGGAAGTATAGAGAAACCCATCAGTTAAATCAAGAAAAAGCGTTTGCTTCTTATCAAAGCTTATTAGGTAAACGGAAAGTTCAAATTTCTCAAAAAAAGGATATTTTACATAAAATTTTTGGTTATAATAATAATATTAATCATGAATATATCACTAATAACACTTCCTATTCTGCTCTTGAAAATATCCTGAATACTCAAAAGGCTTTCCACGAAGATAAAGAAGAAATTAATTCTTTACTATATGAAGATAAATTCTATTCTCAATCTTTACTTGAAACTAAAAATAATTTGAACCTCCTCAAAAATAATAGTGAAGGCATCAATATCAAAAGAAAACAAAATAAAAGAACAACCGCCTCTACCGATATCGACATGAATGATTTCGATTACGATAAATTTAATAGCATTACCTCAAATCGATTGTCCCAAATCTATCAAGATTTTTTCTCAAACCAGCCTTCCGCTATCAATCCTGATGACTCTGCTGACTTATCCGACGTCAGCCAGGAGTTGCAAAGCTTCACCGTGGCATATCTAAAACGCTGTATCAAAGACGATGCTGATGGCTTGGGTGATATTTCGGAACTTCCTCAAGATGTATAGTATAATATAAATGACTGCAAAAACTAATTTGTCAGCGAAAAAAAAAAAAAAAAAAAAAAAAAAACGGAAAAGAACCTGTCAAAATCGTAGATCCGTACCTCAAGGGGTTTGAAAGCCTCAGTTCTTTTCTTTTGTTCGTTGATGAATAATTTCATTAGATTACTTTATAAAGCTGACTTATTCCTTGCGATACGATGCTCAAGAATAGTAGTTCTCAAATACTTAAACAGACAACTACTCGATTGAATACAATTCAAAGACATTTATCTAGCTCCTCAAATATAATGGCTCCAATCAATTCTACTAAACACTACGATTACTTAGTTATCGGAGGTGGTTCAGGTGGTGTTGCATCTGCTCGTCGTGCAGCATCTTATGGTAAGAAGGTTTTAATCATTGAAGCTCAATATAAGAAATTCGGTGGTACTTGTGTTAACGTTGGTTGTGTTCCTAAAAAAGTGATGTGGTATGCTGGAGATCTTGCTCATAAGAAACACCATTTAAAATCATACGGATTATCAAGTACTGAAGATGAAGTTAAATATGGTGATTTCAATTGGGGGTTAATCCAAGAGAAAAGAGATGCTTATGTTGAAAGATTGAATGGAATCTACGAAAGAAATTTGGAACGTGAAGGAGTTGAATATTTGTATGGTTTTGCCAAATTTCATAATTCAAATGCCGATGTTGAAGTTACATTATCAGCTGATCAAAAGGCTAGTTTTATTGCAAATGATGAAGAAAAAATTTATAATAAAGGGGATAAAATTGTTTTCTCTGCCGATAAAGTTTTAATTGCCACGGGTGGTCGCCCAATTGTCCCACCTTCTGTTGAAGGTAGTGAATTGGGTATTACTTCAGATGGTTTTTTCAAACTAGCCAAACAACCAGAATCGGTTGCCGTTGTTGGTGCTGGTTATATTGGTGTTGAATTGGCTGGGATTTTTGCTAGTGTTGGTTCTAAAACTCATTTGGTCATTAGAGGTGATACCGTTTTAAGATCTTTTGATGACGTTATTCAAAATTCTATCACTGATCATTATAGTGATAAATTGGGTGTAAATGTAGTTAAACAATCAGGCTCAGTTAAAAAAGTTGAAGATATCGGTAATGGTAAGAAAAAAGTTTACTTAGGTAATGGTGATGTTTTAGAAGTTGATCAATTAATTTGGACCGTTGGTAGAACTTCATTACTTGATATTGGTTTAGATCAAGTTGGGGTTGAAATCGATTCTAAAAACCATATCATTGTTGATGAATATCAACAAACTGCTAATCCAAAAGTATTCTCCTTAGGTGATGTTATTGGTAAGGTTGAATTAACCCCAGTTGCAATTGCTGCTGGTCGTAAATTGTCCAATAGATTATTTTCTGGTCAAGATATTTATGCTCAAGATAAATTAGATTACTCGAATGTTCCTTCTGTTATCTTTTCCCATCCAGAGGCTGGTTCAATTGGTTTAAGTACTCAAGAAGCTAAAGAAAAATATGGCGAATCCCAAATTAAAGTGTATAACTCTAAATTCAATGCCATGTACTATGCAATGATGGACTCCGATGAATTGAAATCTCCAACCATTTATAGATTGGTAGTTGCCGGTCCTGAAGAAAAAGTGGTTGGTTTGCATATTGTTGGGGATTCAAGTGCTGAAATCTTACAAGGTTTTGGGGTAGCAATTAAAATGGGTGCTACTAAACAAGATTTCGATAATTGTGTAGCTATTCATCCAACTTCTGCTGAAGAATTGGTTACTTTACGTTAATTAGACTATTATGTATGCAAATGATAATATATATATTGATTTAGACCTTTAGTGGACTTCGTAACTATTATACAAAACTTTATTGGGTTTCTTCTATTGTAACCTTTTCAATGTCTGGCTCTTTTCACACCTGTGCTACCTCTTACCGGTGCTTTAGGTTTATCATTAGGTTTCATGAAAAACATGGGTGCATTCTTTAAAATATCAGGAACTGAAACAAATCTGATCATTGATCCTCTAACAAATACCTGGTTCATATAAGATGTAGCTCCTGTTCTTCCTTTTGTTATTGTTACATCATAGAGTGAAAGATTCATATTATCTTCATTTTCTAGTAATTTCCCCCGGTATGTGTCTCCTGTAGTTAGCTCAAGCGATATTATATGTCCTTGTGCTTCATTAAGTAATTTGACTGGGATTCCGGCCGACATCTTCTGCTTTTAATCTTATTCAATAAAAGTATTTATGGCTTCTTCTCTGCTTATATTTCGTTTTCTTTACTTTTTCACTCACAATTTTTATTTTGGGGTATGGGTCTTTTTTTTTTCCTCTCCACCTGAACCTTCGCACTTTTCGGTCTATGATTTCTGCTATTCTAATCAATGAATAAACTTATATACTTAATTGATTTGCTAGAGCATTGTGCTTATGAAGAATGGTAAAAGTTATAGTGCCAATATGACCTCCAGCTCAGTGAAGGGATCGTTCGTCAAACCGCATGACTCATCTGTCAGTGAAAGCATGCTGAGTCCATCAAAATTCAATAGTGCACCTCCTCGTAAAAGGAAGAGAGTTCCAATCAGTTGTTTGAATTGCAAAAAAAGGAAGGTAAAATGTGACAAAAATAGACCTTGTAGTGGTTGCGTGAAGAACCAAGTTGCTCATCTTTGTCAGTATTTGGAACCAGCATGGGCAGATTCTAGTGGTTCTGATAATAATGGGGTTGTTAATTTTCATGCTTCAGTTCAGAATAGCGAAGAGTATAAAACCTTGAAAAACGCTACTGATAAGACTATTAGTAACCAAAGAAAAGAGATCGAAGACTTGAAAAGACAATTATCCGTATTTCATAAGTTTTCACCTAAAACTATGGTCGAAATTGATATTCCTATTGGAATGCTAGCATCTCCATTAACTGTTCTTAAGAAACTAAGAGCTCAATCAAATGAACCGGTAGAAAAGATTCAGGTTCTTGGTGATAAATACTATGCTTTCGAGAATTATGGTAAAAGAACCATTTTCAACGAATGTATCAATGTCTTTTCGTGGTTTAATGTCATTAAATTAGATCCTCAACTTACTAAATTTTGGTATAGAATTACAAATTTGCAGAAGATTTACCATATGTACAAGTTTAATCAAATAAAGCAGAACAAGAATCGAATGAGTATCGAAAGTCCTTCTAACAATCCTGCGTCACCAAAGAAGCCAAATTATAGAATTAATGAAATTGATTTCACCAGTATGTTTAGTCGCTCAAACTCTTCTTTCAATAACGGCAACACTGACCCCACTCAATCTAAATGTCCTGTTATAGAGTGTGATTTCAACTTTATGATTGAAGACTCATTTGCCACTCCCCGTTCAAACACTCCAAGCATACCTGATCCCAAGCCCAAGCCAAGCGTGAAGATGGAGAATGACCATAGATTGGTTTACTACGGGATGATGTCAGATAATGCAAAGGACTTGATGGGCCGTATGCAACGTGTGTGGAAATCAATGTTATATTTGGTAAGAGGGAATCTTCCATTAAATTATAATCAGATTGTATTTTTAGTTGATTTCTACTTTAAAAGCGATATCATTGATTTGGAAAATAAAAACCACTTCTCATTTTATAAGAAAGAATTGCTAGAGGTCTTTAGAAAAGGTAATGATGGATTAATATTTGATTCTTCGGTATATCGAGACAACGTATCAGATGAAGAATGTTTCGGCTTATTGAAAATGAAAGGAGTTTACTTATCCATACTTTCTTTATTAGTTGAAGAATCATTAGACTACTTACGTCTGACCATATATACTGATTCAGGTAATTATTATGTTGATCGTTTTAAAGACATTTTCCCGTCTGAAGTCTTCTACCAAGGTTTAGGGTACAAAGAGAATAATTTGCTTCCCTTAGTTCATGATCTTCTTAATACCATGCATACTTCCACTTCTAAGTCAAAAAAATTGAACCAATCTTTACCTTTTGTTGCACTGTGTGTTGCATTTGCAAATCGTCAGCATGTTCTTTTCAGAAGACCAGGAACCTCGAGTCTCAATGTAAGATCAAGTTTTACTTCAATTTGTCAAATACTCTTATCGTTGATTACCGGTGAAAATGACATCTATTTGCCAATATTCAAAGATCCATCGATTTTTAATTTCGAAGGATCCGAATCTAGAAAGAAAGACTTGAAAATACATATTTGTTATGTCTGGTGTGACATACTTCGTTTAACTAACCTTTTTGCTTTTGAACCTATAGTACCACTCAAGAGAAGCTCTGAACTAAGTAATTTGTCTAAAAAAGTTTTCAATATAATTCAAGATTCGGAGACAGGCTATGATCATATCAGATATCTTGCACGTTTAAAAGAAGATTATAGCTGTTTAAAGATTTCATTTCACGTTCACTATTTAATTAGAAGATGTTTCACAATCTTGAATTGTTCTATTTTAGAAACGGGGGATTTTAAAGTTACTTTATCAACAATCCAACAAGTGATCAATGACACTAATAATTGGGGTAACAGTACTGGTGTTTCCAAATTAAAGTACCTAAGGTTTTTCGAGCTGAAGAGTATTCTACAATATTTGGAAATATTCCTCTCTTACCTTTGTATTCTTCAAAGCGAAGAACAATCTAATGATGAATTAATTGAGAATATTGTTCCCGGCATTTTTGATAAATGCATAGATAGCCTTACTCTGTTTCAAAAATTTGCGACATACCAAACTCAAAGTATGGCTCTACAGTACATTTTACTGTCTTGTGTTGAAATAGTGTCTCGGTTAACTCAGCTAATTATTGGCTTATTAATGAGGTTTAAAGTTTCTGAAAAAAATGATTCTAAGATGGTATATTCATCTGAGTCGAAAGTCCCAATCGAGATCGATTATAATTTGAAAGAAAAACTTATAAGCACTACTGATAGTACTTTACAAGTTTTAATGGACAGCCCCTTAACTGAAAAGAAGAAAATAAGTAAATTATTCAAATACTGGTCAACATTTCTCATGTTTGTGGGGCATCCCCTGAAGATGAGGTCATTAAATTATGCTAAACTTCATGCAAATATCCCGGGTTTCGATAACATCCTTTCGAAAAGTATTGATAAGTGCCCTGTTGTCTCCAATGAGAATTCTCAACCACCTCAACAAAAGCCAACCCCTACACTATCTAAGTGTCCTATTTCACATATTACGGACCCAATCGATAGTAATGTACATGATAATGCTGTTATAGATAAGAATCAAGCTAAACTTCTAGCAAGATGCCCTATAGATCATACTTCCTTAAGTAGCGATTTTTCGATGGCATCACAAAAGGGCAAATGTCCAATAGATCATGCAGCACTCACTAAAAGTATGGAGAGTGAACCCAGCTTGTCTAATTCCTCGCAGAACTTACAGAAGTGCCCATTTGATCACGAAGCATTAAGAAAAGGATTGAAGGGATTCAATGAAAGCCATATCCGTGGATCGGCTGACCTCGCAAACAATCAAACAAACGAACCACCGTTGAAACTGGGCACTAAGTCGACAAAGTCATCTTCGAGTGAACTTTCACACCCGAATAAAAAAGCTCCTGTTCTTGTTCCCACGCCTAGCTCAACAGCTAGTATACCCACTATAAATAGCCCAAAGATTCCAGGGGTGGCTTCTACTCAATTAAGTACCTTCGAGCCTTCTCTTATTTCTTCGTCAGAACAAACTCCATTACCTGCATCTGCACCCAAATTCAAGCCTAACCCTACAATTTCACTATCGCAACCACTCTCCTCTCAACCTCCTTTCCCTGTAGGTGACTTGGGCAATAACTTCACCGATTTCCCCGATTTTGATTTTGATTTCCTTCAAAATGAACATTGGTTTGAACAATTGGGAAACGACTTGGAAAATTCGAGCTTGGAAGGCTTTTTCCAGTGAAAATTGAACTGCATTCATAGAAAATAATAATATTTCATTTCTTGCAACATGCTTTGTAGTATTTCTGTTATGGTATAGTAAATAATTGAATTTTGTTAATTTTTGATCAAATTTGCAATAAATTTTTTTTTGCAACAAGACTTATTATTTCAGCCTCACCAATAAAAACAAGCTTATCTTTTCGCCAACAAGATTTTTTCCAATAGACTGGGCGAAGCTTTACTTAACTAGGCCCACTCAAAAGCCATGAACATTTAAACCTTGAATAAGCAACTCTGCAACAAAGGTTTCTTCGTTTAATCGGTCTTTTGGCAATGGAAGCTGTATTGTATACAGGAGAACGCCCAATACTATGAGAAATCCGAAAAAAAAAATTAAAGATTGAATCGCAAATCAGAATTGACTAGTAACGTCTTCTCTATAAACAATCTTTGTATAATAAAACACAACCGAGATAACATGTTCTTGGGTAGGCTCCGACCCCTGGTGAAAGGCTATATGCCTACAGGTTTTATGACAAGTCAAGAATCAGTGATACGTGCTGGGATGCTTAGAAATAGTTTAATTCGCAGGCCCATGCTGACTGGAACCCCACCAAAAATGAAACCAAAGACCAAGTTTGGCTTCTTTAAGGTGGGTGCAGCTATAGGTTTGGGAGGCTCATTACTATATGCGACCAATGATACCTTTCGTGATACTACTAGGCACCTTGTTATAACCAGCGAAAGAGTTGGTGTTGTGGTTATCGCAACTATGAGATGTTTTAGATTATATTTGAAAACCTTGGGGAAAGAATATTCAACTCATCAAGAAAGACTGCAGGCTTTGAGTAAAACCCACTTGAAAGCAGCAAAGATTACCTTGAAGGCACTTGAAGCAAATGGAGGTATTTATATCAAATTAGGACAACATATCACTGCTTTAACGTACTTATTACCTCGTGAATGGACCGATACAATGATTCCTTTACAAGACAGATGTCCAAGATCTTCAATCGAAGAAATAGAAGATATGTTTGAACTGGATATGGGGATATCATTGTACGAGTATTTCTCTGACTTCGATCCTGAACCAGTAGGAGTGGCTTCATTAGCACAAGTTCATATCGGTACTTTGAAGAAAAGTGGAGAAAAAGTAGCAGTTAAAGTACAGCATCCTTCTTTATCTGAGTTCGTGCCTCTAGACATTTATTTGACTAGAACCGTCTTTGGTTTAATGCGTAAAGTTTTCCCAGAATACCCATTGACTTGGCTCGGTGATGAGCTTCAAAATTCTATCTACGTTGAATTAAATTTTACCAACGAAGCTGCCAATGCAAAAAAGACTGATAAGTACTTTCAATCCTTCCAAAATGTTACAGCTTTGAGAGTTCCACAAATAGTATCAGCGACACCAAGAATCCTTATAATGGAATATGTTGCTGGTTCCAGGTTGGACGATTTGAAATATTTGAAAGACCATCATATAAATCCTTCCGATGTATCTTCCTGCTTATCTCATATTTTCAATAATATGATTTTTACTCCCGATGTGGGTTTACATTGTGATCCTCATGGGGGTAATTTAGCCATTAGAGCAGTGAAAAAGTCAGAGTCCAAGACTAAATACAATTTTGAAATTGTCTTATATGACCATGGTTTGTATAGGAATATTCCTTTACAAATGAAAAGAGATTATTCCCATTTTTGGTTATCTGTTTTAGATAATAATATCCCTGAGATGAGAAAGTATGCTGAAAAAGTTGCTGGAATTAAAGGTGAACAAAAATTTAGAATTTTTGCTTCGGCCATCACTGGGAGAGATCCTGAAAATGCTTTAAATTATGATATAAAGAAAGCAAGATCTGCGGATGAAGTTGTAAATATGCAAAATCAATTACAAGGCGAAGGCGGTGTACTAGAAGATCTTATGGATATGTTGAGTAGAATGCCTAGGATTGTTTTATTAATTCTTAAAACCAATGATTTAACCAGAAGCCTTGATGAAAATTTAAATAATCCTTTAGGTCCGGAACGTACTTTTCTTATCATGGCTAATTATTGTGCCAAAGTAGTTTATGACGAAGAAATTGAAATCAACAACAAACACCATAAGAAATATTCATTATTTAGAGCATTGACTAATATCAAAAGCTGGTTTGCTTATCAAAAGAGAATAAGCTCTTTATATTTTTATGACCTTTTTATGATCTTTCATAATTTAAAATCTCGAGTTGGCTTTTAAACTTACAAAAAAGACAACTATTCAAATGTTTGAACTTATTCTTTATTAAATAGATAATATCTGTATATATAATGCTGATAATGAAAATAACTAAAGTACAATTGTAAATATAAATAAGGAAGTGAAAAAAATGAGCTGATGAATGATGATTCGTTACTTGTGAATGAGATTAAGCGGAACGAAAAAGATTACTTCATATCTTCTTTGATCTTATCCAATAGATTATTGATTCTTGGGCCCATTAAAGGTTGTCCTGATCTGGTTCTTTTACTTAAACTTTCTTTCCTCTTTTCTCGGTCTCGAGTTTGTTTCTCTAAAATTTGACGACGTGCTCTAACTTCTTCTATTTTCTTTAATCTTCTTTCTTCCTTTTTTTGCTTAGCCAATTTTGATCTTTCAGCGAAATTAGTTGGCTTCTTTTGCCTTCTTTCTGGAGGTGGTGCTCTTTGAGGTGGTAATGGTGCATTTCTCTTCACCCTATTTCCTGGTTGGCTCGTGCCATCCTCTCCTTCTGATCCGGATTCGTCATCATCGCCAGAATCTTCTTCTGCAGCCCTCTTTTCATCACCTTCAACCAAATCATTTGGAGTCGATTCTCCTTCCTTCTCCAATAACTTGAAATAGTTCTTTCTAAGTCTAGCTCTATGAACCAATGATTTCTTAATTTCTCTGGACTTAAATTCACGGAGATCCTTTATTGGTTTCTTACCTCTGAAAGGTTTACTTCTACCCTGTGGTCCGGCCATATTTGTCGTCTTAATTGAACTGAAATCAAATAGATAGGCTCTATTCATTTTTTTTTTTTTTAAGATGAGCAGATGGGATTATATAATCTCACAAACAAAAAAAAAAAAAAAGAAAAAGGCCTTCAGCCTTCCAAGTCGTATTCCCCAGATTTCAATAATTCTTCGAAACCGTTACGTTGGTCGAGAGATAACAACAGCAAAAGTAGCTCAGGATCTGCTGAGTCGATGAGGTCGGATAATTCTTGCTCTTCTCTGTCCGTAAGAGCCCGATTTGTGTCTTGCTCAGAGTCGGAGTCTTCTTCCAGAAAGTTATTGTAGGCCCGATTGGATTCTGCTTTATCTGCTGTTTGTCCCAACCTTCGTGTACCATCATGGGCTTCTTTGTAGTCACTTGGCTCTGTGTCAGGTGCCCGAGCCAGCAGGGGGATCTGATAAACCCAATTCTCCGGCTGGTTCTCTTCATCTAACGAATTCAAATGATCATCATTGAAATTGAACCGATTTATCATTCTGAGAAGTTTATCCTTCTCATAATCGGTTATCTCTTTGGAGCTGGAAGGGTCTTGTTGGGCCTTTTCGATACATTTCTGGTGCTGCAAAGACTTATAACAAGCTATAGAACAATAGTGAATGCCGCACCCGGGGCAGGTATAACGGAATGTTTGCGATGAGCAGAGCCCACATAGTTTTGCAGAAGAGTCTCTATGGATTTTTCCAGCTCCCAAGGGGCGTAACATTGGATATCCAGAGTGGAATTGGACTGATCTGACAGCGATAAGCTGATAAAGAAGGATTAAACTGAGAAGAAGCTAAACAAAACGAAAAAAAAAAAGCAGAAGCGAGGAAAAAAACAGAACCGGCACCCGTTCAACAACACGCTATCGATAGTGATTCTTTCGATAACTTTAAGCTGGTCTAGAGTATCACTTATAGTCTTATAAGGTCCTTGTTATGAAATTGAGGTATACCCCAGGATTAACTATTCAATTAAAAGCACGGAGATAAATTTTGATCAACTTACTGTTCATAGATCATGTCGAATCAGCACTTTGAACAACCGTATTCATCGGTTCCGCAAACTGCTGGACGAGTCCATCTGGAAGAGCAGCTACCGCAGGAGCTGATTGAGCTCAATGACATCAATTCGCTAGATTTCGAAAGAACTCTTTTGCATGATGACGAACAGGGTGAAGGTAGTAATATAGAGCAGGGAGATTCTAATATGAAAATGGCCTTCATGAACATGGCTAACTCGATTTTGGGAGCTGGTATAATAGGCCAGCCATTCGCTTTCAAGAATGCCGGTTTGATAGGCGGGATAGTAGTTATGGTATTTTTAACCATACTAATTGACTGGACTTTAAGGTTGATTATCATTAATTCTCATTTAGCCCAAACTCGCTCTTATCAAGATACGGTGAACTACTGTTTTGGTAAATATGGCAAGTGGCTACTCACTTTTGCAGTCAACAGTTTCTGCTACGGAGGGCTTATTGCATTTTCAATTATTCTTGGTGATACTATCCCCCACGTATTAACTTCCATGTTACCTACTTCAATTACTACTTATCCTGCAATTAGTTGGTTGTTTTACCGTAACACAATCATTGTCATATTCACAACGTGTATCTCATATCCTTTGTCATTAAATAGAGATATTTCCAAACTTGCAAAAGCTTCAGGATTTGCACTTGTTGGCATGTTCATAATTGTAGTGATTACTATATTTAGAGGACCATTTGCCGAAAAAGAACTTAAAGCACAATTAACAACTTTAGAATGGACGGTCAATTATAATATTTTTCAAGGAATTTCCGTGATTTCATTCGCTTTGGTTTGTCATCATAATACCATGTTCATCTATCGCTCTATGAAAAATGCTAGTATAGAAAAATTCAGTATACTAACTCACATCGCCTGTGGTGTATCGATGATTTTTTGTCTTTTGATGGGGGTGAATGGTCTCGTTAACTTTGGAGATAATACAAAGGGAAATATTCTTAATAATTTCAAAAGTACCGATAAATGGGCCAATGTTGCCAGATTTTTTTTCGGCTTAAATATGTTGACTACTTTTCCTTTGGAACTTTTCGTAGTTAGAGATGCTTTAAAGGATATAGTTTTTTCAAACCATGAAGAAAATAATGGAAGCACCGCTCATTTAGAATTATCTTCAAAGCAGCATTTTTTGATTACTACGCTTTTGGTCTTTTCTGCCATGAGTGTTTCTTTATTCACTTGTAATTTGGGCATGATTTTAGAGCTTATTGGAGCCATATCTGCTTCCTTGATGGCCTACATCATCCCACCATTGTGTTATTTGAAACTAACCTGGAATCAAATTGATTATAAAAATTTGAATACTACTGGTAAAAGAGATTATTTAATTTGGAAGGCTGCTCCTAGCATTTCGTGTGCTCTATTCGGTTGTCTATTGATGTTCATAAGTTCTTACATGAGTATCCTAACAGGTATAAAAGGAGAGTCCGATGGACATTGCGTCACCGACTAATGTAAATTGTAAATAATGCATTGGTTAATTAAATAATTTATTTTACTGTAAATGATAATGATAGCTAATTTAGCCTAATCGACATCTTCATCATCATCACTGATAACGAATCTGTTTTTCTTCTTTGATGGAACTTCGTTGTTATAGTCTTCTTCAGCACTAATATAGTTGGCAATAGTAGATTCGTTCACTTCGTTCTCTTCATCTTCTGAATCTGAAACGGGAAGTCGTCTTTTTCTACTATTTCTTTCATATTCATCATTATCGATAGATTCAGTATTACTTATCGATGCTGCCATTGTTTCGGACCCTTTCTTTGAATTGGGAGATGATGTTGGGCTTGAATCTGAGCCCGAGTCACGAATGGCTGTGGAATCTTCAAAATCTGATGAATTCGGACGTAAAACTGGTTTGATAGGTTTCGAGAAACTCTTTATTGGAGAGGTCATGTCATTCAAATCGTTATCAGTTACGAATAATGAAGCTGCTTCGCTTGTGGAAGTTCCCGTTTGTTCATAGTCTTTCCAGGCTTTTTTGAAAGCTTCCAATTGTTCTGCGTTGACAATCCCACCGGATTCTTCTAATAGGTTACGTAATTTTTCTTCTCTTTGAAAGAATTCATTTTCTTTTTCATCGTCTGATTCATCATCCGAAAGACTTACCATAGCTTTCGATTTCAATTTAGCCAGGGGGTCATATCTGTTTTCGAGTTTACTATCTAATGATTCTTCTTCTTCCAGATCAGAGTTTGACCTTCTACGTCTCTGACGACGTTTCCTTTGTTTAGATGGGTCCTTCTGCTTTTTTTCAACAGACTTCTTTTTATTTGTCAATTTGTCGAAAACAGCAGGATCTCTTTCGCCGTTTCTGACTCTATCAAATACAAACTCTAGCAATTTAATATTCGTGTCGAGGATACTGTTATTATTTTCTCTTAATAAAACAGTAGGTTCATTTTGAAATTCGGGTAATTTGAACCCAAGCTCTTGTAAAAGAAGTCGAAGGTGTCCGTCGTTAACTAAAAGTCTTCTGATAATGGGACTTGGTAATAAAACGTCCACCGAGTTATCCAGAACTCTGTCAGATAATATTCTTTTCAATTCCTTAATGACCCAGATAATAAGCCATTCTTTTTCATTCTGATACAAACAAGCCACCAATGTTTCAATTTGTTTTTCTCTTTCAAGATGCTCTTTGAAAATAAGATCTTTAGCCTTCTTCGGCTCAGGGATCCATTCTTCGACGTATCCTGGTTCTTCCCGGCTTTCATTATTTCCCTCTTCAGCATTACCATAATCTATATCGTCACCATAAAGTTCACCTGTAGCCAAATAAGATTTTGTATCAAGATCTTCGAAACGAGGAAATAATATTTCAATTGGGTTGGGGAATCTTTCAAATGCCGGTTGAAACTTTTTCATAAAATAATGAATGAATTCATCCACACTTTTTCTTAAACTTGACAGTCTTGGTAAACCATTTCTCAATCTGTATAACATAAACATGAAATCAAGCCTATATAATCCGGTAAAATCCTTTCTTACCACAAAGAGTTTACGGAAGTAAGAAAGAGCCATTTTAATTTCTGTATCATTCAAGTCGTCGAATCTTGACAAAAAAGTTATATGAGTAGTGACAATATCCTTATGGAAAAACTTAGCTTCAGTTTTACTAAAATCAAGTTTTCTCTCTTGAATGACTAAGTTTGACTCATCGAGATCATCCTCTAGATCAATTTCTTCATGCTCTTGAAGTAATTTCTTTTTACTTCTTCTTTTAGATCTCATATAGACCTTAACATCTTCATTGGCGAAATTCTCAAATGATTTCAACAAAATATGAATAACGGATACAACAACTTTTAAGTAATCAGGAGAATGTTTAAAAGCAGAATGAGGAATTTGATGGAGTAAACTGACATAGTCGGCTTCGCTGAATAGTTTCCGTATAATCGCTTCGGCCAAGTCTTTTTGATCCAAAGTTTCTTCATTTTCTTCATCATAATCAATATTGGTTTCAAGTTGTTTTTTACTGACGTTTGAAAAAATTGAATAAGATAAAAGTAATAATTCTCGAAGACAAATCAAAGCAACATGCAAAGAGTTCCAGTCTTTTGATCCAAATGATTCACGCATGTATCTTCCAATAAGAACGAAATTTTTATCACGTAACCCTTCACCAACCGAACCATAATCTAGAGGGCCTTCATCATCCATGGGGGTTTTATTTGAAGATATGAATTTATTATTTCTTTCTCTTTTGTATTCAAAGAACCAAGCAACGGTTGCAAAATAATTAGCCCTATCAGCTTGATCAATACTACTCAAAGTATTTGTATCAGAAAAAGAGAGTGAAGAATTATCAAAAACAGTAGCGGTACATTTCACTAAGTTATTGAACCCACCACTTGATAATAGCATTTCAACAAAGTTATTTAACAAAAGAGAAGCATTCCCACTCAATATAACCGGGGTAGTTTGAACAAATTTATCTGAATCATAACGGAAGCTTGTTTTCGCTTTCCATTTTTTAGATTTATCTAATTTTTCAAAAGTGTGGTGATTATTTAATAATGCTTCTTGACCAGAAACTACGTAGGAAGATGAGTCGTCATTTTTGATCGATAATAAAGATCCAAATCTTCCGTGTCGGGAAGACATGTTTTCACTTTGTTGTTTTTTTCTTTTCGATTCTTCTTTTAGTAAATCTTTAAGTTGAAGCCCCGATACACTAGCAGACAGCGGGATTGGATTTTGTTGATTTGATAATTCTTCATTGGAAGATGGTTTGGTAGAAGAAGGTAAGGTAAGCAAATCTTTAACTTTGACCCCCTTTATCAATAAAGAGATGGATTCAAGTATACCAGGACCATAAATATCGGCCACGAAATCTTTTTCTAATCCGGAAGCTAAAGTCAATAAGAATTTCAAAACTTTATTTTTAGAATAACAAGAAATAACATTACTTAAAGAAATATCATCAATACTAACATTAGAAGGTAGATTATTATAATTACCGATTTTGGAATTTGATTTTTTAATTATAGTTAAATCTGCTGGTTCAAGATAAAGAACATTTCTAATGAAAAATACCACTAATTTCAAAATTTGAGAATCTCTTGCATCTCGTTCATATTTTTCTTGTTGCAAAGCAGGTAAAGCTAACCTTAATACTGCTTTGAAAGTTTGTCCATTTTGATAAGATAAAATGTTCTTCTTATATACCAATTGAGCTTTTCTAAGACTATTAAAATTTTTCTTTTGATTTTCAGTCAGGTTTTTATTAAGTTCATGAGGCCAGGTTAATTGAACTAATAATTCTAAACAAACCAATGAGATCTTGTGTAATAAAGTATTTTGATACGATGATATACTTATATTTTTCTTATTAGAATTTTTCTTTTCCCAATCACATAGTATGACAATAAGATCATTCACAACCAATCCTACTTCATATATCGCAAGCGCAACATCAAATGAATCATTGTTTGTGTCCACCGACCTGAGCCATCGCTTAATATCCTTAAGACACCCTAGGGCTTCGGGCCCCAACTTATATGGCGGTGGTTGAATTGGAGAAGTATGATCCGGTCCACCAACTGCAGTAACCAATATTGATATATGTGCTTTTAAAACCTTTAGGGTGTAATCTTCGTTGGGCTTTAGTTGCTTATTGAGCTTGGTCACCCTATCTTCTGGTTCACTTTCTTCTTCTACCCCATCTTCAACCTCTTCATCGATGGGGTTTGTCAGAGCATGATTCACTTGATCCTCGTCAGAAAAGTCTATAAAATCATCAAGATCAGATCCCTCGTCAGCCGCATAAAAACGTTCTTCTCCTTCCGAGTCAGAAGGCGCCAGCATCTCAGTATATGGTCTACCTTTGCAATGGCTTGATGAACACCCTAGTCTTCAAACGCGTCTGTTGAATCGCGTAGGGAAGTAGGTTCTTATGGTGCACGGGTGTATTTTCTGTTTTTGATCAATTTTTGTGCTCCCGCACGCTAATATATTTTACGTGGTTTGTGCACGCCCATCCATCATCATCCAAAAGATACGGAGACACTAATAAATAACTTGATTGGTACTCATACTGGAAGCAATTGACCTTAATTCAGAAATCAGGTGTTCAGCTAGAAATTACTGCTGCCCACTAACAAGTATCTGAATCAAGTGCATGTTCTGGAGATATACGGCTCTTTTCTGCATTGATACGGCATAACCTTGGTGTATCGCTGCTAAAGTTGCCCGACAAGTCTTTGGGTTGCTTGGATTAGCATTCTTTGCTTAGAGGTGATCCTTGGGGAATTAAAGTTGGTATTCGATCTTGGACCGCTCACCCCAATGGCCATTCGGTCTATCTAAGCAACGAAAAGAGACAATTGAAGACGTACAAAGACACTCTCCGTCAACTCAAGTTGGACAAAGAAGTTCACGCATAATGAGATCAAATTAGCCTCGAGGAAATAATAGCTCGTATCCATGCATAATATCCAGTCTGCCTTTGGACTGTGCTTTCTCTTGATTAATGAACGCCAGCTTGTTCCATCCTTTGTAGCTACAGAGGGTACATTATTAGTCTGCTGTAATCCAGTAGACAATTATGTTTCCTTTTCTTCGGACTTTTTTTTTTTCCATTTCTCTGTCAATTTTGCTACAATAATTGCCTTTCCTTCATTGTAATTAAAGCTCAATTAACCATTCTTGTATTATAAAGAGCAAGCTTTATCATTATATATAGTCACTTAAGTCCATTGCAAATCCCTTGTTTGTTTTAGGAAACTTTTAGCTTTCATCAACAAAAGGCAAGACCCGTACATACAGACACGGCAATTCTTCTTTAGGTCCTCCTTTGGGGTGTTTTTTATCTTTGGAATTTCTTGCTTCAGTTCTAATAGTTAGTTTTATTGAAGATTAGACATTTGAATCAAGGTTTTGTCGGTTTATCCTATGCTTGTCAAAAAGGTCGGCTCTCCCAGTGACTACATTCCCAGTGTTGACTAAAAATGTCAGACCCAGTCTCTAATATAGAGACAAATAATCAAAGTTCTACTTATAGGAAAAGACATCGTATCCCTGCTAGTTGTTCAGTTTGTCGAAAACGTAAATCAAGATGTGATCGGAAAAAACCAACATGTACCACTTGTAAGAAGAAATCCATTGCCCATTTATGTTATTACGAATCGGATTCCCAAAGTTTGGATTCATTAGCAGATTCAAATAAAAGAAAAAATGAAGATACCATATATCTACAGCCAACTGCTCCTATTGATCAGCCTTATCCCAATGGGCCTCCTCATCACCATCACTTGATTCCTCAACAACTCCAACCTCCCCACCAAGTGCAACATCCTCATCAACTACAGCAGTCCCATCAACTACAGCAGTCCCATCAACTACAGCAGCCCCATCAACTACAGCAGCCCCATCAACTACAGCAGCCCCATCAACTACAAGCTTCACCCCCACTCCATCCCGCTGCTGCTACTGGGTTCCCACCGTATCAACATCATCAATACTACCCTCCAGGTCCTCCTCCTCCTCCTCCACCACACTATTACCCTGCTCCACCTCCTCCAAACGCTTCTGCTAACTTACCTCCACCTGTTTCTAATTCAGCTTCTCAAAGTGGTTCAAGCCAAGCTCTCGGGCCCTTTCCCCCTAACCCAACTAAATATATGATGCAGCAAGACCTGGGGTTCAGATGGGATCCTTCAAAACCTCGTCAGAAAAACTCAATCACTCATTCATTCTCATCCAATTCTCCCTCTGATCAGTCTCCTGCTTCGAATTTTGAATCTTATCAATTATCAGGCTCAAATAACACAACTCCGAGCTACCTTGGAAATCCACCTATAACTGGATCTCCAAGTAGTCTACCTCCTCCTCAAGCTTCAATACCTTCTCAAAGGCATTCATTGCCAACTCAAAGTACAACGTACCCCTCGGATTTACCATTACCAAACTCCATAAACCACTTGGTGGATTCAACTAGTCAACCCCCAGTAGAGAAAAAAGAACTGATTCATATCATTCATCCTACTGTTGATCAATATAATGGCAAGTTCGACCTGATTTCTCACCCTCATTTACATTCTCGAGATCATTCTCAGTCTTCAAATACTGAATTGGTGGATGTTTCGATTGGGCCTAACTCCTGGTTAAAATTAGATCCAAATGATATAATGGAAAATTATTCCAGAGCTAATGCAAGTTTATCTGTCGAAGGGCCACTTTGGCAAACTCATGGTGCAATCTCATACATTGGTATAACAAAAAATGATCGGTATATTACTCTATTAAGAGCTTATTTTGTTAGGTTACTCCAAACTGGTGAAATGTCGCAATTCATCATGGATGAGTCTATAAAATATCAAAATCGTGAATCAAAAGCATCGAAAAAGCAAGAGTCAGAAGAAATACCTAATCGACATAATGGAAATGATAATGACCACACTAAAGGTGAAACCAATGAATCTTCTAAACATTTGTTTGATCCCAAAGATGTTGTTAAAAAACAAAAGTCAAAACGTCATCAGGATGAAGTTACTGCTGAAGACGCTCTTCTTATAACTAAAATTACCGCTCAAAATGAATTATCCGATTCCGAATCTAAAATTGACTTGGGTTTACCCAAGATTATCCCTGGACTATCTTCTTTGTACTCTGATTTCTCAGCAAGAGATGACTATTATTCGATTGTTGAACAATGCATACTAACCATATTACCTTCTCAAAAAGTAACGTTTATGTTGTTTTGTCGGTTTTTCAAATATGTTAGCCCATTTTGTCCAGTGGTGGATGAACATGGCTTACTTCTTGAAATGAATAGTATCTTTACTGAAGATTTTCCTGGTGTTAAGGAAGAACGCTACACTAAAGTTAGAATATCCGATGAAAGTCAATTACATACAGTGGGTATTTTTTTACTAGTGTTAAGACTTGGCTATTTTTCTTTGATTCATACTCATTCATCAACCTCATATAATAAGGATGATGAAAGTATGATAAGGGATCTGAAAAGAGTTCCAACTGATGTTTTTGTCAAAATTATAAATATGTGTGTTAGTGAGGCGGGTATAAGTACAAGATCAACTTTCCAATTAGTGCAAGCCATGGCATTATATCATTTCTATAGATCCGTTTCCCCTAATGATTGTCTTGGATTGACCAATTGTGATTCCCAAATCTTATTAGGATCTGCTATCAAGCATGCGACCTCAATTGGTTTACACCGTGATCCTTCAAATTTCAAAGGTTCACAATTTCTTGACGATAATAAAAATGTTGTTAAGTCATGGAGAAGTTTATGGAGATACTTGGTTGATCTCGATGCAAATAGCTCAATCCATAGTGGGGTTGATTTAAACATCAAAAATTTGGATTCTAGTGATACCCGATTAGATCTGGACCCAAATGAACCAAATTTTATGGATCCCTCAATTGACGCAACGAACAAGATTAACCATCTTTACCGAAATTTATGTTTAAAAATCACTAATCTAAGAAATAAACCAACGGTTGTTGATATTCTAAAAGAAACTTGCCAGCTTGAGCAATTTTTTGCGGATTATTTTGGTAAGGATTTCTTTAAAGAATATATTTGTACACCAGTCAGTGCAAATGATCAAGGCGATACCGAACATAATCAACGAACTTTAAAAGTCTTAAAATACGTTTCGTTTGTTCATTTAAGAACCAACTTATCGTGTTGTTATTACATGATTTGTGCTCATTATGAAGAAAAATGGGATGCTTCCAAAATCCCAGCATCCAATGCAGGAATTGAACTTTTCAAGATATTCACCAGAAGCGTGATTCAATTAATTTACATTATGACCTATGTTTTAGATAATTCAGTGGAACTATTTGGTAAAAATTATGATTACCTATTAACTGCAACGAATGAAAGATGCATGATGAAATGCCATATGTTTTTAACATCCTTCTTTATGCGTCTTTTGCATCATAAAAAATCACTTACCAAAAAATTACAAAAGGCTAACGAAAAACCATTAAATAAGTCTGAGTTACAAACCGTACAAAATTTGGAATTAAGATTAGAGGCAACTGATGCTTTATTTCGCATTGCACTAATTGAATCAGAACTCTTTGTGGGGACCTTTAGAAGATTGAGTAAGAATTATGTAAATTCTTACCGAGTCTATGTTATGTCATTCTTTGTCTTGAAACAAAGTATGGAAGATCCAGAACGTATTCTTGAATCTACTGACGCCAACTTCATTGACCAATCGAACATGATCGAATTCTTAACTACTGGCGATTTACAAAATTTGGGTAAATTATGTGAAGAATTCAGAATTGCAAAACTAGAGCTGGATAAAAGACATAAAGATAGAACTAGACGTCTTCAAGAAAACCAAGTCCCTAATGAAAATCCTGAAAGACAGCCGGACCCCTCCGCCTCTGTCAGTACAATCAACCTTCTTTCTGAAAATTCTCATCCTACTTCGTTAGACTCTATTCCAAATGATGCTGACTCCTCAAGTAACGATTCTGATATAAGTCCAATTGCCTTTTTATTCAACGGTGAGTTTGGCAGCTTCGATGATAAATCCCTCTATCCAATGGGTAATTCCATAAATGAATACCTGACCAGTGAAGACTTGTTGAAACTATTTGCAGTCTACGGAAATAACGAACTCTTTGATGTACAATAACTACGGGGATAACCCCAATACAAAAAAAATTATATATATTCTAATGTACTATATTAATCTACATAAAATAAAGCAACTTATTCCAACAAAAGGCGCTTATTGTAGTCCTTCTATTCTTGTCGGGTCATCTGCTCTGCCACCGTGCTGGTGAAATGAGTATGTTGACTTTCCAAGAGCTATGTGCAAGTTGTAAGATCTCTGAATACATTGGGCTTCGGCTCGGTCTTAATCTCGGTCTTCGAAATCTGAACAGTTGAAAAAAAGAAAAAAATAAAAAGACGGAAAAAAAAAAACAAAATTCATACGCATTGAAAGGAAAGGAGAGTCTCTGATAAAAGAAGAACTAAAGAATTGAAGTAGGCTAGCTGGTTTCAACCTCAATTTACTCAATCGTAACATAGTACAAGTATAGTTTCTTTAGAAACAAGAGAGAGGGTCAAGAACAGATTTCAAAGTAGCTGTCAGCCGTCTCAAACGTTTTTTTTCACGAATATCCCCAATTAGTCAATAAACTTGGTAATACCCCCAACAGATTGAAATGTTCGAAGAAAATTCAAAAAAGAAGAGAAATAGATTATCCTTGAGTTGCAACTACTGTAAAAAACGTAAGGTCAAGTGTGATCGTGGCCGTCCGGCGTGTTTGGCTTGTCATCGTTATAATGTTGCTGATCAATGTGCTTATTCGTCAGATGCACCCAAATCAGAAGTCGATAAAATCGAAGAAGAACTACCTGGAAATGATGATTACGATAGTATTGAACAACCTAAGTTAAGAAAAGTATCGAATTCTCATATATATCCAACTCCGCACGATCCACCATCGATTAATAATGGGCATCCGTCAATGGCTCTATTTAAACAAGACGGTCCTGCCAACTCGAAGAACGTTCCTTCTGCCGTTTATTCTGAATTGGAAGCGCTTAAAGATAAAATTAAACAACTCGAGGCTTCAATCACGGTTTCTAATTTATCCCATGCGTCCCCTGGGTCTACTATAACACAATTGTCGGGCTCTGGATCAGGCTCTGGCTTGGATGATAAAAAGACAAATTCTCAAAATACAGGCATTCTGATGGGTAATCCAGAATCTCCTGCTACTCTACCCAAATTAAGGTCTATATCGCTGCCTGTACCTCACCAATCATTTCTTGAAGGTAATATAAGGCTTCCCTCTATAGGTTGGTCGGTAAAGAGTCCGTCTCTCAATTTGGAAAGTAATGTTAGGAACCAGGATGACGAATACAGGCCTTCAGATTTTATAAGTCTGCATTTGGGAGTGGTGGAAACCGATCCGGATGATCCCGATGAAACTATAAATTTTTATTCAGGTTATACACCTATCCATATTAAAGACCGCTCAAGAAGAATTAATCATGGTCCACATTCTTGGTTATCTCTTATGAAATGTGACTCTGGTCTAAGGGCATTGTGGGCACACTTTTCAGAGAAGAAGAAACATGTTGGTCTGAGTGTTCCTCCTCCATTCGTTATCGTAGATAAAAAACCCTTGAATGCTCCTCCTACTGAAAATGAAGATGATTTCACGGCTAAGGCTTTGGATCAAGATGGTTATGATGATATCAAGCCGTACAGTGAAGTCAAACAAAATACTGCTGCTAGTATTACTTCAGATCCTTCTGAATCATCGTCTCGTGAAGCAAGAATTCAAATGAATAGGCACGCCATAGCGTTGGGTTTAACAGTTTTCGAAGGAAAGCTAGATCAAGAATTACACTTAGTTGAAAAAATCAGAGTGGTTTTACCAAAACAAAAAGTTATATGGAAATTAGTTAATTTGTTCTTCACTTCGATATATTTTTATGTTCCTATCATTGATGAATTATCATTCAAGAATGAATTAGTAAGATTAATAGGACCCGAGGATTATAATGATTCAGCAATTCCATTTTTCAGAGTTGAAAAACGTCTTGATTTTGCTTATGTTGCAATTTTATTAACCATTCTAAGATTTACCTATCTTGCTAAGTTTTCCAATAAGCATGAGGAAAATGAAAGTATAATTCAATCTCATGATGCACATTTGTCAGAAACCAAATATCTATTACTTAACCCGATTAGCATTGATGTTATAAGTCTTGCTCAGTTATGTTTGGATCAATTTGATTTAACTAGAAAATCAAATCTAATCATCTTACAAACTGCTCTTTTGATGAGAATATATCATATGTTCCTGCCTGAAGATGGTGATGGTGCTGATGGAGGTCAATCTCAAATCTATAATGGTATGTTGATACAAATGGCTTATTCACTTGGGGTCAATAGAGAACCAGATTTATTTCCTGAAGTTTTAAATGATGAAAAAGAAAATAATTTAAGTAGGAAAGTTTGGTATTTTTTAAAGCTTAATGATGTCTCTCATGCTGCCCAATATGGTAATCCTATAATTGTTGATGCAATATATTCTGATGTCAAGATGCCCTATTATAAAAAGGGGAATGAGAATGTTGTTGATAGTAAAATGGATCAAATTGTTACTGAAAGTATACGAAGCTCTGGAACGCCATATGATGCATTGAAGCAATTATTGATTTTAACTTTAAACATTCTGAATCAAATTAAAATCACTGATTTAACGGCCAAAGTTGTTGAATTTGAATTGAACTTGAATAAATGGCTAGGAAAATTAACTGATTATACTCGAACACCCCCAATTCCAAATACCCAACCTTTTGTGAAAGTCAAAAAATGTAAAGCATTGTTGAATTTAAAAAATTTTACTCTTTCCATTTATTATCACCTTTACTTGCATTATGAAAGAAATGGCAAGAATGACCTTACTTTTTTTTATATGAAAAAAATAATGTCAATCATGTTCTCCGAAGAACTACCTGAATATATTAATTTAATTCAAAATAACCGTTTACACTTTGATCCAAATTCAACAATTGCTGATTTAATTCTAAATCCTTCGGTTCAATCTATGATTCATAGAAATACTCAATTTGCATTTTCACTTTTAATAAGATTAAATAATAGCATACATCGAATGAAGAAAAATCCAGAAGTTCATGGTCGTTTATTGATAAAAAATGACGAATATAAGCTTCGATATGCAAAGCTTTGTAAATTATCAAAGTTGATTGAAAAATTAGCTAAATTTTCCATTGGTTGTATGACTAAATTAAGTGGTAGGTATTATTATGCATGGAGAATTAGTAAAGCACATTCATTTATACTCCCAATAATGTTACTGGAAAAATTTTATAATGGATTTGAAGATAATTTCAAACACCTTCAATTTCCGAATTTCCGTGATGATCAAATAAATGCATTAAGTAGTATATGTGAATCTGTTGTTAGACAATTAAAAGAACATGATTTTGAAACTAAAGAAAATGATAAACAATTCATTCCTCAACAAAGAGAAAAACCATATGGACCAACTTCTGAATTCAAACCGCCATATTCTAGAAATAACCTGTATCCAACATTTGATCTGTCGGATAATAATTCGAAGAACGCATTTTTATCTTTGAATTCTGCCAGTCCGGCATCCAATTCTTCATTTGAATTAGACGATTTCATTCAAAAGGATACTTCTGAAATAGATAGGTTATGGCTTCAAATGGTTTCGATGAAAAATAATGACAGCTATCTTGAAAATAACAGTGAATTAAACCATGGCAGCTTTGGTAACGATCAACTCATCTCAGATCAACTTTTACAACAAAATCAACCATTCACGCCAGGAGCTTTAAATGGAGTTAATGTTGATGGTAATCAATCAGATGATATTTTCGCTAAACTTACTTTTGACAACTTATATAATATTTAAACTGTGATGGATTGCTCTATGGTTAATTATGTATATAAATATAAAACTGTGATTGTATGGAACCACGTAATTGTTGCAAAATTATTAAAAAAGTATCCAGAATTATCAAAAATTATCAAAATCATGAAAATTAACCCTCTCGAACAAGCAGCCCCTTCGGTTGACTCCAATACCCACCTCTACAACCCACCATTCCACCTTAATTAGCACTATTCTGGTTTTCCAGTGGAGGTATACCCTGGGGCCAATGGGTATACCTAAATGGAGGTAGTGCACACCTGTCAAAAACCCGAATTTGGCCCTATTCAGAAAAGCGAGTAAAGTTACCCGACCCTCAGATTTTTGCAGGTAAAAAATTTTTCCTTGTGGACATAAATTGAAAAATTTCACTACTACAACCTTTTTTTTTTTAACTATTACTTAGCCAAATATGGTTTAATAACATATTCATATAGTGGATATAGCAAGACGTATGTTTTCGCCAATGAACTCATGTGCTTGAAGATACTATGACGACAAAACGCTGTGCACCAGTCTGAATAATGTATGACAGACCCAGTATACCCAAATTTCTGAAGTATCTTTTGCCAATAGCACGATTTCCCCCCGAGTTAAAGATTAAACTTTGGTACTAACAATCAATACAGTATATTTTAGTTTTTCCTATAGTATAGTTTTGTAAATCAATATATGGAATTTGTTATTATCTAATGAGAATGTAGAAACAATGTAAAGAGAAGAAAAATGTTAATCGGGGTTTGTCTATAGAGACCCTTTGTACCCCTGAGCTGATCAGGAAGAGAAATATTGAGTGTTGAATAGGTTGTGAAGGTGTCGTGAAGGTATGGTGAACATATCGTGAAAACATGTAGTTATGAAACCTCCAGGGGCAAGGAGCTAGATTAACATCGTTGAAATATAACTCCTTGTCACGGTAGACCAATTTCGATAAGGGACCAAATCGTCGAGAGCTTATGAGAAGGTTGTCGAGAACAAAATGGGTCCCAGAGCAATTATAACAAGGTTAAGGGCACCCATTGACAGTAAACACGAGTAGAGAATTGAAGGTTAGACAAAGTGGAAAGTTTGGTGTCTTATTGGAAAAGCCTTGATATTTGCAGGGTGTTCATAATCTATCGAACAAGGTTAACATTCCAAAAGATCTAATTAAGGGATTCCTATTTGGAAATATTGCAAGCAAAAGGGAAAACAGCGAACAACGGTTGAATGGTCCAAGCAAGGGTGCTTCCCTGCACAACAATCCCCTTAAGCGATGGCTATAAAAGGAGTAAATTGAATGAGTCTGTGTAAATCACGATCACCCTCTACTTTGTTTATTTTGTTTGAAGGTATATTTACCTTCGGGCGACGCGTTTTGCATCAATTGATTTTCTACACCCTTTGAAATTTGTGTTGCAACTCCAAAAAAATCAACAAACACCTCCTTCGCTTGGGAGCTGGAATCTTTCTTCAAAATACGCATCGCGGCGTCCTGATACTTTGTCAAACGTTCATGTTCTATGGCATACCTCCTAAGTCACGGTATGAATAGCTTATTTACTATTAATAGGTTGAGATCATAACCGAGTATTTGTTAGACAGATCACGATTCGTGTTAAATGGGTACCTTAGAAGGTTGTTTTAGTACTAATGTTTTTCAAATTATCGTGTTGTAGAGGCATATGCATGGATGAAGCAGAATTGTTTTGATAAAAATTAGTTTGGCGTTATTGTTTCAACTAATAATATAGGTTTATTGATGCACCTACCTTCCAATTACAACTCCTTGACTGACAACAAAGTATACTGGCTTTGAAAAATTTGCAAAAAAAAAAAAAAGGTTCCCGAAATATATATAAGTCAAACAAATCCCCAGAAGTTTCAAAGATATCATAAAGGATATAATTAATCTTCCAAACTTGGATTCACTCATTAATTGCATTTATATTCATTCTTTAGTCATAGATCAAATTATGTCCGCTCCTTCCCAAATTGATTTGAAAGCTCTTAATATCTTTATTAACTCTCCAGTTAGTCAAGATATGATTCATAAATTAGTGGTCACTACATTACAAGTGTTACCATGTCAAGATGATAAGAGCTCAATGCCATCACCTCCACAATCTCCAAATAAAACTACTAGTAATGGTAAACCATTACCTTCATTGATGACTTTTTTAACTAAATTAATTAGATATACTAATGTTTACACCGGTACTTTGATGGCTACTTTGGTTTATTTAAATAGATTGAAGTCAAAATTACCTAAAAATGCTCAAGGATTACCATGTACTAGACATCGTATTCTTTTAAGTTGTTTAATTTTATCTTCAAAATATCATAACGATTCTTCTCCTAAAAATATTCATTGGGCTAAATACACTGATGGATTATTCAATGTTAAGGATATTAATTTAATGGAAAGACAATTGGTTTATTTATTAAATTGGGACTTAAGAGTTTCAAATCAAGAAATGATTAAATCAGTTAGTAAATTCTTAGAACCAATTAAACAAGATTTAATTAAATCAGCTAAGATGAGAAAATTCTTACAAAAACAAAAGCAAGCTCAACAACAACAAATTGCTGCTGCAAATGCTGCTGCAAATGCTGCTGCAAATATTGCTTTATCCCAAAAAAAACAAATTACTCAACCTCAACCAGCTCATTTACAACCTCCAAATACTCCTCCTGCATCAATTACAAGATCTTCTTCAAGTAGTTCTAATTTATCATTATCTTCAATTAGTACTTCTTCAATTTCTCCTTCTCCAAATAATCATTACAGACAAGACTCTTTGAGTTCAGTTGAATCTTTAAGTCCAATCAGTCCATGCAATAATAAACAATCTTACTTGGCTGCTAACATTGATCCAATCATTGAATTGACTGCCCGTAATGAAGAAATGGAATTAAATAGAATGATTCAACATTTTTCTAGATCAAATCACTAATTTTTAAAGTTGATCTTGATCTGTCTTCTTTAGTTCTTCATTTTACGTTAGTTTGGGTATTTCATTTAAAATAGAACCTGGGTTCTAATGGTGTTCCACGATATATATTTTTTTCAATTCTATCTTCTGTTATATAATGACTTTATAACTTTAATTATACCATTAACTATTACTATATCTTGTAATCATTCCATTCTTCGACAACATTCCCAACTTTATTTAGTACCCTAAACAGCAACACCAATCAGTGATGATAGAATCACTCTTATCAAGGAGAATAGTTGCAAATTTTCAAACATCACGTGACACTAATGCAATCTCCCTTTGTCCGACAACCCAACAGCTGGCTTACCTGGGTACCCGAAGTACCACTGTAGCTGGTTTTGTCTCCCTTGGATTCCCCTGGTTTCTCGTGGGTTCCCTTGGGTCCTTTATTTCTTCGTTTGCTAATGCCATGGGTTTATCTATTCCATCAGTCATCAGAAAACTCCTGCATCCTAGCAAGACACACCAAAAACGAAAAAAAAAACACAACGGTAATGGCACGCCTAGGCAACACTGGGAACAACAGAAAAACTGAATAAAGGAACCATACTACGATCATTTAAAGCATATATCGATTTAAGAGAGTTGGAAAGCATAATACGGTTTGTATTGAGTCATGAGAAGGTTTATTGCGAGCAGCTTACGCTCTCGATTGTCTTGCCAGCGCCATACCTATACGGATTATCGGTTTAACTCCAGGTGTGGTGGAGTCCGAAGCTTTGTATCGAGTTCGGTTTTATTTAAAGATGAAGATAAATCCAAGCAGGCATTAAAGAAATTGGGGTTATCGTTGCAGAAGGGGAAGGTCAAGCCGCAGGAGCAAGAGGAAAATGAAACCAGCAGTAAAGCCGAGTCCAAAGATCAAACCAATGAGGATCAAGATGATGATGTGAATCACTCAGGTATTCAACCAAATCCTCAAGTTACACAAGGCCAGAGCCAGGGTCAAGGTCAAGGTCAAAGTCAAAGTCAAAGTCAAAGTCAAAGTCAAAGTCAAAGTCAAAGTCAAAGTCAAAGTCAAAGTCAAAGTCATAATCGTAATCATAATCATACTCCAGGACACAATCCTAGTCATAATCATAACCGTGCCACTGATATAAATACCAAGAATAATGAAGTTAACGAACATAAGAATGCATCAATCCATGAAACCTCTGATGAATCACACGATCCACATCAACCTCCAATTGATGTAATCACTGAAGAAAATGAGAATTTACAACAAGCTTACGAAACCATTGCATATATGACAACTGACGATTTAATGATTCAGCAACATTTGGATGAAGATTCTCCATTTAATTCATTTGAATCAAGTCATTATCTTGATCGTAAACAAGTGATCAGAAATTTACCAAATGAAATTGATATTTTTGATACTCCAATTGAAAAAATTGAAAAAATTTATGAAAATTTAAGTAAATTAGATAATGATAAATCAGTTCAATTAAAATATTTTAAAAGATATTTAAAAAATTATGATGATCCAATAATTCAATTATTACAACAATTCAATAAGATCAATGATAAATTTAAGTTATTAAGAAGAAATGAAGTTGATAATTTAGCTTTAGCTCCAAATGCTTTCCTTTATAAAGAAAATTTATGTAATAATCCTTATAATGTTTTGGGTTTTGATAGATCAATAACCGGTATACCTTTAAGAACTGGAAAGCATAAATTAACCGATCATTGCTACCCTCAAGAGTTTATTGAAGATTTACAAATGTTTAGGAAAAAATTACCTTTAAACAAACGTGATTTGAATTTTATTGAACTAGAAGATAATTCAGTAACTTTTGATCCTTCCAAACTGCAAAAAAAAATATCTAAGAATGAATTGAATAAATTTTTAAGTTCAATTTATAAAGAATTAGAATTCCCAAAATTTGCAATTTCAATTAATGATATTTCAAATTACCATAATTTAGAATCTAATTCAACTTATCTTATTAATGAAATTGAATATGAACTATTACAATTTAAAAAATCATTACAAAAAGAAATTGAAATTTTCATGGCGTCAAATGGTAAGAAAATTCTCTTATTAACCCCTCAAGATTTAAAAGTTAATCAATTTAGATTAGGTGAATCTGAATCTAGAGAAACTACCCTCAATAATTCATTAATGATTATAAATTATAACTTCAAGAACTTCAATCTAATCCCAGGCTTTGGTATGCTATTAACTTCAAGAAGACATTATAATTACATGTACAGACATTTGTTCAAAATCTTCCTAATCAATTTAGAAGATCAAATTGATACTCTATACAGAGTCAAATATTATAACCAATCTAAAATGAAACATTTCATGAACAGTGTTAAATTGAAAATTAAAGATATCATCAATAAAAAGTTAATGAAAATAGTTTTGGATAAAAAAATTCCATCCATGAATTCATTAGATGCTTTGCTCCATAAATCTAATGCAAATACCGCTTTCAAAAGAATCTGGTGGGTTAATAATCACTACAGAAACACTTTCGCTCCTCAAAGACCCGGCTCAAAGGATAAAAAATCCTCCTTTCACATAAATCATCAAGATTTTAATGAATATATGAAGTTGCAACAAGACAAAAGACTAAATTATAATGGTGAAGTAGTTTTGAAGAACGTGCGAAGTTCAAAACATTGAAATCCACACTTAAAAAAAAAAAAAAAATAGCGAGTGAAAAAACAAAAAAAAAATTGATTGATTTATTGAAAAATTTGAAAGTAGCTTTATATAGACATTCATTTCATTTAAATAGTCCCTTCATTACCTTATAATAGTAACATACAAACTTACACATCGAGAGATACTTATTCAGTAGTGTGTTTACTTGGATTTGAGTGTATTTTCATATAATATTTCAGTCATAGATAGCGATTCAAGATGCCAATTAAAAAACTTCAACCAGCAAAGACTATTCCCCCATTACCAAGAATAAAAATCAGAAATCCAGTTGTGTCTAAATCAACCAATCAATGTTTAGTGTTTATGTCATCGTTATTGAACTGCTGGGCTGCCAACGGAGATGGTTCAGCGCAATGTATAAGTTTTGAACATGATTTAAAAAATTGTATGGAAACTTATAAACCAGAAAAAGAGGTTCGTAGTTCCATAAATTATCATGCTCAAAGATTATATCCTAAGATCAGAGGAAGAGTTCATGATTGAAGAGTTGATTAATAAAGTTTAAATTCAATTGTATATAGGTTTAATAAATTTGAAAGAGAATTCTACTAATATGTATTGAAAAAAAGAGACAAAGTTTAATTTAAGCAGAGGATTTCACGGGATATACGGTATCTTTAATATCTAATTCCTTATTTTTGATTTTATAGAATAATTTTTCTAAATTATCGACACCAATATCGATTTCATTAATGAAGTCACCATCTTTTTCTAAAGGATTTGGCCGATTCAAAGGTGCAAGGGGGTAAATCTTATCAACGTATTCTGGTTTCACTTTATCGGGAACATAATAATGGAATAATAAGTTATCACCGGTTTCTTCCAAATGCTTTCTTTCCCAATTTTTTTGTTCTTCCTTTGATGGTAAAGATTTAATCCCTGACCAAACCCCAGCAATTGCAGCAGCAGAAGCTTCAATAGCATGGAAGGTCAAATGAGCAACTGTAACCCCAACACTGGCCAATGTTGGATCTTCAATAGAAAAAGTATTATAGTAAAGACCCGCAACTCTACTCAAGTTTGAAGGATTAACAATTCTTAGATGATCATTCAAAAATGGATAATGGTAATGATAACCAGTAGTTAATAAGATTTTATCAATATTTTCTTCAACCGAACCATCGGTGAAAACAACTTTTCTTTCTTCGGCAAGAATCTCTTTAATTTGAGGTTTATGGGTTATACCATCCGATTTCAAACCTTGATTAATCCAGTCAAATACCAAATGGGGACCTCTTTGAGTAACAATCGTCTTTTTAGCAAAAGGAACAATATACTGGACTAAATTAGCAGTTGAAATTCCAAATCCAACTACCAAAACGTTTTGATCTTTAAAATCTTCGTGATTTCTGTAAGACTTTGAATGAATAGTCGAATCAGGATAAAGTTTATTAAATTTCGATAAACCTGGAATGTGTGGGATGTTTGGAACGGTATAATGTCCATTAGATAAAATGATTGCATCAAATTCTTCTTGATACCAATGTTCTTTCAAATCTTTTGAAATTTGTCTAACGGTAATTACCCACTTATTATCTGAATTTTTAGTTACTTTTTCAACACGAGTATTGAATCGGATATAATCATTTAAATTTTCATTTTCAATAAAGTCTTCAATTCTTTTTGATAGTTCATATTGGGAAAGAAAAGGATAAATGATTCTTTTTTCATCCAAATATTCTGGTTCATTGGGTTGGTAAGAGAACCGAACAAATCTTGAAGGAATGTTTGTAAACAAGTCAGCGTAGACCCCAGATCTTTTCCATTCCAACTTATCATTATACAATTGGTCACTTTGCTCAACGAATGGATTCTCATAACTAGCATTTTCAACTCCCGAGGGAATTTTCAATTGAGGATGAATGACGTCTGGATCATTATACTTTTCAGTGTCAAGAATCTCTTGAGGGGGTACTGGAACATCTGTTTCATTCAAAGAGGGAGCCCAAATACCACCTGCTTTATCCTTTTGTTCAAAAGCAACAATTTTAGTAAATTTTGGATTTGAAGATTTAGAAGAACCAACGGTGGAAGTACCGTCCTTATTAGTGTGGGTTAGTTCGTAAATTGATGCAAGACCGGCAGGCCCTGCACCAATTATGGCCACTTTGCTTATATCGAGAGTCATGAAAGTTTATTTAAGATCTACTTCCTGGTTTATTTATGATATACTTCCTGGATACTTCCTGGGGAGGGAGAAATATTGCTTAGCTTATATACTAGCCAAATGTGGAGTCAATTATTGCAAAAAGTGTAATTCGCAATAAAAATTGTGGACTCAAAAGATCGTTTTCTGTCATTTTCCTGGCCGATTGGTTGATTAAGTGAATGGGCAGATGTGACAATGTGGATTATAGGGAGAACGAGCGTATAGACCAACAACTCGGGTGCTATTGGGGTCTCTGAGGTCTAGTGAAATGAGCCTCAGGAACAAATACCTTAATATGTTAAATCGCTCTGTACTTACTACAGCAGCTTCTCTAATTAGCTTCTCCAGTATTCTCCATATTCTTCAGAACGTCTCTCATACGTCTCATATACTTATACTCTCATATATACTTCTCATATACTTATACTCTCATATATACTTCTCATATACTTATACTCTCATGCTTATACTCTCATACCTCACCAGCATCCAGCGATAGACCAAGTCACAACCGCCACCGTGAACACAAAGGCCACTGGCAACGAGGTTGTATGGGTGATCCAGCACCCAATTCCTCTCTTTTTGCAGTCAAAGCTTTGGCCCCATCGTGGCTCTAGACCCGTGTCGTGCCTCTTCCTAATCACCGTCTCTACCAAAGCATCACCTCTTGTCCAGCTTCACAACTGCAAACCTACCTTAGCACCCACTTTTACAACCTCACCCATGTTCGCCCGCAAGATCGCCCTGCTCAGCTGATCCCATCTCCCCCACGCCTCCAGACATCACCATCCTGCTGCTACATGCTGCTACATGCCTCTTCCGACACCGTCTCCATCAATTGGTCTTCGTCAGAAGCAGAGGTATGGGTGTTTAGCCGGGGATCTAAGCCTTCGAACCAAACGCACGACCACGAAAAGGGTGCCTTTTCTTCTTTTGCCCAAAAATCTCAACTTTCTCGCTAAACCAAAGTAGGTGTATCATTAGCGATTCTTTTTTTCTTTTTGACAAAATTTTAATACTTTAGAACTAGATACCACCCACAAATTTTCTTCTCATATGGTTAGATACATATAGGTACACTCTTTATTGATGTATTTGTAACTGGTTGTTACCGAATCTTTTCTTTTCTTTTCTTTTCTTTGCTGTTGTTTTCTTTTCATTTTCCGAAACACCAAAAAGAAAAAAAAAAAAAAAAAAAAAAAAAAAGAACCAATTAATTTTGGTCAAGTTTGATTTGGCTTGAACATTCTGGTTTACAATGTTTAATTCAATTTCAAGGCTACTACTAGTGGTGTTCATGATCCTACTACGGTTCACCCGTGGTGCATTTATCCAGAACTACCAATGCTCTGGCATTGACATGTATAATTATAACTTTGAAACATTTGTGGTTGATGTTGCATTGGATGAAGAAGAAAAAAAATTGAAGTTCTTTATGAATACAAAAGTGATTGATTTTGATAACCCGAACGATCGTGGAGTGATAGTGACGGACGTGAACTCAACCACCAATCGATATACTACGTTCCATGTTGAAATACAATTTATGGGGAATGTATTTATTAATGAAAATAAACGATTTTGTGATATGATTGCAGTTAAGAATACTACTGAATTTCTGAAATCTCCTCGTTTTACCGATGAAGGTGATGATGACGATGGTAATTCGGAAACTGGCGATGCGTCCACTGCACAGGCGGCCACGGCTACTGCTGATGCGAATGCGGCAAGTGATTTGGAAACGGTTTCTGATGATAAAGACCACCGGCATCCAAACATCGGTAATGGTACCTCGGTCAATGCCAAAAGAGACTTTCTTGGGAATTCGTCTTATGTGTCAATGGCCCATTCAAATTCAAGTATTGAAACAATTTTTTCAAATAAAACCGGCGAATTAGTTCAATGTCCCTTGTATATTAATGACTCCATCATCTTATATTATGAAGCTGATATCAGTGAGCATTTCCATCGGTTAGGTTCTTACGCTGCTAGATTTTCAATTGTTTCAAATGATTTGAATTCCGACGTTATTGGTTGTAATAAAGCTTATATTACCCCGGTTCAATCCGATTATATTTCAGCATCTTTGTTCATTGGGGTTCTTTTATTATTATTGATTACGGCCCTAATCAATTTCTTGACGGTTATTTATTCGTCCTATCAAGAATCTTCCAATCCTTTCTTATTCACTGCTTCCACCATTTGTAATCGAAACTTATTGAAACAATTGGATGCAACCGTTCAACGAATTATCATTTATCTTCAATTTGCTTTATTCATGGCGGGATTGGATCTAGATTACCCGGGATTCTACCAACCTTTAATTGGTCAAATTCGTTGGTGTGCCTTATTAGGTATTTCTTTACTTGGTAGAAGCTCCGATTACACTCATAAATCTTCGGATAATATCTACGTTACTTTGAATGGTGGAGGATTGAAAAGTTTGGCTTTATACTCAACTGATCGTTCAATTCATGATGGTTGGCCAAACTTTATGCTTTGTTTATTGGCATGGACTGTTTTTTCAATTACCGCCCAACAAGTTTTCTTAATAACAAAGTCAATTATTGATTTTGTAATTAAAAAGTTTAATAGAAATAAAAAATCCTTACTTAATGATGAAAAAAGCCCTGGTTCAAATTTTAATTTCACCTTCACTAAAAATTTATACTATATATTGGGTTCGATTCTAAGTTCCTTTTTATCAGTTTTCGGTTTCCCATTCTTGATTTTAACGTCTTATTTATTTGACACTGCTTCCTATTTCAATAATAATCATATCTTAGATGGTGATATGAATGATTTGTCTCGAGCAGCATTTGATTGCTCAGTGGATTATGATGATTTATTTAAGCCTCGTAACTCGGGCGCTACGAAAACTTTTTCTGATACAGTTTCTACAATGACAGTTTCATCAGCTACTTCCTCCTTTGGTACCTCTATCCCATCAAGTGGTGAAATTGTCGGTAGTGGTAATTTGACTGTTTATCCAAATGGTACTATTACTAAATTAACTCATACCACAATCGATTCAAAAGCTTACTTGGGTGTTCCTATACCAAGTATCATTATAAGTTCAATTTGTTTTACTCTTTATATTTCATTGGTTTTATATTTCACATTCAAGTATTTAATCACTATCAAGGATTATAAAATAAAAGGCTCTAAAAAAGTTTCAAGATTATATACTTCAATGAAGGTCATCTTGGTTTGGGGTTTCAGTTATCATCATTATCATCCAAATAAAGTTCATTACGTCATTTATGATTATATATCATTAATCATAAAATCTTTGGTTATTGGTCTTTTACAAAGTAAAGGTATTGTACAAGTCTCCATTTTGATATTAGTTGAATTTTTTGATTTGGTTTTTCTATTTGCAGTTCAACCATATTATCTAGAATTAACTTGGACAACTACAAGATGGATTTTGCCAACCGCTAGATTATTTGTTACTGCTTTATGTATTCCATTTATTAAAGAATTAGGCCTTGCCGAATCCACAAAAACTTATGTTGCGTACGTACAGCTTCTTATCCATTTGGTTATAGCTTTGGTTTTCATTATCCAATTGGCTTGTTGCTCAATAAGTACGGTGATTTCTATCATAAAAGTAAGAAGAGAAAAGAAACAATACGCCACTTATTCAACGGATGATCATGCCAATAGTATTGATGATTTTAACAAAGAATTTGAATATCAACCAATGAAGAATCAAATTGGTCCTCTAATGAAACCTGATGCAAGTAAATTCTTACATGTTGATACAGCTTATGATTCATTAATGTTTGGAATTGATAACTCCAACGTTAGTGATTATGATCCAAATAAAAGTAATAACAGTACTATTAAATATGATAATAGCTCTCCAGTGGAATTCAAAAATGGGGGTGTTAATCTCAATGATAATGATATAAAACTAGAAAATGATAATGATTATTATTATAGAGGTCAAAAGGGAGCAGCTCTTTTAGATAAAAAGAATGACTTTATGAAACGAGACTTATCAGGTAAAACCTTGAAAAACCTTGAATCACCTTCCAAATCTCCTGTTGCTTTGTACGATTCTTCACCAAAAGAAGTAAGTTCAGATGTCGAATCAGATAACTTATCTTTCCATCATCAACAACAACGTTCAAATATCAGAAAACGTGAAAATGATTATACTGTCAGAGAAGCCGACAAAATTTACAGAAAATATTTTGTGGATGCTTCCATTGATCCAGAAATTAAAGCCTTATGGGATTCAAGAAACAAATGGTCTGACACATTGGTAGATGTTGATCAAGATGATGAACGTCAAAACAACTCTCACAACACCAGTAAACCTTATAAGCAACAAGCTCCAGTGTCACCAATCAGCGAAACATTATCTTCTACAACATTGTTTACCAAATTGAAAAACATGTTTAATTCTTTATCCAACACAACTGTTTCTGGAAAACCAGTTGAAACTAAAGGCTTCCAGGTTTCAAGACCTCGTCCATTGATTGTCAAACCCCTTTCGCAACTCCAAGTTCCTAAAAACGAGGAAGATAGCTTCGAGGACAGTGATTATAGCTTTGTGAATCTGCCTGATGATTACACCGCTTTAAAACAACTCCCTTGTGTCAGTGAAAGTAGTGAAAGTAGCGAGACAGCTGGCAATTCTCCAAAAAGACACAACCCATAAATCCCAAAGCAATCTTTCAACCCATTATAACTAGATTTTTAACCATTAATCATTAACTAAATTTCACTTCTTCAATTTTATTGTTTTAATTTTTGCTTTTTATTCATGATTTTTTTTTATTTTATTTCAATTCTTCTTTCATGGTTATATATATATATATATTTTGATTTTATATACCCCGATTTAACATTATTTTTGTCAGACTTAGTTTCATTCTTCTGTCATGTGTATTTCTTGTATTTCAAATTCACTTCTACATCTATTAATATAAAAGTCAATATATTTTATAAACTATGTAAAACTCAATGAGTCTTTGAATATAAGAAAAAGTGAATGGAAAAGAAAAGTTGAAATACAAATTATAAAATGAAACAATCAATGCAAACTAAAATATAACAAAATAAAATGAAAAACCTTAGATAACAGTTAATAATGCCAGAGAAGAAAAGTAAAAAGTTAACAGATCCTATAGTACACAAGAGAGAAGAAATCCGATTAAAAATAATAAAACCCTATTCAGTTTTTTGTTTCTTATTCGATGGTTCACCAGAAGTTAAAGATAATATGTCTTCATCAGTGGAAGGCGAATCATTAAGAAAACTCTTTTTCACGATGTTTTTTATCAATTTGTCATCTTCAATGAATTTATAAGGACCATTATCAGTATTGAAGGCCATGTCAATATTCAAACAATTAACCAAAGATTGGTATTCAGATTTCAAGACGACACCAGCCATTTTTTTCCTATTTAACATCATGTTATCATTAAAGGAAATAGTAGCAATTTCAGGATATTGAGCAATTCTTAAACCCAAAATCTTTTTATAATTGGACAAAAAGATCTTTGTTAATTTTTTGGACTCAATTAATTGGTAGCATTTTTTCAAAATTCTATTAACAAAAGCAAACTTTGATTCGTATTTTAAGTGTTCCATTGATTTCAATAAGTTCAAAGCGGAAATAATCGTCAATACTTGAATTACAAAAATTAATTCAATGATTACCTCACCAGTTTTGAAACAATCGTAGGAGTCCAACACTATATCAACCATTTCATCTTCTTCATCCTCATGTACAATTTGATTCATGATAGATAAAACTTCATCAACCAAGCTAGGTGACATACTTTGAGTTTCGATGAAAAACTTTTTGATTAAAGGTAAAGGAATTTCACCGAAGTCATACTTGGAACCACGAATTTCAACATAACCGTATCTTCTCAAAATTTCGCTATTTGGATGGTCAGAGTAAGTATTATACACTTGTTGGCCCTTTTTAATTGGTTTCACACTTTTCATTATCAATTCCAGTTTGGTATAGAATAAGGACGCATTATGCTTTGTAGTATCAGCGTTTAACATATCTGCCAAGGGCACCATGGATTTGAAAAAGCCATCATTAAAAATGTTACCTTCAGCCTCATCATCAGTTGAAGGAAATGTACCAACATCGGTTTTGTCAGAGGACAGGGTAATATTTGAGAGCCCTTTTTCTTCTGTATCACTTACATTTGCATTGGTAGATACTACTCTAGCTGGCTTTCCATTTGACTCAGGATTATCATTGGTGTTATCATCATCATCATTATCATCGTTATCGTCATCGTCTTCGTAATCATCAAGATCTGAATCTTGACCTTGGTCAAATTTTCCAACAAATTCAGGTCTTTCAACATCAAAAGAATAAGACATGATCAAAGAAGCAATCTTATGGTACTCATCCAAACTAACTTCCCCTAATTGATCTATCTTGAAGTCATGTACGACAATTTTTGGGTGTAATTTTCTATACATAGCTTCAGCCAAATCGCGACCAATTCTTTCAGTAATCAACGAAGGAGATAAATGTTTTAGTTCTTCTGGAGACCAAAACATAAGTTGGTTGAATACATAATTTTGCTCGTCATTTATTGGTAAAATATTGAAATAATCAATCCAAGGGCTTTTTTCGCCAACAACCTTAATTTCGTATAATAAAACTATAATTAAGGAATCCCAGTGATTTAATTTCATTAACTTTTCTTTCAAATCAGGTCTATCCTTGATTAATGTACAGTTATCAACACATATGGTTACTGACCTGGGTAATGAAAAAAGAACCTGGTCCTCCTTAATATCTTCAACTGCAACGAGACCTCTACCTTGATTTTGTTCACGTAAATCTTCAAGCTTCAACTTAGAGTTAATCTGGATGCCTCTTTCCTTCAACCAATTAGAAAAATTGTCGGTGAATTTTTCAAATTTATTCATTTTTTTGAAAATTTTATTAATTCGAATCTAATCGGAAACTTAGGCTTATTCAGAGTTATTCAATAGCCTTTGGAAACTTTTGTTTGCTATCAACCAGATCTTCCTTTTTAAACTGTAAGGCTAGATTATGTCTCGTAAGAAGCTATTAGTTTTCTTTCTTCAAATATTAAAACTTGTTCCTATAAAGAAGTAAAAGAAAAATGAGATGCAAAGCGAACAAAAGAAGAGGTACAAAAAATTGAAAAAAGTCACTTGCCCGAGAAGACATATATCTGTGATTGACCCACTGAAAGTTGAACGAATAGTAACATGTGTTGATAGTGTATATTACAGTAGAAATACAAGAGGCAGAATGTGGTAGTACAGGAAGAACGAATGGTTATTTCTTAGGCACACATTCGGAAGCACTAACGAGTTTCAACCAAATTTTTGAAGATTTTGAAGGTAATTTCGTAGCCAAATCCAGTTTATTTTTAAAATTATCATCGCTTGTAGACAATACTAGGAGTTGGTTATTGTAATTCAAGTCTAGAAAAGTGACTGGTTGTTGTAAATTTTGGTATTGTTTCATTCTTCTTCTTCTTTCTAAATTCCAAAGACAAACATACCCATCGGACCCAGCGGTGAAAAGAGTGTTACCCGTTGGATGGAAGAGAAGAGAGTTCACTGGGTAGACCATATCTTCTTTTGTTTGTTTATTTGATTGTCTGTGACATTTAAAGGCGAATTTTTGAGCTTGAACTTCCGGAGCATTATCAAAGTATTCCATCGATACTCTGCCATCGATAGAGGACAAGGCGTAACCTTGTTCATTGGGGAAGCATTTCAAGTCCCTGATTTGATATTTCAATCCACTTTCACGAATTTGGAAAGGCTGATCCCAATTTCTTATATCATAAACTTCAATTTTCCGATTTGCCATACCAATAACGGTATTCAAACTTGTAGTGTCGATTTTGAATATTTTATCATCCAAGGTTTTCGTATGAACTGGTTTATATATTCTGGTATCGATGTATTGAACTGTACCATCAAAAGACGTTGATACTATCAAATTATCTTTATTTTTAATGTTCTTTAAATTATTAATACCTTGAGAAATCCCTTCTGATGATGTTCTTGTTGCATTATCAGTAGAGATTTTCATATTTTCATAGTCAATATGCCGTATAGAACCATCCAACCCACCTAAATATGTCGCGTTAGAGTTCAATCCATAGTTTATACTAAGTATTGGTGTTTCGGATTTGAAAGTATTGAGTAATCTGGGGGTATTGGTTACATCATAAAGTAACAAAGATTGGTCCCACGAAGCCACGGACAATTGGTTATCGACATTAGAGAATTGTAGAGACGACACCACATCTAGGTCCGGAGGCGTAGGTAATTGAACGTATTCACTCATGATAAACGTTGAATAAACACTGTTTGGACTTGCTTCGCGTATGAAAAATTCTTTCAACTAACAGAAAAGTAAAAAAATTAAATAAACAAAAAACATAGAGAACTACAACTTGAGGTTACAATTGACCATGTATTACTTATGAATAAATCTAATTAGTTCAGCCGGGTCCTGGTCGGGTTCTACCCATTCGAAGTTTTCCCCATGAGTGAGCCAGAACTCTAGAAAGATCAATTCACTTTGTAGATCGTTTAAAACCAATTTTCTCTTATTCAATTGATTTTTGAAAAATTTTTGTAAACGAACAATTTCAATTTCTTCTTGGGGAGAGTGGATTGGGTTACTTGAAGAAGATAAAATCAAGTTTTCATTATTTGGTAGTTCAATCACATAAGAGTTCAGTTCAAATATGTTCAAACTCGACATTTTCCGAACCTTACTATTATGGAAATTTCTAATGTTTATTTCATTATGCTCTTCGAAATAAGTTAGAATCTTATTAACTAGTTTCAATTCGTGTTGGTGTTCGTATCGGTACAATAACGACTTGTACGATCTCCAGCTGACCCTCCCAACTTCGTTGATTGTATTCAATCGAAGGAACAAGTAACCCAATGCAAATCCAATCCCACCATTGAAGAGCAAGTACTGATGGAATGGAATTAAAGGCAATGCTAGCGCCTGTACCGCCAGCAACAAAACGAGTCCAATCCCTATATAGCCAGACTCCTTGATCAAGTTTGCTCGAATGAGTTTATGAGTTTTGGGATGATTAATTGTCAAGTCTATAAACTTTATCGAATTATAATATTCTTTATTCGCAAGTAAAAAGTGTATGAAACATTTAACCAACTCAACGTTTATATGCTTTCCAGATAAGTCTTGGTGGTACTTCCCCTTAAACTCATCGAACAATCCTTTGATATTACTAGGTTTGGGCACGGTGAAGATATACTTCGCCAAAACTGAATCGTCCACCAACTTCCGATACCGGTGGAACACCTCATTCCACAACTGCTCTTCGTACTCCGTCCTGGACTGGGCCACGGTGATCCCCAAAAAATCGTCACCGGACTTCTGATGGCCCTGCCGCTGCAATTGTAGCCTTCTATTGGCTCTAATCAAGTCTACCAATCCATCAGAAGTAACTTTTCGAGAATCTACTTTTTGCAATCGTCTCGTATAAGTTTCCAAATTAAGCGGTGTCCGCGAGAAATACTTGGTACTCAAACATCTGAAGCTTCTCAACATGGCACCCCGGACATGTTTATCCTTTCTCCCTTTGCGTATGCCGAATATGCTTATGGAGTAAAAGAATTGGCTGGTTGTTTGTAATAGCCAGCCTTTTTCATTAGAAAGAAAAAATCTTTTTCCCAACCTCCAAACACCACAAGACCATCAACTTCAGGGCTACACGAAACCAACATAATCAGACTACCTAATTAGGGAGAAAGATAAATAGGCACTGAAGAATTGATATTTAACGATTCAGATCTTAAATTGGGATTATGATTTAAACGAAGTTAAAAAAACATCAAAAGGTCAAATCACCAATACAACGGAGAATATCATTAAAGGTTAAATTGTTACTACTAATAAATTGGTCATTCACCCAGAAGTTGAAATTTAGGTACTTATTTAATTGGTATTAGTTACTTTGGAAATCGAAGAAGATATATTAATTGACTACAAGATAAAACAGAGATGGAAACGGAAGATAATACATCAGAATTTAGTTATACGCAATCCGATGCAAATTTTAATAAGTCTAGGGAAGAAACTCAATTAGAAGAGAATCCAAAAGAATATAGTGGATCAGACGCATCGAATGATCCGTTTAAGGATCAAGTCAATGAAAAATTTCAAGGATTTCAACCACCATTACCACCCAGTGCAGCGATTTCAACATCATCTTATGAGAATTTAGACTCTCCAATCACTGGGAGAGGAGCATACGATCGCAAATCATACATGAGTGGGCTTTCCCAGTATAGTGAAGCCAACAAGGAAATTGCCCAGCAAGTATCGATTAAAGCAATCAATCAGCAGAACGAGCCATCGGTTAAGTTATCCAATACCCATGATCGATCAAAGAGTATTACCGAGGAGACCAATTCGGTGATTTCCAGTGACTCGATTCAAATGGGCAAATTGAATACAACTAGTAATAGGGTTACTAACGAGCCTAATTTAAGTTACCAGACCAACATTGAAGGGGCCATACCACCAAGATCATCACGTCGTCCTAAAAGTGAAATTGTAATTAGTAATAATGACTTGAAAAAGGATATTGACAAATTTAAAAAAAGAAGAAATAGCGGGATACCAAAGACAAAAAGACATAGTAAAAGATTAAGTATTAGTGATGATTTAGACCGATTAATGGAAAGTGCAAATTCAATGAAGAATTTCGAAGATGACGATTATTATAGAGAAGGAGGAAGTTCTAAAAATGAGTTACCACAACCAGACTCAGAAAATGATAAGACAATTACTGAAGAAAATGATAAACTGTTACCTGAAGAGAATAAACGGTTAGCTGAAGATAATCAGCAGTCGACACAAGATGATAAGCAATTACCTGAAGAAGACAAGCACTTACCTGAAGAAGACAAGCACCAGTTCCCATTGAAAGAAATAATGAATAAAAATGAACATGAACTAGGCCATCAAAGAACTGGATCGGAAATTAGTACCGATACTTACGAAACCGCTGAAGGACTCAAATCACAAGAAATGGTCAATGAGTTCAAACCAAGCTTACCACCCAGACCAAGTGTTGAAAAAGTTAAGCGGGCACAAAGATTATCGAGTCAAATTCAAGAAAAAGAGAAGTTATCTAGGAAAACATCGCTTGAAAGTACCGACAAAACACAAAGCTCAGATGAATCATCAACGCCAAAACAAACTGCAGAAGAAGAAGAACCAAAAGAATTGAAAAATACCAAAAACTATGGATCTTTAAACCACGATCAAGATACGTCCAGGATAAAATTACCCAAAAGACAAAATTCTACTAGATTAGCCAGTAGTGGGATTATAATTGACGACGACGATGACGACGAGAAATTTTCAATAAAAGAGCAAGGACAATTCAATCCCACCGAACCATTGAGTGAACTGCTGAAAGAAGTACAAGAAGACGAATTTTCTGATATAGAAGAACCGGTTTTAGTCAATAAACCACTGAAGGGTAAATTAGTAAGAGAAAGCACTACAAGATCAAAACAAAAATCAAAGCCCAAAAGAGCCAAACTGAAAAAATTAAAACACAATAAAAAGGAACTGATCAATAGTGTAAATTCTTTGAAACCTTTCAGTTACAATACCTTAATCAACTTATTAGAAAGTATTAACGGTACGGTGATTGGTGAAGAATTCAACCAATTGAACTTACCAATTAAAGAAAAACAATTAATTGAAAAAATTATCGACTCTTTATCTAGATTAACCAGTGATATGATTATTGATGAAAATCGATACGAAGTTGGTATTCAAAGATTAGAAAAAGCCCTTAGGGTATTAGAAGGCTTTATGTAACTTTTCTCTCAATAGACGATCCCAGTACAATAGTCCCATTATGTCCCTCACAATAACTTGTTGTAAGGGTGCCCGTCTTTTAACAAGGGCACCAACAAACAAACAAATACCTGAAAACTACTGATTGGCGTATCTATCACGATACTATATCAGTAGATAACTATCAGTAGATAACTATCAGTAGATAACTATCAGTAGACAACCATCAGTAGACAACTATCAGTAGTGTACCATAAGGAGGAGTGGAGTATAAAACGAAGTATCTGGTTTACCTTCCGTAAGAGTAATCTCAGGTTCCGTTCGTGGTAAAACTAAAAGTCGCTGGTGGTACGGCGGTAAAAGCAGTACACACAAATTCAAATAGCAAATCTCTCAAAGGATTAAAAATTATCAACAACTTCTTTCTCATCAGGTTGTTATTGGTACACTGCTTTGGTTTGACGCTTCCACTGGTGCAGCTAATAGGAACTATTGAATATAATTTGAATCTCTTGGTTGTGGGTTGTGGGTCTATTCATTCACCGGGATGGAAATATAGTGAGTCTCATCTCAAACAATAACAATAATGAAGAAATTTAACAATACCTCCTTTCAGGACACGAAAAGGTCAGATAATGGGTCTTCTGAAGATAAGATATTTGAAAAACCTCCGATGGCACATAGCTCTGGTGGGTTAAGAATCGAGACTGAAGGTTATTCGAATGGGTCAACCTCACTAAGCCTTGGAGATCCGATTAAACTATCACCATCACCATCGATTATATCGCCTACAAGATTGAATTTTGATAAAATCACCCATTTACCAACACCAATCATTAATAACGGTTCGTTTGGGTTTAATTCCCCACCAAGAAATCCAAATAATATTGAAGTTTTGAAACGGAATAATTCCCCCAGTATTGGGGTTGGAGTTAACTCCAATAGAACTGTTAGTGAATATAAACCAACAACCGCCAATAACTTAACCAGAAAGAAGTCGCTCTTGGGAGAGGGAACCGCGTCGAAAAGAATCAGCTCAAATCCAATTACATCTAGCGATACCCAAATACCTTCACCCCCCAATGATATTTCAATAGCTTCAAAATATGTGAATTCAATATTTCATTCGGTTCATCAAAATAAATACTATAAGTTCTCTGAAGAAATTGGCAATGGTAATTTTAGTACGGTTATTTGTGCTACAAATACTGTTAATGAAGCTGAAAAAATTGCAATTAAAATTATATCAATCCCAACAGTTAATAAAATCGATATCAAAAATCATAAATCTTTTATCAAAAGAGAATTAAACATTCTATATAAATTAAACCATCCGTGTTTAATTCATTTAATTGACTATAATATAAATTTATCAATTAAAGATGATGAAATTATTAATTCAACTTTTATTCCAAGTGATGAAGATGAAATTAATGATTTAGATTATCATAACTTAAAATTAAATAACGATCAATTATTTTTCTTAAATTATTGTGATGGTGGTAATTTATTTCAATTTTCTTTTGATTATTCAAAATTTAATTTTAATAATTTAAATTATTGGTTACTTTTGAAAAGAATCATTTGTGAATCAATCATCGGTATTGCTTATCTCCATGATCAAAACATCATCCATCGTGACATCAAATTAGAAAATATCTTACTAAATTATTCTTTTGACGAATTAATGAATATATCCAAAGATTTAAATAATTTCGAAAATCCTTTGATTTGTATTACCGATTTTGGTCTTCTGAAAAAATTGCATTCTTCCGATGAATTGCTTTCCACTCGTTGTGGCTCTCAAGATTATATCTCTCCAGAATTGTTAATGGGTTTGAAATACAATGGGAAATTAACCGATTCTTGGTCAATTGGGGTTCTTATCTATTCTCTATTAGAAGATCGGTTACCCTTTGATTTACCCCCTTTGGATCTTATCTCTAACACCGGTGTATCGCCCTCGGTCATACAAAGAAAAAGATTGAAAAATAACCCTGCCCATCGTATTGCAATGATCGATTGGGATTGGTTCAAAACTAATGAATCTAACTTATCCTCTTCTAATATCAACCCAGAAATAAGAGATATCCTATCCGATTTGAAAAAAATCGTTAATGCCCTTCTTGTCAGAAAAGACCGCAGACCGGAACTTAGTCATCTTCTATCTTTAAATGAATTTTCCTGGATCAAACATTCACTTCCAACTCATTTTTATTAGTCATTCCTTATTTTTTTTTTTTGTCTTACTACGTGCCTTTGTCTTCCGTTTTTGTTTTTGTTCTTGCTTCATTTCCCTCGCTTGTACCTTTATGTAACTTTATCATTTGTTTGTATTTTAATATAAACTACTATTTATTATATATCAATTCACCTTGAAAGGGTTCTGCTGGGTGTAAATATGTCGCGTGTCGCCCGAAAAATGTCGCCACTTCGAAAAAAACTAAAGAAAAAAAAAAGTTATACAACGACAAGCGGGTGCACTTTTCAGAAGTTAAGCTTGATTCTTATTTGATTGTTCGATAGTTTGTCACGATACCGTTCAAGACACCACTACCTATTCTTCGAGAAGTAGTCACCCTTTACTGCCAAAGGAACCAGGTTGCCAGAAAATAAACATTTAGTTGTTTTTGATTGACAGTTGTCACGGTTTTCGAAGAAGAAAGAAAAAACCAAAAAAAAAAAAACAAACCTCCATTCATTTTTATTCATTTCATCCTTGTATTTTAGTTAAATTAATCCTTTGGTTCGATCAAATAGCTGCAACCGGTGGATTGCTTGTTTAAATTATCCTATTAAATTGTTTTCGTGGGCTTTAGTTCAGCGGTTAATTCAGCGATTCACTTAGCATAACATATGAGTGGGACAGATCCAGGACTAGAATCCCATCAATTGAATGGATCGACATTGAAAAATGAAGGCCAATTGAATAAATCAATCAAGTCACCGCCTCCGATCCCTCATATATCAAATAATATTATCCCGTTATCAAATATATTAAAGTTCTATACTCAAGAAGCTTATAAACAATTACTAACTATAATTGAAAATCTATCAAGCACTGTTGAATCGGAATCGGATTCTAATCGTAAGAAGAAATTTTTGACTGCCATTATTTCGTTGAGACAGGATTTTATCAAAATTTATACTTTAGTGAAATGGGCACAAAATTCAAAAGATGTTTCTAAATTAATCGATTTGTTAAATTTCTTAAGAAGTCAAGATTTCTATTTTGAACAATTAGGATTTGGATTAAATGAATTAAATAGATACCTGGGTGCTCAACTACCAAATAGTGATTTGTTGTCAAGTTTAGAAATTTTAATTAAAGGTAGACCTCAATTACCTTCTTATAACCTTATAAAACCTTTGAAGATTTCGACTGAGAAAACGTTGGAAGTCTTACAGGATCTAAATTTGATTTTAACTACTAGAATGGCTTTAATTGATGACTTGCCTAAAAGATTCATGAATAACTATACCATTAAAGATGGTAGAGTTATCTTCACTATCCCAAATGAGTTTGAAGTTGCTATAACTGTAGCTAATGATTTAATAATCGATAAAATAGAAGACTATTATCAATCTCCATTTTTTTTCATATCTTTTAAATTTTTATTTGGTATAAATCCGGATACTTCACTAATAACTCATAAGGATAATAAAATAGCTACCAAGTTACCCCAAAAATCTCACGAAAATTTGGAAAGAATTATAAATCAAGTTCTATTAAAACAAGGTTTAAATGGTTTATACGATACTTTGCATAAATACTCAATTTCATTCAAGTTATATTTAATTGCAAGACAATTGAAGGAATTATCAACAAATAGCAAATGGAAAAATTCCATTCAATTCAAATATCAATCTTCTTTAATCATCATTAATTATTGGTCATCTCATTACCTTTCGAGAAATTGGAAATCATTTATAGAATTGGGAATTGACAAAAACTATAATTTAAATTTTAGATGGTTCAAAAATGGTAGATATAGCACAGCCCATCTTAACAAAGATTCTGAAAAGGATAGTACTGGTATTCTCTCTGAAAGTATACCGGGGTTTAACTCTAATGATGATGAGGAAGATTTAAGTGTTGATTTGATTTTAAACATCATCATTAATAAACATTCGGAATCTTCGATTTCAAATATTTATTCAAAATTGTTAGAACTATTACCTGAAGATTCATGTTCAATACTATCACCTCATCAACTTCTACTTAATTTAACTCCAACCAAAAAAACCATTTTTGCCATAAATCCATTAACTGGATTCTTCTATTTCATGGACCCTTCTCCAATTCAAAATTATATCACTAAGAGAATTAATAGTCAACCTTCAATAATAAAAAATAAAAATTTCATAACTGAAGATGATATGATGAATAACGTTGTGTCAAATTTAATTCAATTAAAATTAGAAACTTTAAATAAAGAAATCAATAATAAATTAATAACAACCGAATGGATATCAAACAACATAATTCATTTGAACGATTTGGAAACATTAAAGTTATTTGAGTTTGATATAAATGAAAAAGAACAATCAAATAATAAAATTCAGTTTTATCGTTGTAAAAACTGGCCTTCTAGCTGGTTTTTAATTAATCTTATCGCAGGATTAACTTCAAAAACATATTGGTGGGTTGCCAGAATTAAATCGATCAAAGGTGAATGGAAAATTCAATGGGTCGAAAAATTGAAGGTAAATGATGATTTAAGTTATGAATTTTTCGACGATTTATCCATTACTTGTTCTAATAAGATAATCGATCATATGATTACTGAAGAGTTACAAATAAGAAGTTCGAGATTCTTGAAAGTCGAAAAAAATGCTATAGATGTTTTTAAATTACCATTGGACAAGAATATTGATACAAACACCATCTACGAATCAATAATAATGATTCATAATCATGGTGAATTCTTACCTCTTAGCAATTCATCAAATAGTTTGTTTTTGCTAGTAAAATTAACCAATACCAATAATGTCACTCAAATGAATTTAAGACTTATGGGACATATCAAAAATTTACCACTAAACGATAATAGTAACGATGACTTTTCTAAATTGAGTTTACTGTTTAAAAAAGATATGTTTGAAATTGTTGACTTAATCGATTTGACCTCAAGAATGAACGATTCCGAACACGATAACAGCAACAACAAGTTGTTATTAGACAATTTGTTTAACAATTTAAACAAATTAAATCAATTAATAAAATTGCTTGAACAGTTAAACAAAACTAATATTGAGATCATTCAAAATCAAATCAATGAAATTTCTATAAAAATAAATCCAATTTACTCGACATTCAAGTTGGTCTTACCTGAACAAGAAAACGGATCAATCACAATATTAACAGACAAAGATGAGTTGAATGAAGTTAAGATAATGGTTAAGTTTTTGAATCAAAATTCAATAGAAAAGAAAAATACAATGATTGGATCTATTAAATATTTGCAAGAGCTTGTCCCAATCCTTAAAGCTTTGCGTGCGATCCAAACCCATTTAATCATAAACAACTCAATGAAATTGTCGAATGGACTTCAAAAATTACAGTTTGATACCAGACTAGAAAATCTAAACACAATCCAATTTGTTTACACGATAAATTCCATCAATCCAAGTAACCCCAAAAAGGTTGCCAAAGACCGAATATCATTATGTTTGAATTTTAAAATGAATAAGTTTGCAAAAAAAGAAAAATTATTAATCAGATTATCGATGAAGGATAATTTGAACTCAAGAAATTTGAAGTTCAAAAAACTATTCGAGTCTATTTTCAAATCGATTAATGAGTTTGATGCAAGCTTGTCATCTGTCAATAACACAAATGGATCGACAAATGGGTCAGCGAATGGGAAAACATCTACAACTACTTTGATGAAATTCAATTATGATTATCTATTAGATTCAATTTTACTTGAAGATATGATGATGAGAATTGCAGACTGTTTTTTGAATTATTTTGCCAATAATTGAGTTTGAAATTGAAAATTTAATAATTAATTAACTGAAGTTATCAATCTGTATAATAATAGGAATATTTATTTGTACATATTCTTTTTCGTTTTTTTTTGCCTCTTTTTTTTTTTTGCAATTTATATTTCGCTAAAAAATTCAAAGCGTTGCAAGTGTGACTTATGAAAGAGTAGCCCAAGTAGAAGCAATCGATAAGAAGATGGCAATGTATATAATGGAAATGACCTTGAAACGTTCAAATGATTTTATTTGGGCCGAACAGATTTTAATGTAAAAAGAGCAAGGTAAGATGACACAAATTAAAAAGCAAATAGAAGCACCTAATATACCAATAATTTTTTCAAATTCTGGGAAAAGAATTGCTAATAAAACGAATAATGCATTAACGGCAACTCTGTTGAAGAATTTTGTAATTTTACCTGGAGTTGATACCTCTTTATCGACTCCAAATAATGAGTCTAAGCTTGAAATTATTGGTTTAGCATTTAAAGGAGTTTTAGCTAAAGGAACAACGCAAATCAACATACTGATTAAAGGATAGCACCAAGTAGGATAACCAGCAGTAGTTAAAAGAGTGTTAGTGACTTCGTTACTGCAAAGGTGGCCGAACATGAAAAAGCCTATAATTGCCATTGAACAATCAGCAAGCAAAGTAATGAAATAAGTTGGAATCAAGGTTCTAGTGAATTTATGTGGATGACGCATATCCATTTTTAAATTAGGGTAAATAGCATGACCACCAAAAGGAGCTGCGATGATGGATAAACCTTTTAAAAGATCTAAGATAGAGTTTGGGTATAAATTAGTTGGCATTACTTGAAGCAAAGAACCAGGGGAAGAAGTTTTCAAAAACCCACAGATTAAGACTAGGATAATGATTGAAATAGTTGACATAATACCAAATAATGAGAAAATTGAAAGGATAGGTAAAGGTAAGAAAGTAAATGGAGTAAGAACGAAAAAACTTAAAATCTTCAAATTAGTACCAGTTAAATAACTTGGAGAGTTTTCTGAAGCTAATAATGCAAAAAGAGAATCACTGAATAAAATAATGAGTGAAACACCGGCTCCTAATAAATCGACAGTGAAAATCAAGGAGATGATTAGTTTAGCAATAGAACCATAAGCAGCGTAACCCAAATCAGCATAAGTCATTAAAGTTTTATCGGTATCCATGATTCTTGAGATTAAAGTAGCAGTCCAAAAAGAAGTCAACCCACAACCAATTAAGAGAGGAAGACCCAAGAGCCAGCCGGCTTTCAATAAACCAACGGGCAATGCTAATAATCCAACCCCAATCATGATATTAATTGAATTAAAGATGGTTTGAGGAGCTGTTGATTGACCTTCCAATACGGTAATGACATTACCATCTTTGTCTTCAATTTTTTTCAAATTAAAATGAGAAGCAGTAGTGGCTAAAGAAATAGAAGTACGGAAACTTGAAATAGAAGGAGATGGGTTGATTTTTTTAGTTATTGGAATCCCAGATCGGTTATTTTCATACTGAGAATTTTGTCTTGAACGGTTATTCATAATACCAATAATATCATCTTGATAGAAAACATCATTGTTATAAGAAGCTTCAGAGTTTGCAAAATACCGATTTCTATTGGAAGCGTCGTGAATAACTGTACTTAATCGTTCACCCCTCGAAGAAGGCATCATAAGTTCCGGGTCAAAAATTTCATCTTCAACTTCATCATCATTGCTTGGACTTTCAAAGAAGGACCTTTTCTTATGGATCTCATTATCCAATTTCGAAGCAGCAAACGATTGGGCTCTAGTAAAGGAGCTGGCAAAATTATGCAATGAATTAACTCCTCTAAATGAACCAATTGGGGTATCTAAAAACGTATGGGAATGTTTCCGGGAAAGCAAATTTGAATACTCATTTTGATTCTCAGTCGGACTGAAGGACTCATTAAAGGACTCCTCTTCAGACATTTCCCACAACTATAAAGAAGCAATAGTCTTCAATCGATTTCTAACGAAATTCATCATCATTTAAATTAAAATAATATTCCAACTTAGTGTACCGGTCAGGGTCAACGACGCACCCACAAACCTAGATAGAAAAACATAAATAAACAAAAAAAACTCTTTATTTTCCAATTTGGTTATCAAAGATAGCGGGTTGCATCTTCTCTATGTCGTTCACCTCTTCCGTACCAGGCCCTAACCTGTTATACTTCTCATCGCATCGCCTGTCAAACTCGTATAATTAATCCTGAGTGGTTCTTGTTCTTACTTCTTGTATACCATTTTGGACTCTTTTGGAGCATCTGACCGGATCTTCTCCAGCATCTGACCGGATCTCTCGTAAACCAGAGTAATTTCAGAGAGTTGTCTTCCCAATGATTGGATCTCATATATAGTCCTATTTCATCTCTTTGCAACCAAGCCTCCGTCGACTTATGTATGACTTTAGGAGTTGAATCCAGGGTAATGGACCACTGGATCAGCTTATTATTCTGAAAAGTTATACAAACAACGACCGAAGGAAACGGCTTCTGGTGTATGGGTTTTTCGAGTGACTCTTATCTTTTTTTTTTTTAATT